CATCTTTCTTTTCTCTCATTCTTCCACCCTGTTAAAAATGAGTTGTCTTAGTTAGGGTTTCTAACTAAAACACCATGACCAAAAAGCAAGTTGGGGAGGAAGGGATTTATTAGGCTTACACTTCAGCATTGTTGTTCACCACTGAAGGAAGTCAGGACAGGAACTTAAACAGGGCAGGATCCTAAAGGCAGGAGCTGATGCAGAGGCCATGAAGGGGAGCCGCTTACAGGCTTGCTTCCCATGGCTTACTCAGCTCACCATCTTATAGAATCCAGGACCAGTATCCCAGGGATGGCACGACCCACCATGGGCTGGGCCCTTCCCCATTAATCATTAAATGACTAGCACAGAGTCATTTCCTCAGCTGAGGCCCCTTCCTCTGATGTCTTTGGCTAGTGCCAAGTTGACACAAAACCAGGCAGAACACAAGTCAATGTCTATGTTACTTTTTTACACAAGTATCCATTTTATAATATTCAAATGAGACTACAGCTGTATTCATGGTGCAATGGCTCTCCCAGTCAGACCTTAAAGATCAAAGGCAGCAAGGATATCACAGCTCACTACAGGCTACTAAAATTTGGTAAACTTGGTTGGTTCTAACTATTCAAATTTGACTTAGGAAAAAATTGTGATTTGAGGCTGGGAGATGATTGAGAAAAGCATTTGCTACATAAGGATGAGGATCTGAATTCAGATCCCACTTTTATAAAAGACAGGCATGCAACTCCAGCACTGCAGAAGCAGAGAGAGGCAGATCCCTAGAGTTCAATGGCTATCCTGACCAGCAAAAATCAGTCAACTCCAGATTCAATGAGACTACCTCAAACAATAAGATAGAAGGGCCAGTGACAGGACTCAGAAAAGGTGATTGCCTCCAAGCCTGACAATCTTAGTTCCATTCCAACATATAAGAGAGAGAGGCCGGGCATTGGTGGTGCACCCCTTTAATCCTAGCACTCGGGAGGCAGAGACAGGAGGATCTCTGTTGAGTTCAAGGCCAGCCTGGTTTCCAGAATGCCAGGATAGGGTCCAAAGCGCTACACAGAGAAACCCTGTCTCAAAAAAACCAAAAAAGAAAAAAAGAAAAAAAAAAGGGGGACAAGTTAAATGACCTCTGAGGATGTTGAATTCTATTCCACCAGAGAAACCATCCTATCAATTTCTTGGTTTGTTTATAATGAAAGTGCAATGTAACAGACTGGATCACCAAACATCCAACAATTACGAAAGTCACAACTCACCGATGTACTTTGCCCCAACATGACTACATCAAAGGCAAAGCTAATGTACACTCATGGGCAGGGAGGAAGCCAGTAATGGGGAGAACAACAAAACATTACTTGTAAGTCCTCACCACAACAGCCCAACAGTGACCATTTTCAGTGATTATCAGAGATTTCATCTGTGCATGTAGAAAATAATTTCTTTCAGCTGTATCAGCTTCTAAGAGATTTTATGTCTCCATGACAGGGTGAGGGGAGAATGGTTCAACATATATGTCAAGTATGGGTGGACTGATCACATAAAGAAATCAACTAGGGTATGCCAGCCAAAGCCAGCTTGTTGCCTGTATGCATATGTATGTTTGGGTATGTCTACCTAAGTGTTTCTTGGACAGGATCTGATTCTGTAATCCTGAAGGCTGGCCTCAAACTTTTAACAATCTTCCTACCTCACCTTCCCAAATGCTGAGATTACAGGTATAAGCTATGACACAGCTATATTTAAATGGCCTATGAACTAAGAATATATTTTGCATATTTTAAATTCCTGAGAAAGTGTTCTTAAACATGAAATTCAAACTTTATTATCTATAAAAATTTCACTGGGACACAGCTATACTCCTCCATTTAAATATTATCTATAGCTGAGTTGAGCTATAATTGAGACTTGAGTATTTTGCCACATATTTAGCCAGTATGCTGAAACTATAAAACTTAAGTTTCTGTCTGTAGGCAGGGGTTTGTATGGCGTTTAGTGGTATATGGAAGGTTCTGGGTTCAATCATAGAAAGAGGGGGGAGGGACAAAAGGGGGAAAAGCAGGAAGAAAGAAAAAAGTTTGTTCCCTTGTCTGTACACTATCTCTATCTGCCATAGCATTATAGAAAGAATTAAAGAATGCACACACTGTCCATTTCCAACACTGTATCTTGTGCTCTGCCCAAGGTCTTTTCCGTGGTAATCACAAAGTAATTATTTGTTGAATGAAGGAATTAACAAAATTAACCTAGTAAGCAGTTGAAAATAATTTGGAGACAAAGTTATCTACTATCATTGTTTGAATTACATGTTTTTCAGCTGACCTGACCAAGTGAGAGCAGACAGACCCCAGTCGTAAAGCTGGGGAACCAGCATTGGATTGAACCAAGCCCTCTGAATGTGGGTGCCAGTTAGGAGGCCTGGGCAGTCTATGGGACCTCTAATAATGGAACCAGTATTTATCTCTGCTGCACAAATGGACTTTGGGAGCCCATTCCCCATGGAGGGATGCTCTCTCAGCCTAGATACACTGAGGAGGGTCTAGGCTCTGCTACAAATAATGTGACAATTTTTTATGATCTCCCATGAAAGGCCTCAGCCTTCCTGGGGAGTGGATGGAGGGTGGGATAGGGGATCGGTGGGGAGCATGGGAGGATGGAAGGGAGAGGGAACTGGGATTGATATGTAAAGTAAGATTGTTTCTAAATTAAATAAAATTTTAAAAAATTAGATGGTCGGTGGTGGTGCACACCTTTAGTCCCAGCACTCGAGAGGCAGAGGCAGGCGGATCTCTGTGAGTTCGAGACCAGCCTGGTCTACAAGAGCTAGTTCCAGGACACCCCCCAAAGCCCCAAAAAAACCCTGACTCAAAAAAAAAAAAAAAAAAAACCACACACACACACAAAAAAGATTGCTCAAAGAACCAATTGCCTGTAATTCCAACAGTCAGGAGGCAGACAGGAGGGTATCTGCAAGCAGAAGAGCAGCCTAGGCTATATAGCAAGTTCTAGGCAGTCATGCTTACACAATGAGACTTTGCTTAAAAAAAAAAAAAAACTAAAATCAATATACATAGGTATAGGTGTTGGTGCACACGAGAAATGTTACTCTGTGCTATGAATGCCTGTCCTTAGTTTGGCTTATTTCTAGCCAGCTTTTCTTAAATTTTTCAGGCTACCATTTGCTTCTGGGCTTTTACCTTCCCCTATTTCTGTATATCTTTCTTTCCTTCTTACTCTATGGTTTGCTCTGTAGTTGGGTGGCTGGCCCCTGGAGTTCTCCCCTCCTCCTTTTGCTCCTCAAGCCTCTCCCAGATTTCTCCTCCTGTTTATTCTCTCTGCCTGACAGCCCCACCTGTCCTTTCTCCAGACTTTTATTGGCCATCCAGCTCTTCATCAGACCAATCAGGTGTTTTAGGCAGGCAAAGTAACACAGCTTCACAGAGTTAAACAAATGCACCATAAAGGAATGCAACACATCTTTGCATCATTAAACAAATGTACCACATCTTCAACTAATATTCCACAACATACAGGGACATATATAGATTACTCAGTACAAATAAATAAAAGGAAAAACATTAGTGACCCGCACCCTAAAATCTTCCCATATATTATTAGAAATTCCATTAGGCATCTGAGCTAGCCAGAGGAAGTTCTGATGTTGAGAGTCTTCCCTTCTGCCACTGTCTTTTTCTTTGAGCAACTTAGACACTGGATGATAATGCAGCCTGTGACACCGCATGCATGCATGTTGGTCCCCAAGGCCACCTTCCTATTGGTGTAGCTATGGGCACTCATCTTTTTTAACCTAAGGCCTATCTCCTGTGAGTCTGGCAATCAACAAAACCCCCTTACTTACAGAGTTATCTCTGGTTTGGTGACAAGAGATACTGAAGATGAATTACTTCTCAAATGGCCTCCCCCTGCTACAAACTCCCATACTGTGCAATTCCATTTTACAGTCTGTATATTTGTTTGTTTTCTACCTTTGACTTAAAATGACATATTTATTTGATGTTGTTCTTTTTCTCCCCAACTAGAATATAAACTCCACGACCGTATTGACTGTATTTTCTTATTCACTGCTGTAGCCCCTGAACCTAGGACTCCACCACTGCACCTTGCAAATGTCACTCACTAAATGTGAAGGAAGATCATTTAGCTGACCCTTTCCCTGTATGCAAAACAGGAAGATCCCGGAAGGTCCAAAAGATACTATTACAACTAGAAAGCTCTTGGTTACACCAAAAAGGTGCTTGGCAAACTCTTAAAGGCCAACACGTCTGTGCTAGAATTAATGGGGGGAGTGGCTGAAACTGAAACTGCATCCAAAGAGGCTGCTGAGACCGACCGCTCAGGAGGGCTGCAGAAACACAAAAACAAGCTAAGGGATGCAACTCCACCACTGTTCCTTTTCTCATCTTCCTAACTTTGCACACCCTGCGAAGGTTGCTGCTGACACCTAAAGGGCCCGGAGCGAGCAGGGAGGCAGACAGACAGACACCGGCGGGGAGCCAAATGCCCCGGAAGACCCTGGGCTGGCAAGGGAGACCGATTTCTTTTCCCGCGGTCCCTTTGGCAGTCCCGGACCCCAGCAGCATCAGTCTGGGGGCAAGGGCGCTGTTCTGGGCCAGCTGCGCTGCTGGCCGAGCACCCCGAGCGCCCGAGCGGAGCCCCGGCAATGACAGATAGATGACTCACCTCAGCTGCCAGCTCCTTCTCTACTACTAGCCCCGCCCCTTTCTCCGTTCCTCCGCCACTCACCTCTTCCTCCATATTAGCACGCCCTTCCTCGGCACCGCCCCCATAGCCACGCCCCGTCCCCGCCCATCCCTACCCAGTCTCCGCCTAGCCTCGCCCATTACCCCCGCCCGCTCTTCCCATCCCCGGCCTAGCTCCACCCCTTCCCTCGTCTGGCCCAGTCTTTTCTTCCGCCCCGCCCTCGCCTTGACGGCTTCTGCGCGCGGAGCACGATGGGAACTGGGGGGGGCGGGGCCTCGCGGCCTTCTGGGCCCTGCAGCCTCGTCAGGCTCAGTCCCCTCCCGATAAACCTCTAAATAGGGTGTTTCCCCGGGGGTGGCCTCCGTTTTTTAGCACCAACACCCAGTTTAGGGGTCCTCCCCACTGGCTTGATGATGCCAGGTCGAATGGAGCTTCCAGGCGGAGAACTGGGGAGCTTGTATGATGGAGGCGAGGAGAAGCCTGCCAAATGGGGTTTGCTAGGGTGCAGCTCTTAAGTTCTTTGGAGGGAAGACGAGAGAGACAAGATTTCTGTGACACAAAGCGTGGTGGTGGCCTTTTAGCTTCCTTACTCCTGTTTTATTCTTACAAATTGTGTGTCCTGCCCAGCACATCTTTTAGTGCAACCTAGTGGCGAGTGGAGAAAGAACAATAAAACCTGCCAAATGAGTTCTGGCAAGGTCCTGCCTGCGGAGTAACATACATGCAAAAAGACTGCTGAATATGGTCACCAACAAAGAGTACGTGATGATCTAACCGGTTTTGCTTTTCTTTTTTGGAGATAGCATCTCACTTGCATAGCCCCGGTTGGCCTGGGACTTGCCGTATAGAACAAGCTGGCCTCGATCTCGGATTCCTTTGCCTTCTCTGTGCTAGGATTAAAGTAGTTTGTTTGTCTTGTCTGGCAAACTTTTCATTTAAGTAAATCCGGTGCTTTGTTTCAAATGAATACTTTTCAAGGTGACAGGTTGAGAAGGAAAAAGATGATGTTAAAGTTATAAAAAAAAAAACAGCAAAAACAAATAGTGAGGTGCCACGTGGATGCTAGAAATTGAACTAGGGTCACTCTGGAAGAACACTCAGAGAACTTAACCGCGGAGCCATCTCTCCAGCCCCAATACTTTGTGTTTTAAATGAATAAACCATGCACTTGCCCCCCTCCCCAGTTGAGTCTCGAAGTCTTCACTTTTACTTGACCTAAACAAAAGTTGGGGCTTTTTGTTATTACTGTTTGTTTTTCGAGGCAGGGTTTCTCTGTGTATCACTGTCTGTTCTGGAACTCAATCTGTAGAATAGGATGGCCCCAGACGCCACCAAGTCTGGTTTAACTAAGAGTTTTCAGGACTCAGAGGGGAAAATTTCTGAAATCACCAACTGTTTACTGTTTCCTGTTGCAAATTAAGTTTTAAAAACTTTATCTAAATGTAGGCATTAAAATAACTAGCCAAGTAGTTATTTTAAATAGTTTCTACTTAAAAGTGTGCCAGGAAGCCAGCCAGGTGTGGTGGCCCACACCTTTAATCCAGCACTCTGGAGGCAGAGGCAGGAGGATCTCTGTGAGTTGGAGACCAACCTGATCTACAAAGCTAGTTCCAGGACAGCCCGGGCAGTTACACAGAGAAACCTGTCTTGAATCTCTCTCTCTCTGTGTGTGTGTGTGTGTGTGTGTGTGTGTGTGTGTGTGTGTGTGTGTGTAAACAAATGAGCTTTGCTAACTAATTAGGAAGCAGAATGGCAAAAACATTTTTTTCCCTGAGTTTCCAGTTATGTGGTGCTTTCATTGCCCTACTTGCATCAAGTGGATGAAGACAGCTAAGCAGCTATCCCTGTAAACCTGGATCAGGAGGGCCAGTTCAAAACGTAGTTGAAGAGTCCTTTGTGTTTCTATTGAGTGATCTGGAAGACACACCTGAGGTGTTTGTTATTGCTAAGAACACTTCTGTATCTGTGTGTAGGCAGAATTTTCCAACGGAGAATTGGAATTGAAAAAGATTCTAGTTTCTGTTTGTTTGTTTTTTCAAAGTCTCAAACAAGTATGGTACTCTTTGTAGGTGTTTCTTTTACTTCCATTTTAGTTTAGCTATTATACTGACAATATTAGCTAAAAATATAAAAAGGGGGGGAGTACTTGTGATGTTTAATTGCCATTTAAACAAGTTTTAGCCACAAAACATAAAAGAGGAAAGACATTTTCCTTTGACTTTGCTTGCCATTTATTTCTAGCCAAGAGGTAGGCTAGGGTCAACAGGTATTAAATAAAAGCTTAAGAAAATGAGAATCATGAGTACTTTTAAAAACAATTTCCTGATGATGGGGGTGGTGGCATTCCATTCTGAGTGTCCAAATGGCTTAGAGTAGTCTATTGAGTCCAGTCTGGGGCATCTGACACCTTTTCTAGCTTCCCAGGGCACTGCACACACATACTACATGAGAGAGACCACTACTCCATGCATAGCCAGGGTTTTCTCCAGGACTGGGGATTGGACACAAACCACACCATACCTCTTTTCACAGAGCGAGCCTTTACTAATTGGTAAGAAAAGTTAAAATGGCTTTCTGACTCAGAAAAACAGCAGCAAATGACCTTGCAGGTGTGATTTTTAAGAGAAAAAGGGAAGTTTGTGTTAGAATGGGCTAGGATGCAGTGGTAGATTTTGATTGGGCATGTTAATTGGGTGAACCACAGGGGCCTTTTGGTTGCTGGACTTTAATACTTTGATAGTTGGACCTTGATAGTCCACCTCAGGAGGAGGAGGTGGCCAAATAAGGGAATAGCCCTTGGTGGCTAGCTTTAGAGATACAATCTAATAGATTTTTAGCAAGGCAAAGGGAGTTGAGAATGGCAAGGCCTGCCAGAGCCACATGCTCCAGTGGGCTAGTGTCCCTTCAGTACACAGACATACATGCAGGCAAACACCCATACATCATACATAAATACGTTTTTAAAAACCAAACAAAATGTGGGCCAAGGAGAGGATAGATGAATGAGTGGAAGTACAATTTAATCTTTCTAAAAGAATGTTTCCAGGGCTGGGGCCATGGCTCAAGGGTAAACCGGTGGATGTGCAAGCTTGACAGCCTGAGTTCAGATCTCCAAAGCCCACGTGAAAACCCAGAAGCAGCACATTTGTTTAATCTTAGCTCACCTACCAGGTGATGGGAGGTAAAGACAGAGGGATGGCCTGATATCTTAGACTGGTGTTATGCCCAGATCACAGAACCCCAAAAAGAGCACTGCAAAGGAGACAACTCACCGAATGCAAGTACAAAGGTTTCTTTATTAAATCAAGCTGCAGCAAGGACACCAGTTGTTCAGGGACAAGCAGAGTGTCACTTTTTTGGCTGAAGGGGTTTTTAAAGGGGAAAGTTCAAAAGACTGGATGTCTTGAGATTACAAAGTTTTTATGGTTACATAGGATAAAACAATAATTGCATGTTTAGGCACAATGCAATTAAGCAGGAAACTCTTAGGAAATAAGTTTGTTAATTATCTCCTAGGCAGGGACTTTTACAACTATGAATTGACAACTATCTGATCTTCTTTAGGAGAGAGAAATGTTGACACAGCTGGGGAGAGGGGGTGTTATCTGTTCCCAGGCCTCTGTACCCAGTTCTTTGTTTAGCCTTTTACATTGGGCTGTCTTTTTGGGAACTCAGAGAGACTTAAGAGTTTTTCTATTTGGGCTTTGGAATCCAAGTTTTAGACTTTTATTAATTTTTCCCATTTTACTCCTTTCACTGGCTAAGCTGTTGTATCAGAAGTGTTGAGACCTTGTGTCAAACAAAATAAAAGGCAAGGACCAACATCTGAGATTGTCCTCAGAACTCCCAGCTCTCCTTGCTCAGCTTTCAAATTTCTCTTAAGCACTTAGGAAGGCTAGGACAATCATGTGTTTGAGAGAAGCCTAAGCTACATAGTAAGAGCCTATCTACATCAAGACAGACAGACAGAGAGAGAGAGAGAGAGAGAGAGAGAGAGAGAGAGAGAGAGAAATGCCCTATTAATTTTATTCCCCCCCTTCCTTATTTTTTGTGAGACAGGGTTTTTCTGTGTAATTCTGGCTGTCCTAGAGCTCACTAATGTAGACCAGTCTGGCCTTGAACTCACAGAAATCTACCTGCCTCTGCTTCCTAAATGCTGGGATTAAAGGCATGCTCCACCACTCCTGAATAAAAATAAATAAACAAGAAACTTACTTTTGTAAACTAGGAATAAAATTGAGCTACGCATGGTGGCACATGCCTTTAAGGCCAGCACTCAGGAGGTAGAGGCCAGCTTGGTTACAAATTAAGTTCCAGGACAACACAGAGAGACCCTGTATCAAATAAACAAAAACAAACAAACAAAAAAAGGCTTCATTGTTTCTTTTTCTCAATAATAATCTTCACGTTTATGAAACAGAGATGACAGATTTGTTTTTGATGTTTTAGTAGCTACTTTGCGCTTGATTCAGCTCCTCAAAGACCTAAGCTAGTAAAAAGAGTTTCCCTCTTCTACCCATGAGGACAGGCAGGCCCCAAGGAAGAGGCGCTGAACATTCTGCTACTCAAGCTCAAAAGCTACAGGGAAATGCATTGATTTTTTTTTAAAAGTGAGAACAAGGCCAGGTACAGTGGCCCAGGCCTTTGATTCCAGCTACTTAAGAGGCAGAGACAAGAAGATTGTAAATTCAAGGTTTACCTAGGCTACAGGGTGAGTTCAGGTCCAGCCTGGGCAACTTAGAAGGACTTTGACTCAAAAGAAAAATAAAAGTGAGCTGAAGGTATAGTTCAGTAGTACAGCACTCTCCTAAAGGGGGCAAGGGATTGATTGATTTCTTTTTGTTTTCAAATTTTTTAATTAATTTATTTTTTTGCATTCCAATCCCAGTTTCCCCTTCCCTCCTCTCCTCCAGCTTCCCTCACTCTCCCCGCCCCCTCTTATATGCTCCTCGGAGAGGGTAAGGCCTCCCCTAGGAAGTCTAGTAAGTCTGTCCCATCATCTAGTTGAGTCAGGACCAAGGCACCTCTCCAGTCCTACACCCCTGTGAAGGACTTGGTTTCAATCAATGCTATGGCGTGGGGAGGAGTGGAGTAGGGTTGGGGGGGTTGTTTAGAGTTTTACCCAATAAGCAAACTGTTTTCCAGACTTCTGTTCTTCTTCTGTTCTGTTGTTTTTTTGTTTTTTGAGACAGGTTTCTCTGTGTAGCCTTGACTGTTCTGGAACTCTCTTTGCAGACTAGACTGGCCTCAAACTTGGAGATCTGCCTCTGTGGTCCTGAAATTAAAGGCATGCATCACCACCTCCTGGCCCAAATTTCTGTTTTGTTTTTTGTTGTTGTTGTTGTTTTGGTTTTTTTTAGGTTTATTTCTTTATTATGTATACAGTGTTCTGTGTGCATGTGTCCTTGCAGGCCTGATCTCATTACAGGTGGTTATGATTCACCATGTGGTTGCTGGGAATTGAACTCAGGTCCTCTGGAAGAGCAGCAGGGACTCTTAACCACTGAGCCATCTCTCCAGCCCCCAAACGTGTTCTTAATAAAATCTTATTATTATTTCAGCACTGTATGTAGAAATTTGAAAATTATGAACCCATTAGTTAAAATGGGTTGATTGATATCATTTGGGTAGGATCCACACAGATACATTTCTGCTTTACACTTTAGCTTATAAACTGGGTGCTGATTCCTAACCAGAATCCTCACAATGGTATAAATCATATAGAATTCTGAAGGTGGCAGGAAAAGGCTTTTAATGTATTAAAGATGATTGAGGGAGAGGTAGTAGGCCACTGGAGAGATGGCTCAGTGGTTAAGAGCACTGTCTACTCTTCCACAAGACCCACCCAGCACCTACATGGAGGCTCACAACCATCTACAACTCCAGTTTCTTTGGAATCCAGTGTTCTCCTCTGGCTTCTGCAGTCATCAGGTATGCTTGTGGCAAATGTGCACACAGACAACACATCCATATACATACAGTAAAAATAGATAGATTTGAACACACTTTGGTACTTTCTTCATTTTGTTTGATATAGGCAGTAGGGTTCTTGCATGTGCCTTGATTTCTTTTAAGGAACCATCGAGGAGTCATAGAAGAATTAGAGATAGACCACCCTAATGGGAGATGGGAGGTAGGAGGCTTTACTTGAGTAGCTCATGGGCAGAACATTTTGAATAAAAAAAAATGTGGGTCTGAAGCTCTGTTTGTTATCAAAATACCTTGGGCAACTTACTAGATTTCCTGTAGCTTTATTTTCCCACCTTTTAAACAACTACAGGGGGTATAGCTCAGTGGTACAGTGCTTGCCTAACATAGCAAAGGTCCTAGGTTCAAGCCCAGCATTGTCCCAAAATATAAGATAACTATGTCTTTCTGTCGCTCACCAGTCTCTCAAATAGTAAAATCTGGCATCTGAAATTGTGTTTTGGCTTTACTGTGTAAGGTCTTTGAGGTCAGATCTTTTTTGGTTTATTCACCAGGTTGTAAGATTACCTTGTGCCTAACGGTACTCAATAAATACACTAGTGAACAATTAGAGTTGTTTAATGTCAAGAATTAACAGGGCCTAAGATCCCAGCCAAAAATAAGGCTGAGGCAAGATGCTCAAGAATTCGAGGCCAGCCTAGGCTGTATAGGAAAAAAACAAAAACAAAAACACAGGGCTGAGATTAGATTCAGTTGGAGAAGCGCTTGCCTAACAGGCCTGGAACCTTGCGTCCATCCCCAGCACCTCATAAAATCCTCTAGGTTGCACAATCCACACCCATAATTCGGAGGTGGGGCAAGACTACCGAAACTTCAAGAGCAGCAGCGCAACAAGTTAGAGGCCAGCCTGGACAATACCAGCCTGGACAATACGGAATGGATAGGCTCAGAAAACCAGCGCCACCACCCACAAAAGAACTTAGCATTGTGCCTGAGTGCCTGATCGTTTAACTAATTCATGCATTGTACTTACTATTTACAAAGCTCTACAGAAGCGTTTTACAACTGATTTAGCCATGAGCAAAACCCCATTTTATCCACGAGTAATTAAACGACTGCCCCAATATCACACAGCTAACAAGTGGAAAGGGGTAGAACTCAAAGACAAGCTCTTCTACACTAAATTACGCTGTTTGAGAAGAAATTATTGCTAAAGATTCTATTTGGGGTGTAAAGGTCTGAGAACAAGGGCCCTTGTGCGCTGGGCGAAAGGTTGTTGTTTCCTACGCCAGTTTTGTCTCAGTGCATTCAAGGGTAGTGTAGCATTTCTGGATTTGGGTAGGGAGCTTGCAAGTGCAACCCGAAACCAGCTAATCTAAAGCCCGGGGTTCTCCGACCAACGGCACCTTTGTCTTTTCTGGCGCAAGAACAAGAACGGATGAATGTGAAGGAGAGGAGTGCGGGTGTTCTCCGGTGCGTGGCACCGCGTGCATGGAGCCGCCTGCAGGCCCTCTTGCACACCCGCCTTCCGGGCCACCGGCCCGCGCCTCAGGAACCCCCTCCCGCCCAGCACCACCGGGGCTTGGTTGGCGGCGACGCGCCAGGGCCTAGGAGGAAAAGTTTCCAAACCTCGCTTCTCGGCGCTGATTGGTCGAGACAGACGCGGCAGCCAATGGGAGACGCGGGCTGCGAGGGGTGGCCGGAGCTGGGACCGCGGTCAGGCCCTGTTGGCCCGCGCCTTACCGGGATCGTCGCCGCCCGGGCGGGGTAAGTGAAGCCAGGTTGCGGGCCGGGGGTCCCCATGCCCCGCAGCGCCCAGCGGACGAGTCCCCAGGCCTGACCCCCCACCTTTCCACCTTCCATCGTGAGTTCCGCCGCTCGCCCTGGCCAACTCTGTTCCTCTTCTGCTGACCCTTCCTCAAGCCCGGGTCTTCGCCTGCCCCTTCATCCCGCAGTGGCGGTGTCCCCAACTGCTGCCGCACGGGTACCGGTTTGTGTCCAACTTCCTCCACGGTGCCTCTTGGGTCTCGGCCGCCGAATGTTTCAAGTTTCTCCAACATCAGTTTAGATGGGATAAACTTTTATCCGATCCAGGGTGAGAATGCTTACCCCACATCTTGGATGTTGGCCCAGTTCACCTACCTCTTTGAGGTCGAGGGCATCCCGAGTCACCTTGGCTCCGGAGCGACTTTATCTTTCCCTAGTCATCTCGGTTTTGTGCCAGGCTGTGCATCCATCCTCTTGCTTTTTAGCTGGAGCCTTCCTCGATTTCCCCAATAAAGAAGAAGCCTTTTGCAGCAGGGTGGAGGTTTGTGATTTTTCTCTGTCTGCTGGCTGTTTCTGGGTATTGTGTGCTAGGATAACTTCTTAGGGCTGGGGTCGGTGCTTTTGGAGTACATCTGACACAAACTACTCCCCAAACCTGAAGTTATCTGACCATGCACTCCTCCCAACACACTGGTATTCAACCTGTTTTGAGATTTAAGCAATTCCTTTTTACAGCGTTCTATATGAAGTTTTAAATATCTGTGACCAACCAATCCCCTTGAAGTCGCAGGGGCCTCTGGTTTTTATATGTTACCTCTACTTGGTTTGCTAACTTGGTTTATCCTGTGAGGATATTATTTTTGCTTCCAACGTGTGTTCTACTTTAGAATTTGTGAGCCTGGTGAGATTAAATCTCCTTTCCTTCAGAGGGAATTCCTAGTGTGAGCCTCTACAGCCTGCACTGGGGTGCTTGGTATATAGCCCAACTCTGAGTGGGTATTAAAGAAATGATTGAAAAGAGTTGGAGGGGGCCTAGGCCACTGTAGGAAGATTCCCTGGCACCTTGATCAATAGAATAAAATGACCTTCCAACAACAATAGTTCCTCTGTTTTGATTCCTACTCAAATATAATCCTCACCCCACCCCCAGTAATGGAAAGTGAACTCAGGGCCTTGGGCATTCTAGGCAGGGCTCTCTATTCATGAGCTACATCCTTAGCCTACCAAGTGTAACCCTTTTAAAATTTCAAATGTAACCATATTTTCAACTCAAAAACACAGTTCTCTGTTGAGGTGAGCAGAATAATAGTTCATTCTAGAACCCAATAGGAATGACAGTGGCCCAAGAGCAGAGATTCTGGTTTCCTCAAACACCATGCTTCACTGCTGGTTACATGAGGTCTTACTGGTTACAGAATAAAGAAAATAATAAGTTAAGGTGTTTAACCAAATACAGTGCTAGGGGCTACAGACACAGGTCACAGCAGGGAAAACCCTAGTAGAGTTTGGATTAGTGGAATCTAGAAGTCTTCTCAGAACACATTTTAGGTTTGATACTTACAAGGACCTTAGGTCAGATACTGGGATGGGCAATGAATAGCTTTCAAAGGTACTAGAAATAGCATGAGATAATTGGACTCTGATATGCAACATTTTTTAAAAGATTTTATTTATTTATTTATTTATTTATTTATTTATTTATTTATTATGTATACAACATTCTGCTTCCATGTATATTTGCACACCAGAAGAGGGGGCCAGAGCTCATAACGGATGGTTGCGAGCCACCACGTGGTTGCTGGGAATTGAACTCAGGACCTCTGGAAGAGCAGTCAGTGCTCTTAACCTCTGAGCCATCTCTCCAGCCCGATCTGTAACATTTTTAACTCTACATTATTTTGAAGTTCAGGTATTTGGTTTTTAGAATCGTTAACATAGGTGCGGCCTGCCTGCCTGCCTGCCTGCCTGCCTGCCTGCCTGCCTCCCTCTCTCCCTCCCTGCCTTAGCTTCTTTTACCAACAAGTCTGTTGTAAAGAAGTGTGTCAGGAGCAAGTACTTAGACTCAGTGCCTGTTCTAGCCCTTCTCTGGCACTTTCCTCCCATCCCTTTGTATCCCTGTTGCAGAGAAGGAAACAGCAGTTACTGTGAGCGCTCTTCTACTGTAGTGCATTTTGTTCTTATTTAACATCATCAGAGTTCTCCCGTTGTTCTCTGCTGGTGCTTTTCCATGTTACAGAATGGTAAGGACATGTCCTTGCATGTCTTAGTACTTAAGGATCCTGAAGACAGAAGCTAGGCTTACTGACTCTTGATGTATTTCACACTTCTGTAAGTGCACGCTGTATTCCCATCATCATCATATTGGTTATGTGTGAATATTTGGCTCCTTCTTTCTCTTCTCTGCCTCCCTTTCAGCTTTTTTGTTTGTTTTGAGACAGGTTTCTCTGTATAGCCAGGCTGGCCTCGAACTCAGAGATCTGCCTGCCTCTTCCTCCCAAGTACTGGTATTAAAGGCGTGCTCACTCTCCACTTGCTTTTTTTTGACCATTTTATACAAGTGTATAATACATTGTGGTCATATGCAGCCCTACACTCTCTTAGATCCCTACCCCTCAAATTCCCACTCCACTTTCATGCCTTGTTTTGGTTTTGGTTTTGGTTTGTGATGCACAGGTTTAACTAGGGCTAGTTGAGTCTCCACCTTTTTTTTTTTTTTTTTTTTTTTGAGACATGGTCTCTCAGTGAATCTGGAGCTCACTGATTGGGCTAGACTGACTAGCCAGCTCTAAGGATCCCCCCCCCTCCCCCGTTTCTATCACACAACTGTCCGGCACTGAGGGTGTAGCCTAGCTTTTTACATGAGTGTTGGTTGGGGGCTGAAACACAGGTCCTCATGTTCATGCTGTGTGGCAGGCACTGTGCCCACTGAGCCATCTCAACCCCCCTCTCCCCCCAGGTCTCACAGTGTTGCCCAGGTTGATTTAAGGTCCCTGACTTGGGCTGCAGCCCTCCTCCTCCTTTCTTGGACTCCCAAGTGGCACCACTGTACCAGACCCCTGTTGCTTTCTAAGGGTCCCTGGGCTCTTCTCCCTTCCTCTGTATTCTGACTTCTTTTTCTACCCACCTTCTTTTTCTGGATCAATGCAAAAGATCCCCATTTTACTCCTTGGCCCTCCTCAGCCAGCCACGCCACCAGGATGAACCCCTGCGTTGAATAGTCCATCTGCCACTCTCCACACTGTGCCCCAGTGGCATCCAAGCATCTTCCCTGTCTCTCTATCTCTCCTTTTTCTCATTTTTTCCTTCCCTCTTTCCAGCGTCTTTCTCTGTGGCTCAGGTTAGCTTAGGATCTCTCTATTTTCCTGCCTCAGCTTCCCAAGTCTGGGATTACAGGAGTCTACCACTACATACAGTGGGCCAGTAAATTTGTTAATGTGTTTAAAAAGTTGCCTGTGACTTAACCCCTGGCTTTTAATCTGTTCTATTTCCTCAGCTCCCCCACAAGCCTAGCTACTTTTTATCTGTGTATCTAGTGTCCTCCTTTCCCTCGTCCATCAGCTCTCCTATTTTGGTTTTCTTTGAGATAGGGTCCCACACTGTCCTTGAACTTGCCATCTTCTTGCCTTGGCTTCCTGAGTGTTAGGATGCCAGGAGTACAATGCTTTCCCATGCTACTCATGGGTCACCTTCCAGCCTGAATTTTGGACTCCCTGAGCTCACCTAGGGCTTTGTAAAAATTTACAAGTAACTTGCATCTTCCACAAGTCCCCTTGAGAGGAGCAGGAAGAAGGTATCTTATTTGGATCTGAGGTCCTATGCTAGGTACCAAATTCAGGGGTCTCTCTCTCTCTCTCTCTCTCTCTCTCTCTCTCTCTCTCTCTCTCTCTCTCTCTCTCTCTCTCTCTCTCCCCTGGGCTGTAACTGGAGATAGGATACTTTTTATTTAGTTTTAGTTATTGAGAAAGCATTTTTTTTCCATCTGATCTAACATGAAGTTCAGGGCTTTTAAGTTTAATTTTTTTTTTTTTTAATTAAAGACCATCTGTTTACCCAGAAGTTGCTAATGATTTTTAAACTTTTCTCCTAGACACCATGTCACAGGAAGAGTGAGGTCTGGGCCATTTTACCATGGAGGACTTGGGAAAGACTTTTGGATCAGAGGAGGAAGAAGCCAACTATTGGAGAGACCTGGCCATGACCTACAAGCAGAGGTTAGCCTTGCAGTGTCCCTCACTGTTTCCTCCTGGGATGATGGTGGCTGCCTATATGGCAGCCCCCAAACCAACACTGCTGACCCAGGAAGAAACTAGAATCACCTTGCTCTACAGAGGCCCCTGAGCCTTAGGGAAGGCAGTCTGCCTGCGGCACAGCTGGGAGAGGCAGAGTTGGGATTTGAACCACAAATACTTGAGGTGCCTAACCATCCTCTTACCTCGTTGTATATTCTGGATTGGTCTTTATCTATTCCTAGATGTCAGGTCTTCTGTAGGGGACCTGTGCTATCAAAATAGGCTGGAGAGATGGCTTAAGGTTAAGAGCACTTGTTTCTCTTCAAGAGGATCCAGGGTTAGTTTCCAGCACTCACATGGTGCCTCACAACCATCCTTAACTCCAGTTCCAGGGGATCTGATACCAGGCAAAACACTCATACACATGAAATAAAAATGAAAAAAGGTAGGTTCGTTTTAAAATCTGAAACTGGTATTCCAGTGCACATATCTAAGATGTGTGTGTGTGTGTGTGTGTGTGTGTGTGTGTGTGTGTGTGTGTATTTTGGGTTCAGAACTATGTAGTTCAGGCTATCTTTGAATTCTTGAGCTTCTTGCCTCAGCCTCCTGAATGCTAAGATTACAGTTGTGTGCTTCAGTGCCGGTTCTAACAAACTGTCTTCTTGTCCATAAAATTGGAACAATGGTGGCTGAATAAAGTCATGATCCACAGACCCCACTGCAGCACAAATACCCAGCATCATTAATTCTGTGATAAATTTATTTGTAATCCTGCTTCAGGGCAGAGAATACACAGGAAGAACTCCGAGAATTCCAGGAGGGAAGTCGGGAATATGAAGCTGAATTGGAGACTCAGCTACAGCAAATTGAAACCAGGAACCGGGACCTCCTGTCAGAGAATAACCGCCTTCGAATGGAGTTGGAGACTGTGAAGGTGAGGGGCCTAGGGGACATGTGTACAGGCAGGTGTAACGTGAATTTCCTAGCCTGGCAGATCCCGCTGCCCTTCTCTGCCCCAAAGAAACACTGGATGCTATATTAGTATAAAGCTGTTGGCTGGTGACTAGCATTTCTTACTGTCTAGTTCTGACTTAATTATTAACTCATTTCTATCAATCTTAAGTATTTCCACGTGGTCTTGGCTTACCAGGAATGCCGGACCTACATCTCCTTTACCTGCTACATCTCCGCAGAGAAGAGAGGAGAACAATTTCCTGTTTGTCCCTGCTTATATTCTGATTCTGCCCAGCTACATCACTTCCTGCCTGTCTGTACGGACCTCCATAACTCTATGGTTAGCTAGTGGCAGATTCTGCCCATCTACGTCAAGTAGATGGCATGCAGGTGTTGCATAACTAAAGAAGCAGTCTTGTGGGGTGAAGTGACTGCACGCAGGCCCACTCCCTCCTGCAATCCTGTCAGGTGTGTTTTGCCCCAGTGGGTGGAAATCTTTTTTTTTTTTTTTTTTAAGATTTTATTTATTTATTATGTATACAACATTCTGCTTCCATGTATATCTGCACACCAGGAGAGGGCACCAGATCTCATAGCGGATGGTTGTGAGCCACCATGTGGTTGCTGGGAATTGAACTCAGGACCTCTGGAAGAGCGGTCAGTGCTCTTAACCTCTGAGCCATCTCTCCAGCCCAAATGTTTTTTGTTTTTCTTTTTTTTGTTTTTTTGTTTTTGTTTTTTTGAGACAGGGTTTCTCTGCGTAGCTTTGGAGCCTATCCTGGCACTCTGGAGACCAGGCTGGCCTCGAACTCACAGAGATCCACCTGCCTCTGCCTCCCGAGTGCTGGGATTAAAGGCACGTGCCACCAACGCCCGGCTGTGGGTGGAAATCTTTGGAAAACAATTCTCACACTTGGCCTACAGCCCTTCTTGGTGGTGGTCTGTATTGGTTTCACAAAGGACATGGCAAAGAGAGCTCATCACAGGCTACAGTGTCATTAGAATTACAGATTCTTGAGACTGAGTAGGTAGCCCAGACTCACTATGACCAACCCTGAACTGTAGCTGAGGATGGACTTGAACTCCTGATCCCCTTACATTCACCTCCTCAGTGCTAGGATTAAAGGTGAACACCATCATGCCTGACTTTAGAATGACTGCTTCTTATATATTACAAGGTATAACATGGTATCTCTTAGTGACATGTGGCTATTGAAATGAAAGCTATTGAGGGAAAAATTAATTCTTCTGGTAACACTAGCCACAGTTCAAGTGCTCTGTAGCCACATGTGACTCATGGATTTTACTTCTGGACACAGGGATCACAGAATATCATCTAGAACATTCTGTTGAACCATGGCAGTCATAAGCAGGTTTATTATCTGGGTACTGTAGTTCTATTTGGACCCTTTGTCTGTAGTTTATTTATGTTTTTATTTACCAGTGATCAAACAAAATCTAAAATTTTAAATGGGAAATTCCAGACATAAACAATCTATACGTTTTCAATAACTTAATATGGTGTAATGTTATAATCATTCTATTTTGTAATTATTGTTAACTTTTTTTCTTTTTGAGACAAGGTTTCTCTGTAGCCCTAACTGTCCTGGAACTTGCTCTGTAGACCAGGCTGGCCTTGAGCTCATAGATCTACCTGTCTCTGCCTCCCAAGTACTGGGACTAAAGGGGTGTGCACCACCACCACCTGGCTATTGGTAATTTCTTAGTTTGTATGCTAAGTTTTATCACAGGCAAACGTGGGAATAACAAAACATGTATAGGGTTTGGTGGTGTCTGTAGTTTTGGAGGATGTAGCAGAATGTCTTGGAATGTGTTCTTTCAGACAAGGAGGAGGCACGGTGTTGCTTGAGACTGGACACTGTTGTGAGGGGCCAAACTTTGCACTATAAGATAGTGAGTAGTACTCCTGGCATTCATCTGCCAGAAACAAATAGCACTCTGAACTCCTGAGGTTGGGATAGCCAAAAATACTTCTGGGCTATCGAGATGGCTTAGGTGGTATAGGCGCCTGCCACCAAGCCTGATGCCCTGAGTTTGATTCCTGAGATCCACATAGTGGAGGGAGAAAACTGATGTCTGCAAGTTGTTCTCTGGTCTCTGTATCCACAGGAGTGGGTTCTCTCCTTCTGTCTATCATGTGGGCCCCAAGGTCATCAAGCTTAGCAGCAGTTGCTATCTTACCAGCTCAGTTTCAAGGTTTAAAAATATGTATTTAAGAGGGCTGGAGAGATGGCTCAGAGGTTAAGAGCACAGGCTGCTCTTCCAGTCTTGAGTTCAATTCCCAGCCACCACATGATTCTGACAACCATCTGTAATGAGATCTGGTTCCCTTTTCTATCATGCAGGCATACATGCAGGCAGAACACTGTATATCTTATAAATAAGTTATATATATATATATATATATATATATATATATATATATTATCAAAAACTAATGAAGCTTCTCAGAAATATCAGGATTTCTAACTGTCTTTGAGAGATGGAGTCCTGGCTTCTTCACAAGGCCTGCATTGTCCACACCAATGAATAGCTGAGCCCAGCCTGTCCTGGTCACTGTATCCTGATACCAAAGACTATCTCTCACTCTTTGTCCTATGAAGGATCCAAATTTCTTGTTGACCCTGGAAGTATTTTCATTTGTGCCTTGAAACAGGTGATGAGGAGTCTTTTCAGTTGTCACATTGAAGAGGCCTCAGGGCTAGAAGCTGTGGGGAGGAAGGTTTGTGGCATGGACAAATGTTGGGGGAGCCCTTAAAGGCCTTTCATAGGGTACATACATACCTTCAGTGACTTGAGTAATTATATGCTTCAAGACTTGTCCTGGAGCTTGCAGAAAACCTCTTCATTATACCCTCTGGCCAGAGGCATGAGGCTCAGTAGAGAGACTGAGAGAAGAAAAGCTGTGGAGAGAGCCTGCCACCTGTAATTGCCTGTCAGTATCAATCACCTATGGCAGGTGTGTCTTCAGCAGCCTGTGAGGCATCAAACAGCACTGACTGAGGCCTCCATCAGCCTTTCACAATCAGTCCCAGATGGAAGCTCAGTGATGCATCAGTTTTCATGTCCCCAAGTCAAACTATCTGAATCTATGCAGGCAGAGCATCTGGGTCTCCACATCTTCCTGGGATCACAGTCAATGATCTCGTATCCAGTTTCTTTTTGCTTAAGTGCTGTCTGATCCTTGCCAGGAAACCCCAGAAGCCTTAGGGTGTTGAAGGCCCCTCCCTGTTGTCATCTGGCAAATCATTTATTCCTTTTGAGGGCCATCATCCCACCTCTCAGGCATGGGTACCATGACATCTCCTGGCACATCCCATTGTCATAACAGCTTTGTTTCTTGAATCTAGTTAAGAAGAGGAGCTGGCCTTTATGTATTTATCTATTTAAACTTTCTTGATGGCCTGCATGGAAATTACTGAGTGTCCTTGCTTTAATAATACATGCTCTGGTGGCCCTGATCTTGGCTTAGTTGTTTGTTGCAATGCAACCTTGGACCAGGCAAGTAACTGAGTCTTAGTTTCCATATCTCTTGCATGGAATCAGATGAATTAACACATACAAGCCCAAAGGCTGACCCACAGTAGGTACATGTTATCTGTTCCAAATGGGCAGCAGCTAACCAATGAGATGTCATATGGACTGTTCCTTGCTCTTGGAAAGTACTGGCCAGTCAAACTGAGCTTCTCTTCCCTTACACTGCTGGGGAATGTCTTGGATCAAAAAGTTAGGATGGTTGTTACACTAAGTATCTGATGTTTCCTTTTGTGAGGTACAAGCAACTAATATCATTCCTGCTATTTTGCTGAAGTACAGTGCTCATGTGTGAAGCAGGGCCATATTGAGTTGTAGCTGAGTCCTGGGCGAGTGCATGTGGCTTCCTTTGGCTATGGACACCTTGAATGAAGGTTGTTGGGCACTGAAGGGACCAGGTGAGCGAGGACAGGAAGGCAGGTGCTGAGAGGATTAGCAGGCACATGGTTGGGAAAGTCAGGGCATGCATACTTTGAATGACTGTTACTAACCCCCAGCATCTTCTGTTGTCCTGGCTAGTTTTGTGTCAACTTGATACAAGCTGGTGTCATCTGAAAGGAGGGAACCTTAATTGAGAAAATGTTGCCATAAGTTGTTACTGTAGGGCATTTTTTAAATTAGTGATTGATGGAGAAGGGCCCACCCCATTGTGGGTGGTGCCATCCCTGGGTTGGATCTAGGAGCTATAAAAACACAGACTGAGCAAGCCATGAGGAGCAAGCCAGTAAGTAGCACTCCTCCATGGCCTCTGTATCCGCTTCTCCAGGTTCCTGCCCTGCTTGAGTTCCTGTCTTGACCTCTTTTGATGAACAATGATATGGAAGTGTAGGCCAAATAAACCCTTTCCTCCCCAAGTTGCGTTGGTCATGGTGTTTCATCACAGCAGTAGTAATTCTAGCTAGTACAACTGCTTCTCACCTGAAATTTCATGTCTGTGGAGAGATGTTTACTGAGCCTAGGAGAGGCTGGGAGAGGAGGCCTCGAGCTGCCTCACAGGAGAAGTTAGAAGGGATAACTCAGGAACCTAAAAATGAAGGGAGAGACACTCCTTAAGATATTGGGGTCATGTTGAGGCTGTGCCTCTGTTGGAGACTGAGAATGCTCACCTAGCACGCATGACACCCTGGGTAATTGGAAGCTCTTGCCTGTAGTCCTAGCACTTTGGAGGAGGAGGCAGGAAGATCAGTTCAAGATCGTCCTTTGCTTCTTGGGTACACAGCTGGTGTGAGGCCAGTCTGGGATACATGAGACACTCTCAAGAAAAGAAGATGAGATACTGTTGCTGGTGTGGGAGGAAGGGGAAGAACTTAAATTCAATGCCTAAAGCCATCACATGTATTCCACAGATAGATGGCACCATCTGTGAGTGACGTCCCATATTTCATGTGTTGGTGATGGGATGTGAACGTGGATTGTCAAAATCTTCAGTTGCTGACCTGGCTTCTGTTCTGTCCTGAAGGAAAAGTTTGAAATGCAGCATTCAGAAGGCTACCGGCAGATCTCGGCCTTGGAAGATGATCTGGCTCAGACAAAAGCCATTAAAGATCAACTGCAGAAATACATCCGGGAATTGGAACAAGCCAATGACGACCTGGAGAGAGCCAAACGGTAGGTGGGGCAAGGTTTGTGAGGAAGCAAATACTGAATTGAGTGCGAAGAACTTGGTGCTCATGGGCAAGATGGAACATGCTTGGTGTTCTTCCTGCCTTCCTGAGGATGCGAGTTTCTATCTAGTTTCCTCTTGCTCCAGTTTGAAAGACTACCCTCAGGATCTCTAACAGGGTAGGACTGCTTGTAACAGACTTGTGCTTATCTGAAAATATCTTTGTTTTGCCTCCATTTATGAGGGCATGTGTGGTATGGTGTGGTTACCCATGTGCACCCATGATCATTCATGTGTGTCAGAGGACAACCTGGAATATTCGAGGCCCTAGCCTTTCATCTTAGACTCAGGGTCTCTTTTTTTGTTTTATCCTGTGTATGTCAGCCTAGCTGGTGTGAGCTTTCAGAGAAGTTCCTGCCTTCTGTCTCCACCCACCATCTCGCTGTAGGAGAGTTGAGACTGCAGACACTCCCATTGACAGGTCTGGCTTTTACATGGACTCTGGAGATTAGAACTCAGGTTTTCACATTTGTGAGGCACTCTCGTCCAAGTGTTGACAAGTTTCTGCTGTGCCTACAGATAACTGCTTCTCACGCTTATTGATTTGTTTATCTATTTATCTATCTATCTATCTATTTATTTGAGACAGGGTTTCTCTGTGTAGCCTTGTCTGTCCTGGAACTCACGCTGTAGACCAGGCTGTCCTGGAGCACACAGAGATCCAACTGCCTCTGCCTGCCAAATGCTCAAATTAAAGGTGTGCGCCACCACTACCCTGCTGCTTTACACCTTTGTTATGTTTACTTTTTTATCCTCTTGGTTAGAATATGCCTGTCTAGTTTGGTTTTCTTCAGGTGGATACACACTGTTTATTTAACCTTTTATCATTTCCTCAAGGGTATTGAACTCAGTTCCATTCCATATTAATTTTTCATTTATCCTGGTATCTATTTTTGGATTTATATTTGGTCTAGTCTATAGTTTGTGGTATGTGTCCTGGATAGTTTTATGTCAACTTGACATAAGTTAAAGTTATTTGAGAAGAGGGAACCTCATTTAAGAAAATGGCTATAGGCAGGCAAGCCTGTAGGGCATTTTCTTAATTAGTGATTAATGTGGGAGGGCCCAGTCCATTGTGAGTGGTTCCATCCCTGACCTGTTGGTCCTAGGTCCCATAAGAAAGCAGGTTGAGCAAGCAGTGGGGGAGCCAGTAAATAGCAACCCTCCATGGCCTCTGCATCAGCTCCTGCCCTGCCTGAGTTCCTGCCCCAATTTTCTTAAGTGATGAACAATAAGTGATCTGAAAGTGTAAGCCAAATAAACCCTTCCTCCCCAAGTTGCTTTTGATCATGGTGTTTCATCACAGTAATAATAAATGTAATTTAGACAGTAAGTGAAGCCACATTGTGAAGCGAGCCACTGTCATTTCCACACATATATCTTTGATCAAAAGCAAATCAAATGGTCACACTGAGTAAGAGAATATATTCCACCCACAGTGGGGCTCCAGTGAGGGTGTGGGTGCGGGGGCAGATAAAGAATTGGTACCAATAATGCAGTTTCCATGCCGGAAGATGGTGACAAACCTTTAATCCCCACACTCTGGAGGCAGAGGCAGGAGGCTCTCTATGACTTTGAGACTAGCCTGATTTACACGAGTTCCAGGACAGCCAGAGCTACACAGTGTAGTCGGAGTTTTCCTCTGCCCACAGCCGCTCCCAAATAATCACTCAGAAACTTAATATTGATTATAAATGCTCAGCTGGTAGCTAGGCTTGTTATGAGCAAACTCTTACATTTTATATTAACCCATATTTCTTTTCTACACTCTGCCAGCTGGTGGTACCTATATTAGCATCCTGCTCCCTTTGTGTTTGACTGGCGACCCCTCTGACTCTGCCTTTTCTCTTCCCAGTATTCTCTCTGTGTCAGGCTATCTCACCCACCTAGTCTCTTCCGGCCCAACTTCCTTTACACTGTGAGAATATATGTCGCTATGATTAACTTCATAAGCAAGCTGACTAGTCAATAGCTGAACAGGTTAGGCAGGAGAGCCAAACTGAGAATGCTGGGAAGAAGAGGGATGGAGTCTGGAGTCAGCAGAAGAGAGAAGCAAGATGGGCATGCTGTACTAAGAAAAGGTTCCAAGCCACATGGCAAAGCTGCCATGTGTGTACTGGGAATTGAACACTGGTCTTCTGGAAGAGCAGCGAGTGCTTTTAAACACTGAGCCATCTCTACAGACCCTTTTTTAAAGATTTTAATTGTATCTGTGTATAGATATGTATATGTAGGTGTCAGTGGATGCCAGAGGTGTGGATTCCCCGGATCTGGAGTGCCAGGCATTTGTGAGCCACATGACATGGGTGCTGGAACTGAATGGGGGTCCTCTGCAAGAGCAGTACAGTATGTACTTTTATCTGCTGAGCTATCTCTAGCTCCAGAGGTTTGGTTTGTTTTTAATGGAAATTAAAACAAACGAAAATCAAAACTGTTCAGCACTCTGTCATGAAAGTGGGAGGGGCTCGTGAGACCCCCCACATCTTCCCAAGGATTGACAGATAGTTAATGGTTACAGCTGAGACTTCCTTCAGTAGTGCAGAACTACAGTGTCCATACACCTGGAAGCAACCACATTGGCTCATTGGGTCACACATGCTAAAGACATAAAAAACGAAGGAAATAACACAGGAGGGGGGTGGGTGACAAAATAGGGTAATGAGTGGTCATGGTAAACATGATCAAAATGATGTTCATGTATGAAAATGTCATAGAATAAAACAAAAGGCATTGTTATCCTCCACCTCAGGTCCCCCATAACAGAGTACTTTGTACTCAGTTGGACATCTTGCTTTTTCACTTAACAATGGATGCTGGAGATCTCTGTCTGTGGAGGACATAGAACACCCTTGTTTGTCTACTGAGTGGTTGACACTGGCTGATACTGTGATGACTGACTTGTCCGGCTCATGGGACTGGATGGATGTCTTACTGCCTCCTAGTTCCTTTTCTGACATGTGTCTCTGTAATGAGCAATCTCCTCTGATGTGCACCTATGCAATGGGGTCCCATAAGTGGAATGGCCCTGCCTGATGACACACATCTGTCAATTTATATTCCCAGTGGCTCTGTACCAAGTCCTTGTTTTCCAATTTGCCTCTTTAACACGGTGTTTTTTAGACTTAGGGTTTCTGCCAATCAAATAGATGAGAAATGGGTTCACCTCAGCTTTGAATTCTAAAAGACCTGTAGCTATGGTATTCGTTTTCTATGAGCTACATTTTCACCCACCATCCCTCTCTCCCTCTCTCCCTCTCTCCCTCCCTCCCTCCCAAATCTGTATTTGGAATCAAATTGAGAGTTATCTGCATACTGGACAAGGGCTCTATCACTGAGCTAGGTCTCTCACACTGGTTTACACTTTTTTTGTTTTGTTTTTTGAAACAGGGTTTCTCTGTGTCATGCTTTACACATTTTGAAGCTGGAGTTTGGGGGAGAGTGAAAGGGGGTCTTCTAAAAGTTTAGACAGGGTTTCATGTAGCCTAGACTGGCCTCGTACTCACTCTGTCGCCAAGGATCCCTTTACTCCTGACCCTTCTGCCTCTACCTCCTAAGTGTTAGAATTAAAAATGTGTCACCCTACCTGGTATATTGAAACTGGATTTGTGTGGGTATATTCATTGTTTCATCTTAGTCTGTGACATGACCGCAAAGTATCTGGAGGTTTTTTTGATTTTGTGTAATGTGTGCTTTAGTTAGTGTGCTTGGGTTGACTTTTGTGTATTCATAACAGTCAGTTAGGAGGGCCTTTTGTTATCCAGTCTTTTGAAACACTTGACTTGTGCCAGGCATGGTAGCACACACCTTTGATCCCAGGACTGCGGAGGCAGAGGAAGGCAAACAAACAAACAAACAAACAAATAAATAAATAAAAAAGGTACTTGGCTTATGTTTTGATTGGTTGTTTTTCTAGTTTGGGAGGGGGCAGGGGAATGAGACAGTGTTTCTTTATTTACTCCATGCTAGCCTTGAATTTGTAATCTTTTTATGTTATCCTCCCAAGTGTTAGGATTACAAGGATATATAGTTACACCTGGCCTACTGTTTATATTTGAGACTCTAGGGAAGTGTGAGTTTTCTACCTGTAATGATTCTTCACTAATAGTCTTTCAAGTCTGTCTCCTCTTGTGTCTGTTGTAGCCCACCCACCCCACCCCCACCACTAATACCAATTGATATTTTTCTTAAGGTAGTAATAATTTAACATTAGCTTATTGAAGAATCTTTTTTCTTTTCATTTTTTATGTATGTGCAGTGTACATGTGTGTATATGCATGTTTTCATGTGTGTATATATGCATGTGAGGTCTGAGGTTGATGTTGGGACTCCTCATTGCTCTTACACCTTATTCATTGAAGCAGGGGTCTCTCAGTCAAACCCTGAGCACACCTAAATGGTTGATTGGTCTAGTTAGCTTGCGCTGAGATTCTTTGTCTCCACATTCCCATACAGAAGCTACAAGCAGACCACCATGCCCACCGGTATTTACATGGCTTCTTGGGATCCCAACTCTGTCTTTGTACTTGTAGCAGTTTCTTTAACCATTGTACCATCTCCCCAGCCCAGAGGACCAGTTTCTTTACCGCTTGGGCCTCCTGAGTCCTGAGCACGCATCTGTTTTGCCAGAAGCATCCATGTCCCTCTATCTAGAAATTCCTAGATGTTTGATTTTCTTCATTGTCATGTCAGGGATATTGGACATGGAACAGATCCTAATGTTAGTCTCCTGAATGTTTTCATTTTGTTGTTACTAAGTAGGGGCCTTAGGTAACTTTATCCCATCTGCTTTCTTCTAAGACCCTTTGAGAACAGGTGCTAACATGATGTAAATAGGAGTGTTGAACAAGCTAACAAATTGAGCCCTCCCCTGCAGTTGCAGGAACAAGACCCCAGGGAGCTTACAGGGAGGAATATTGTGTTAATTGTAGACTCCAGACCTGCTTCCTAGATGCCTTCTGGGGCAAACACAGGGCCTCTACTTAAAAGTGCCACCATGAACATATCTGTATGAAAAGCCTGTGGTTTACTGCTTGGACCACTTTATTCCTGCCTCATGTCACACAGATGCCCTTACTACCCCTGATTTCTGTATGAGGAATCAGATTCGGAGAAAGTAGCTGGGTTAGACAGAGTTACACTAAATGGACTCTTTATTATTATTATTATTTTGAAGCTACAGCCCTTGGTGCCTTTACCACAATTTACTACTGTGTTCTAGTGAAATACCTACCCTGTTCACACAGGAGTGACTTTTGGAGGGCAGCTGGATGGAGGGTTGAGTGCCCAGAGCTTTTGAAACTTCAGTTTTTTATCATCACATGTGTGTGCATGGGGAGGGAATCCCCCTGCCATGTTTTTAAGAGGGTCTGTAGGTGAACCTGGAGCACCCTATCTGGCTAGGCTGGCCAGGCAGCCAGAAAACCATCTAAACTGGCATAATAGGCTCACGTGTACCCAGCTTTTTATGTGGATGTTGGGGTTCTTAGCTCAGGTAGGCACTTGAGCACTTAGTGACAGCCATGTCTGCAGCATCACTTTCTTAACTTTAAAGTCACTAAGAGATGAATGCTGGTCTCTTCTCTCTCTCTCTCTCTCTCTCTCTCTCTCTCTCTCTCTCTGTCTCTCTCTGTGTGTGTGTGTGTGTGTGTGTGTGCGCGCGCGCGCGCGTGTGTGTGTGGGGTGTATATGTGTATGTCTGTATGTGTGATGTGTGTGTATGTATGTGTGTGTGTTGGACTATTCTGAATGCTAATTAGCATTCCTAGACAAGCTGGAGCTGGTTGCCATCAATGATGGGACAGAGCATGTGGTCCTGATGGGCAAGGCCTTAGGTCATCACTAAGTGCTATATGGAAATCGCCAGACTTGACCCCAAACACAACCTGGCGCATATTCTCAGCTCAGATGATGCCATTTTGTGTGTGAAGATCCTGAGGTCCAGGAAGCTAACAGACTTCACAAAGCCTGTGGTATTTAGGATAGCCCAGGCACATCTGCTGTCACATCTTCCAGGTCCCCAGGCACCAACAGATGCTGCCATTGCTATCTTGGATAACTTTGTGTTTCTTCTACCCAGAGCCACAATCATGTCCCTGGAAGACTTTGAGCAGCGCTTGAATCAAGCAATTGAAAGAAATGCCTTCCTGGAGAGTGAGCTGGATGAAAAGGAAAATCTTCTAGAATCTGTGCAGAGGTTGAAGGATGAAGCAAGAGGTCAGAGGCTTCCCCTGTATTTCCCTGTGTGGCACCTCTCTACCCAAGACAACATTATTCTTGGCCTTGTCTAGCACTGCCTTCCCAGGGAGTCTGGAGCTGTTTGGTATATGAGCAGGCCTCACAGAGCTGAGGGACAGCTCTTTGTGGACACTTGCCAGGATGGGTGCCCAAATTATCCAAGGCTGTCAGTGATCACTGGGATGGCTGTCAGACACCTCCTGTCTGAAGGAAAAGCCTTGGGGTGGACAGATTCAGCTCTGTTCATGGGTTTGTCCTCCTCGGTTCAGGAATGACTCTTCAGAGAATGATTCCACACATACCAGGCAGGCTTGAGACCCGGCAGAAGCACAAAGGTTTCTTGGGGATAAAAATGCCATTGTGTTGTTGGCCAACTTCTCCTCTTGGTCCAGGCATGAAGATGTTAGAATGATGAGACCTTCATTGGTGAGCCATCCAAGCTGAGTGCTCAAGAGAGTTTGTTCCAAGTCCTAATTGTTTATTTTTATTTTTCAAGACAGGGTTTCTCTGTGTAGTCCTGGCTGTCCTGGAGCTCACTTTGTAGACCAGGCTGGCCTGGAACTCACAGAAGTCTGCCTGCCTCTGGCTCCTACATATTGGTATTAAAGGTGTGCCGTCATGCACGTCCCTTTATTCTTTTTTCTTTCTTTTTTTTATGACAATTTAATTTCCAATGATGTAGTCACTAGATAGGGTTTTAAGAGCAACAGTCAAGTTTAAGTAGTTTTAGATTTCAGAACATGTTGGATCCCATTAGGAGTACTCACTGGAGCTGGGCTCGGTGGTGCAAACCTGTAATCCCTGTACTTTGGAGGAGGATCATACTTGGCTTCAGAGCAAGTTCAAGGCCAGCTTGGCCTACAGAGACCCTGTCTGAAAAAACAAAACAAAACAAAAAAAACTTTGGATGGGAGAAATTCTCAACTGATTGATAAAGTCAATCAAAATTTAAAAAATTAAAATTAAAAAATTAAAAAACTCTGAAATCTGGAGCACATCTGGTCCAAAACATTTTAGATAAGAGCTATTGGCCTCTTCAACCTGTAGCCATCAGTAATGAAGATGCCAATAAATCATAGGAATTTGTTTTGTGGAATGTTAAACAGTTATTAAAATGAGTGGGCTTTGGTAGACATGTCATGGGGCAGATGGGCCAGGCCCTTCATGGAAGGGGAAAGATACAAGTGGCACATCTACCTGCTAATGTTTCCTAAAATCATTTGTATCATGCTCAGTGGGAGCCTCTAGCACATGTGAACAGTATACAGAGGAAGTCTGGAAAGGCCAAGTGGCGGTAGACACTTGGTGACTGGGAGGATCTTTTTGCTGGATACTTAGCAAAAAGGCAGTCATCTGCTGAGCCTTTGCCTTACTGATCTACAGGTCTACCCAACTTTCTGAATTGCTTTTCCTTCTCCCCTCTGTCTCTTTCCAGTACTGACCAAAGCCTGGCACTTTGGGCTTTCTTACTCCCTCTGAAGGTTTCCTCACTCCCTTGCCATTGCTGAGTGCATTAGCCTAACTCAAAGATGTGGCTTCCTCTCTTCCTTTTCTCTATACTTCCATCTGGTAGCTGCTGAGATTTCAAGCTTGCCTGCTTGGGTTTCTCTTTTAAACTCTAATAAAATTGTCCTCAAATTTCAAAAAGAAAAGAAAAAAAATAACATGCAGAAAAAAACAAGACTTGGAAAAGGACCTGGGGGTGGGAGTTCACTTGGGATTCTGTCTATACCACAATGTGAAGTCTTTTTAGCCATTCACATTGTGAAGCATGTACCATAGTTTTACATTCTTCTGTATTTCATTCAGAAGGAAAGTGCGTTGTTTTTTCACAACTGTTAGGAGGGCATGTTGGTGTCCCTCCAGTCAGAGTTTCCAGTCTGATTTCTAGGTCGTAGTCCTCTTGTTTTGGTCCTGTCCTCACCCAAAAGTAAGGCCTCACATTCTGGATCCTTTCCCTGCACAGATCTTCGGCAGGAATTGGCTGTGCAGCAGAAGCAAGACAAGCCCCGGACACCCATGCCAGGCTCCGTAGAAACTGAAAGGACAGACATGGCTGTGCAAGCCACAGGCTCTGTGCCATCCACTCCCACAGCTCACCGAGGACCCAGCTCTGGTTTGAACACACCAGGAATATTCAGACGTGGTAAGGAAATGGGCCAGAGGGAGATTTTTTTTTTTTTTTTTTTTTTTGATTCAAGGAGTTTGCTCTTAGGCCAGATGTTGTGGTGAATGCCTTTAACCCCAGTACTTAAGAGGCAGAAGAAGGTAGAGCTTGGAGTTCAAGGCCAGTCTACATAGTGAGTTTTAGGATAGCCAGGGCTTTGTAGAGAGAGAAACTCTGCCTCAAAAATGAATGGATGAATGAATTAATGAGTGAGTGAGTGAATGAAAAATTTGCTCTGGCAAGAACCTCGTGTGGGTCCTGGATAAGATGGTTCATGTCTGGCTCAAGTTAGAGAGTCATGTGGGGACGATGGTGGGGCAGGCTGAGTGAGGCATGGCACATCAGATCTATCTAGAAGAGCGTCAACTCTTGCCTCATGCTATAGAAGGTGTGGATCTATCCTAGCAGACCTCTCCTTGTACTCTCAGAGGCTAGAAATCCAAATGTCTAAATACTACACACAAGTAACAGTCAAAAGCACCATGAGTTGGGCATGATGGCACCTATCTGTAATCCCTGTGTTCTGGAGGCAGAGGCTGTAGTATTGAGAGTTCAAGACTAGCCTGGTCTATATAGTGAGTGCCTGTCTCATAAATAAGTAAATATTTATGAGGGGAAGAGGAAATGGGTCCAATGTAATTGGTGTGGTTAAATTGAACATTTTGAGTTCTGTCTCCAGCGTTTTGACTGATTCACCTGATGAGTCAGGCCCCTGAATGCAATAGACAATTATCAAATGCTTGTTGTATGCTAGACAGTCTTTACAAAACTTCATAGTAGGTAGGACCTCACAGAGCTCTGTCACAACCTGCCCTGCAGGTGGTAGTCCTATGTCCCTGAAGTCACCTAACCAAGCTGGCTGGTTCCAGAGCATAAGCATTAGCTCAGTGTAAGCCTTGCTTGCTGTGTGGTTTTGGGGTCTCAGCCCAGAGCAGTTTCCTGTGTTTCAGGGTTCACATGACTCAGTTGGTGTCTTAGTCGCTGTTGCTGTGAAGGTACCATGACTCAGGCAACTCATAAAAGAAAGCACTTAACTGCAGGCTGGCTTACAGTTTCAGAGGTTTAGTCCATTATCATTATGGCAGGGACCATGGTGGCAGGCAGGCAGGTACTTCCTGATCCACAAGTAGACATACTGGGCCTAGAATGGGCTTTTGAAACTTCAAAGCCAACCCCCAGTAACACTACTTCCAACAGGACAACACCTACTTCAACAAGGCCACACCTCCTAATCCTTGTAATCTTTCAAACAGTTTCACCCCCTGGTAACTGAGCATTCAAATATATGAGCCTATTAGGGCCATTCTTTAATCAAACCACCACATGGGGAAACAAGTTAGTGGTACCAGCTGTGTTGGGGGAGGAGCTTATAACAAGTTTATATTTACTTAAGGGGGTTGCCGTGGTGTGCTGGTGGTTAGGCCATCAAAGGCTGTGAGTGCTGCTGTTTGATGTGGGTTGCTCAGCTGGCTATGATGATGCGTGGCTACAACCTTAATGCCCAGACTGACAGGAGGGACGCCGCCTCCCTTCCCAGATTGTGACTTTGTTTTCACCATGCGTATATCTATACTGGTCATTGTTAATATTAATGAGCTATGTGGAATTCTTAGATGTGCCTTGGCTTGGTTTAAAAAGATTAACCTGTAAAAAAATAGATGTTTAAGACAATCTTACCAAGAACTCAAAAATAGACTGGTGGACTCTTGGTATGTTGCTCAGTTAACTCCTTAATGAAATAAGATGGTGACCAGAATCAAAGTGAAGGTGTCACTTCCGTCCCCATCCCCACAGTCTGAGTTTGGTGACAGTGGGACACAGACTGTAGGATACTGTGTGACCCATGCTTCTTGCACACCCAGGTCTGGACAGCTCTAATAGTGGAACACCACTCACACCTGCAGCCCGGATATCAGCCCTAAACATCGTTGGGGACCTGCTTCGGAAAGTTGGGGTAAGCGCTGACCTCTGCAGGGTTTTGTCTGAAGGTGATTCTAGACAGGGCCTCTTTGCACAGAGATCTGAGTTTTAGATGAGGCTAGGCCTTCTATGCCTTTGAGCATCTTAACTCATGAGGTGGGAGTTTCATTGCAGAGGGGTCGGGTGCTCGAAATCCAGGTCTGCTTTTCCTTCTCAGACATCTTCCATCTTTCCTCCCAAGGGATTGGGGATAATAAGGTGGTGTCTATGCTTGTGTCCCTTTTTCCCTTCCTTCCTTCCTTCCTTCCTCTGTCCTTCCTCCCTCTCTTCCCTCCCTTTCATCCTTCCTTCCTAAGATTGAGTCTCATTTTGTATCTCAGCCGCACACTCCTCCTGCCTCACAGTCCCAAAATCTGAGATTATGGCTGTGGGCTACAATGCTCAGCTGTAGATTGTTTCTTAGTTTGAAGAAAAAAAAATCCAAGGACCATTTTAAAATGGATTAGTCCTCTTTCCTCCCCCCTCTCAGTCTGTCTATAGAACATCTCAAGAAGAGAGAGCAATATTTTTAGGTTTGTTTCCTCCGAGTTCAAAGCCTTGCTTTGGCCCTCTGTGCAGGCTTAATGAAATAAACAAGTGAATGGTTCCAGAAGACGATTACTATTGTTGGTATTTGGTGAGGGTAGTTCTTTTTTGGTTTTTGTTTTGACACAGGATCTTGCTATGTCACCTTGGCTGGCCTAGAACTTACAGAAATTCTCCTGCTTCAGCCCCTTGAGTGCTGGGATTACAGGTGTGCATCACCATGCCTAGCTCATATTTCACTAGGTGGAGTTAATGATTTTTCTGGGAAGTTTCTGGATATTTTAGGTGGGTAGTTTTAGTCCTTGTAGATGTACTGGGTTCCACTGAGGACCCCTCGGAATCTTGGGAACACAATTTAGGTTGTTCTCTCTCCCCTGGCTCCCATCTCTGTTTTTTTGACAAGGGATCTGGAATCTGGTTTTGCTGGACTCACACAGATCTGCCTGCCCCTGCCTTCTGAGGGCTGGGGTCAAAGCTATCATGCCTAGTGGCTCTCATACTTTTGCGTCCCTGTCTTTTTTGTTTCCTTGAAGGCTGAGGGAGGGTGTAATAGGAAGAGGGTCAAATGGCCCAGAGTGGCCTCAAGTTTGCTGTGTAACTGAAGATAACTTTTAACTTCTGAACTTCCTGTCTCTTCTACCTCCTGAGTTTTGGGGTTACAGGTATGCCATACCTGTTGTGCCCAAGTCACAAGGATCCCCTAAGAGACCAGGGAGACAGACCAATAATGCAAATGCACAAGGTTTATTAATTGTTCTATCCTACTGTGGGAGGGACCCCTTCTAGCAAGCTGATGCAGCAGCCTCCCAGAGCGGGTGAAGTTCCCTGTCTATTGCTAGGTTTTAAAGACAAAAGTTACAGGATTACGTCAGTAGGTACGGGTAGGTTTCTGATTGGTTGACATTTGGGAAACAATCAAGAAAGTTTTCAAAGTCATGTTTTTGGCATGAAATACCTGTGTACCAGGTATTCTCATTGGTCAGTGCTGAGAGGGAACATTCTGTGGTTTCTATGGCTTTGTCTTATTACTTGCAGGTGGCCTGTTGTACACAGATACCAGTTGCTTTCAGAACTGTATCCTGGAGACAATAGGGGAGGTTTTGTTCTCCCCTGGAGTTTCTTTTGTGACCAAACAGTTCCCAGGAACCAAGTACCTAGGAGGCTGGGGGGTTCTGGAGTTTCTTTGTGTTCAGTTTTGGTCCTAGGCTCCTAGAGGCCAGAGGATCTGGAGTTTCCTTGGGTCAGAGGTCTATATGTCTTTTCTGTAGCCTGTCATGGCTGCTAAAGCAGGGGCTGAGTGAGGGTCTGGTCCCTTCATTCCTAGAAGTGAATCCTTTGAGTTTATTTTACCCCTTTCAATACCTAGTTTATGAATTGCGGGGGATCAGATCGTGGGCTTCATAAATACTTGGCAAGCACTCCCTCCTCAAGCTAGATATTCTCCAGTCCCTTGTCTATACCTCAACTGATGAAAGTACGTTTCTTCCCAGGCCCTGGAGTCCAAACTAGCATCATGCAGGAACTTCGTGTATGATCAGTCCCCAAGCCGGACAAGTGGGCCAGCCTCAGGGCGAGGAACCAAAAACAGAGATGGTGGTGACAGACGGCCAAGCGGCACCAGTGTGGGTGATAAGGGGTCAGTACCTTTGATAAACTCTGTTGGGAGGCATTAGGCTGCCCCATATCAGACACTAGCCTCAACCCCCTCCTTGTCTCTAGTTTTAAGGCTGTAGGATTATTGCAGCAAACCTTAGCTTCTACTTCCTTTTTGTGAGAACTTCCTCTGTAGCCCAGGCTGGCCTTGAATAAACCCTTTGCTTGCAGCCAACTTAGATATCTATTTTGGGCAGGCAAACAAGGAGAGAGCGGAAGTCCTATCCAGATCCCTTGCTGGGGAGTTGCACTTCCCCCAGAACATTTTGTGAGTTGGGATACAATATATACTTGTGTATGTGGAGGCCAAAGGTCAACTTTAAGTGGTGCCCCTCAAGTGATGTTCACCTTGATTTTTGAGGCAAAGTCTAATTGGCATGGAACTCAAGTAGGCTAAGCCCCAGGGATCCCCCTGCCTCTGCTTCCTCAGTGCTGAGATCAAAAGCATGAGCCAGCATGTTTGGCTTTTTATATGGGCATTGGCAATGAAACTCAGGGCTTGATGCTGCAAGGCAAGCACTTTTACCAACTGAGCTATCACCCAGCCCTTGTTTTTAAATCTGTAAACCTTCAAGAAACTAAGGTACTGAATCAGTCCAGCCAGACCAGATCCCTGAAAACTGCCACAGGAATGGGAAACAGCACTGATGCTAATGCTGCTTTTATTTTCTCACCCATAGAGCCCATAGCTGCCTCTAGATCTAGGAATTCACCAAAAGAAGCCTGCACTGCCCTGGGCCCAAGGCCATGTCAGTCTGACAGCTGTAAGGCAGGCACTGGAAGGAAGTGAATTGATAAACAGTGCACACTTAGCTTCTGGACCTTTAACACATATTTTTAAGTGTATTTATTTATTTTCAAGACCAGGCCTCACTGTGTAGTCTTGGCTGGCCTGGGGCTTGAAGGGGACTGTGCAGACCAAAGAGCTGCCTGCTGTGCACCCTGTGTGCTAGGATTAAATGCATACATACCACCATGCCCAGTCAAAATTTTTTATTTAAAGTAGATTTTTAAAAATTATAGTTATTGTGTGTGTAGTACCCACATATACACAGTGTGTTTTCTATAGTTCATGTGTGAAGGTCAGGGGACAGCTTGCAAAAAAGTCAGTTTTTTCTACTGAGTGGGTTCCAGGGTTGAACTTAAATTTTTTTTTAGGCTAAGCAACAAACATCTTTACCTGTTGAATCATCTCTTCAACTTTAATTTTTTTTTTCTTTTTTTGCTAAATTCAAGGAGCTGGAAATGTTGCTCAGTAGACATAAGCCTCTGGGTTCAACTCTAAGCACTCCCTACTGTAAATGAAGTGATCAAGAAGTGAACACTTTTGTAGGGTCTTCTGAGATTGGGGGCTTTTTCTGCAGCCTTTGAAACCAGGGGACCAGATAGCCAGTATCCTTTTCTTCATTTCACAGGAGAGAAAATTGAGACCCTGTGAGACTTGTTCCCGCTCTTGACATTTACTCTTAGAACCCCTGGGGCCCTGTGTAGCATCTGGGAAACTGCTCTCATCCAATAAATATGGTTTGCTCTGTCTGAAGGTCAGGAAAACGCTTGGAGTTTGGGAAGCCAGCCTCACAGCTCTCGTCACCAGCGCTGCCGTCCACTCAGGGTGTGGTCAAGCTTTTGCTTTAGGACGCTTGGGAACTGTGCCCTCACCTCTCTTACCCCTTTTGTATTCAGCTTTTGGTTGTTTTATTTTCAAGTTAGTTTGAGAAATAAGAGCCAGCATCACCACCATCCACTTGGTGCTGTGCAGCCCAAGGTGATGGGCTGTTGGCCCAGTTCCTGGCAGTGTGTGTCATAGAAATGAGCTGGTTGTCGCCCCCTACCCTACCCTGCAGGCTGCTGATGGGGCCACACTGTCATTTAAACCTAGAGTTTTAATGGTCTCCAGAGGTGTTTTGAATATGCATGATCTTCAGGGGGAACTAGAGCCCAGCTCAAGAGCTCTCCTCTGCAGCCTATTTCCAGCTGAAGCTCTCTTCTGGAACATTCTCCCAGTGCTTTTACAACATGGTTAAACTGTGTCTAGGACTGGGAGATTACAAAGGCATTTTTTGATTACACAGCATTTCTCTGTGTAATCCTGGCTGACCTGGAACTTGCTATGTAGACCACACTGGCCTTGAACTCATGGAGATCTGCCTGCCTGCCTGCCTGCTGGGATTAAAGGCGTGTGCCACCATCAACCAGCTCTTTGGCACTCTTAATCTGCCTCATGAAGGGTTTTAGAGATGGGTCTGACTCTTAGGTCGTGGGAGATTATCCTCTGTAGATAAACCCAGCTTTCTATCTTTTCTGAGTCCCTTTCCCTGATGTAGAGGTGACATCTGCATCATGACCCTGGACAACTTGGAGTTGGACTGGCCCTTTGTTAATGCCATACCTAAGAACAAGACTTCATCCAGACACTGTAGAATAACATTGGATTGAGATCTCTGGCTCCCTTGGGATGCAAGGAAATCAGCACAGGAACTGTAACCCCAGACTCACGTCTGTCTGTCTGTCTGTCTTTCTGTCTGTCTGTCTGTCTGTCTGGGGTGAAGCACTGCCTTACACTTCGGTCTACAGAGAGAAGCGCACACTAATTCCAGAGCTGCTAACTTATTTTCTAGTACATGGGGCAACGCTGGCCATGAATTGGGCCTGGGATTTTCTGAGTGCTGCCAGCATTCGCAAGGTGGCTTAAGCTGTGTGACTATTTGTTCCCCTCAGACATTCTAACCTGGGAAAAAATAGACTTTATTTTTTATATTAATAACAATAATAAAATGGAAAGAAATGCCTGCTCTGCTGCTGTGTGTTTGTCCTTCCATGTCTGTGCACAAGGCCCTGAAGTTCATTTTTGTTTAGCCATATGCAGTTGCTTGTTTGGATTTGGAGGCACCTGTGCACATGCATGGGGCTCAGAGATCAATATCTGCTATCTTCCTCAGTTGTCTGGGTGGTGTGTGCAGGTGTATGGGTGAGTATGTGGGCACGTATGTGCACAAAGTTTGATTGGTGGCTTACTTTTTGAGGTAAGGTCTCTTATTAAACCCAAGTTCATCCATTAGGTTAGGCTGGCTAACAAGCTCCTAGAGTCTCCTTTTCTCTGCTCTTCATGCCCAGCTTTTATGTGGGTACTGAGGATCCGAACTCAGGACATCATGCTTGCAAAGCATGAATGAATCTCACACACTGAATCTGTTCTTTGAAAGTTCCTGTTGAAGTCAGCTTTTCAGCAGTGATTTGGGGGAAGTGTTTGTATGCCGTTCCAGTTATATTAGCCATCCAGTGGAAGGACGGGCTTTCTTGGTGTCTGTATTTCCTGTATCATCTTTTTGTTTTTAACCTGTTGAATTGGGCTTTGGAAAAGTTTTGTGGACTATAACTTTCGTATAGCATGTCTACCTAGAGTACTGTGATTGGGAATTAAAGGGCCCTGGCCTGCTACTGTAGGGTCTTCATGCTAAGAACAGTTTCTTAAATGGTTATTGGGGGGGGGGGGTGAGATAGCCTCAGCCTTATGGTCAATTCTGCCTCAGCTTTCCAAGTCCAAGGATTATAGGCATGGGCCACCGTGCCTAGGTGTTTGGGTTTTTATATTTTTTAAACAGTTTTGTTTGAAGATGAGTGTGCTATGGAGGCAGATGTGGCCTACAAGTCTGAAATATTTATGTTAAGTCCACTATTTTTGTGTGAAGGAGTTATTTGCCACAACACTCACGTGGTATTCAGAGTACAGCTATCTTTATGTGAATTCCAAGGGTTAAACTCAGGTCATCAAGCTTACACTTTTATGTTGTGAGCACCTCTCTTAATTATTATGTGTCTGGCTTTTGGAGGTATTTTGCTGACCCACTCTGCTGGACAAAAATACAGTGTTGTAATTTAAACAGATCAAGAATCCTTGTGGAAAAAAAAAAAAAAAGAATCCTCGTGCTTAAAATTCTGATTGAACATGCTGCCCTTGAAAGGCTTGGGACCAGAAGTACCTAGTGTGGTGAGACTTTGTGCTATAACAGATAAAGCTTGACTGAAGATCAGAGTGCAGAGCTATCCACACTAGTTAGCAACAGAGGTCAGGCAATGATGGTACACACCGTTAATCCCAGCAATTGGGAGACAGAGGCAGATGGATCTCTGCTAATTCAAGGTCACCCTGGGCTACATGATCCAGTCTAAAAGGGAAACAGCTCATAGAAAGGTGATCCCAGCACTTGGGATCACACACCTTTAATCCTAACACCAGGGAGGTGGAGACAGGGGTGATTGGCTGGGCAGAGAGGAATCTAAGGGAGGAGGAGACGAGAGAAGTGCAATCTGGGGGTTTGTAGAGGCTGATGCAGTCTGTCAGTCTGAGGATGCACAGTCAGAATTCCTTCAGACAGGGTCCCCCTTTGGTATGAGGGTTCAGTAGAGGTAAGAACTAGTGGCTGGCTTTTTTGCTTCTTTGATCTTTCAGCTTCCCCCCACCCCACCCCCAATATCTGACTCCAGGTTTTATTATCATTAATACTGATTAGAATTCGTACTAGAACCTAAGACTTTGTGTATTTAGGATGTTGTAATATTTGTAGCTTGGAGGAAGGACCCAATTCTAAACACAGAATTCGTTGGGCCTTTATGTATGCCTTCTACATGTAGCTTGAAAGTAATTTTTCAAACAGGGTCTCATTATATAAATCATGCCATCCCAGAACTATGTAACCCAGGACTTTAGGTTTTTCATCCTCCTACCTCTCCTTCTCCCCCGGCAAGTGCTGAGAGTACAAGCATAACACCCCTGTGCCCAATGCCTGAAGGTAATTTTATTCAATAATTTTAATGTGTCTGAGTTTTGATCATGACCTATTCCATTTGAGATTTTCCAATGTTGGTGCAAAAGTGTCTTCAAAGGTGTTGGGACATTTGGATTTCCATACCAGATACTCAGCAGAGACAGGTTTGGTTGAAAAACGCTGTCCTTAGTACTTCAGTTACACAGGCTGGTACACAACCTCCCAGCTGCTTGCATCCAAATAAAGTCCCTCACTCAGGCATGTTGCATCTCTCCATGTTTGTTTCCCCCAATTTATGAAATAACCCAAAAAGGGTTACTGAGAAGATTAAATAAGAACACCCTGCCCCGTCCTGTATAAGACAATAGCTTGATAAAAGAGCCAACTCCATTCTCGTGATTTACAACCTTTTATTAGTGAAAGTGTCCATGGGTACAACCTGGGTGCAAGTAAGACAGTGTGGTCTCTGTTCTCAGCCCTTGGAGCAGTGTTTCCTTTTTAATTCACGTGACCAAAAAAGTCACTTGGTCTTGGTGAACTGTGCGTGTCTGAGGTGTGGCAGCCAGGGAGGGAAGGGGAATTTTCAGACAAGGGCTTTCATCCTGAGCTGGAGTGACTGGCTGGTCAGGGAATGATTTGGGAGTGGGCTTGGGGCAGTGGTACCCAGTTAGGTAACTTGCTCATTTCATGTAAACAAAGTTGCTAGTGACTGGTGACTGTGATTGTTCTAAAACCTTTATCTGCACAGTCCCAGGGAACCCAAGGTCTGGCCTGCATCTCTTAGTTGGGTTTTCTCTGACAGCACATCCTAAAACCTGAATTCACACCCTTTGTATAGGGCTGTGGGTCAGCTCATGGTGAGGGGTGGGGTGATGTCTTCAACTTGAGAATGAATGGAGCCAAATGCTAAGCAGAATCTGCTGGGTTCTGCTGTCTTTAGTGTTTTGTTTCCCTGCCATGTATATAATTCTGGATTTATTCACTGGCTTTGGTTCCATTGAAGTCTGAATCCCGAGCGTCCATTTCTTCTTCAGAACCATCTGTGTTTTCAATAACTCTGCGGCCTCCAGCCCTTCTGGAAGGAACAAACGAGGCCTCATTTCCTCTCCTATAGGTTTTAAGCAGAAAATACACATCTTTAGTAAGAAAATCTCCCAGCAGATTGGAAGAGTTTTTTTTTTTTTTTTTTTTTTTTTTTTAAATCAAGGGCTGAGATCAAACACACACTCAATGTGACTGGGTCACAAACAAATTCAGGGTGAGTCCCCACCAGTCTTAATAGTCTGGGTGGTTCCATTTATTCAGTTGGCATGGGATGACTGGCTTTTAAAACATGTCTGGTTTGGTCATTTAAAGATACTTAGGATTCTGGTCTGCCATTGCGTTGGGCTGGGAAGAGAAAAAGGACGAGACAGGTGGAGAGTAGCACACACAGGCCTGGTGAGAAAACGTGCTGTTTATAAATTTCTGTCACAACTGTGGGAATATAAAGGCATGGTTTTAGGTTTTCAAAATGGACTTCAAAAGCAGAGTGGCAAGACAGTTACACAGAAGACACTCACTCCTTATTGAGTGACAACAGCGCCCTCCCCTGGTGTGGAACTTCCTGCCCTGAGTCTCCCACGGTGGAGAGATGGTGTCTGTCTGCCTTTGCTCATTTTCCTCACTACGGTGGCATGATGCATAACACAAAGTGGATGCTCAATGAATATTTGGAAATTGTTAGTCTGAGGTGCATGTTTGTTCTAGTGGGCAGGGCAGCCCTGAACCTTCACAACCTTGTGTTCAGCCTCTGGCCTGCTCCTTCCTGGCTATCCAAGTATACCTGATTTTACAGGAAGGGCTAATTATATAGAGTGCAGCTTTGGGTGAGAGGGGCAAGTAGGAGGAAAGGTGGAAAAGATCAGCTTATTAACAGCTAACCTTTGCTATTTCACAGAAGGTTATATGGATTTTCCATGATCCAACATATGATCTTGTTGGGCCCCCACCAGCACAGCCCTATTTGACCTGAATTTGAAAACAGGTGCTAACACATTTTATACAGTTAAGGAAGCCAGTGTTGGGTAACAAAAGCAATTTTCTGGTCATTCAAAGTCTGGAGGGAAAAGCCATGAGGGTGTGCCCACCCACTGACCCATTCTTTAGCCCAAAGGAACAGCTGAGACAGGTGACACACCAGAGGCACAAGCAGGCACAAACCAGTGTGAACCTTTTGGGATTTCCCAAGACGAAGCAATCAGGAATAAATACTTCAAAAGTTGTAGCCACTCCCAAAGTAAGACACCTTGGTCAACTTCAGAGGGCCACTTGAAGGGCCACTTCCTTGTTAGAAGACGAACTGCCTATGCCCATTTCTTCTCAGTGCTGTGGGTCAGTGAGAAGGGGCCTAGAGTACAGTGTGGAGAGGTAACTGTCGGTGGCCCTCTCTTCATACAGCTACGCTCTTGCTTGGGAACCCGAACCCAGTGGGTGGTGGCCTGGGCTGGAAACAGTGTTTAAGTCTACATCAAGATTATAGTTACTTTGCCTCTTTTGGGACAGTCTATATTTGCTGACTCAAAAGGTTTGTCCCTTGACCTCAGAAACAAGGCATGCCCTAGTCATCAAGAGAGTCTGCAGGGTCATGATTCCAGTGCAGCAATCACTACTGGAGGAGGTGGTTCCAAATCTAGACAAAAGGTTGATGATACCAGCCTGTCGGTGGTGGCTCATGTCTTTAATCCCCGCACTTGGGAGGCAGACGCAAGCAGATCTTTGAGTTCAAGGCCAGCCTAGTCTACAGAGCAAGTTCCAGGAGAGCCAGGGCTACTCATACCAACTCTCAGTTATAGGAAATAAGGGGACCCTGCCAAAGGTTTTCTTAGAGGGTCTCATCCTGGAGAATCATGGGTATTTCCAAACACTTGGGGTTTATTCTAGGCACTGTGAGCAGAACAGGCCTCCACAGGAGCGTGGAAGCCTCTGCTATTTTGCCAGGACTTTGTGTCCTGTTGACTGGAGAAGACTCCTCTGCTCCCCCTTGCATCCTTGGGTATGCTTTCTGTCTGCAAAACCTCAACCAGCTTTAAGTCTTTGGCAAGAAGGGCAAAGTTGAAGTTCTACAAAGGACAGCAAACAAGGGTGTCCATGGCCTCAGTGTGTGGGACTGGAGGCTCCATTGAGCCTTTGTTATTGTTGCCTGGCTATACCATACCAAAAAAAAGAGGGGGGGGTGTTGCTTAAAATCCCAGAGAAGCAGAGATCTTCTTGACAAGTACCTCAAGTACTTTGAGTCCATTCCCCTGTTCATGAACGTGTGCAAGCCCACAGGCCTTCAGAAAAGGCTCCTACAGGTAATGTTCAATTCCTACCCTCATGCACTGAAAATGCTGTGAGCATTGAGCACAAGTTCAAGCCATTTGAAGCCCTGGTATCTGTGCTTTGGCAGGGAGTCCTCATGTCCTTTGGACAGGACAAGTTTAACAATGAGTAGATGAGTTTCAGGGCTGTGGTCACTGTGGCCCTGTGTTTATTATTCTGGACTGTGGCCCAGGCCATCGAATAGAAGCAAGGTCATTCTCTAGGGGTTGTGTACCTGTTTATAGAGAGTGCACTGTTGAGTATCCTGACAGTGTACGAGTGGCCTCTCGTGCAGCTAAGAACAGCCCCATCTACGATGCACGAAGCCCTGGGCCCCATCCTCAGTGTCACATAAAACAATGCAGTGGTGCCTGCCTGCAACTGTGACACTTGGGAGGCAGAAGCAAGAAGATTTCTAGCTTAAGGTTACCTTTGTCTACATAGTGAGTTCAAGGCCACCCTGACTCAAAACAACAAAAGCAAAAACAAAACAAATGAAAAACAAAACAAATCATGCAGACTTTTAAAATCTAGTGGAGATTATTATGATCAAGGTGTTTTGCTAGAAGTCATGTTGGACAAAATGCCAGAAGGATGGATGATAACTCAAGAGATGAGGTCTGTTCCTTTCTTTTACAGTTCTGAGCTAATCCAAGCCTTCAGATTTTTTTTGGGGGGGGGAGGGTCTCACAGAAATTTGCAAGGACTTGGAAAAGGGAGGACACAGGGAAGGGGTGCTGGGCACAGAGGGAAGGGGACAAGGAAGGGGTGCTGGGCACAGAGGGAAGGGGACAAGGAAGGGGTGCTGGGACGGAGGGATGGAGACAACATGACACACAGGAGCTGCAAAGCTGGAGGCATGAGATACCTGGTGGCTCACTGCGAAGTTTCCTGTGTGGGGGGCCCTCTGAAACAGAGAGAGTCCCCAGAGGTTACCATCCACACTTGGGAGGGAGCCAGTTAAGTATGCTAACAGCACTAGCTTCAACTGAATAATGAAAGGTACTTCTAACTCAGCATGAACCAGAGAGCCAGCCTGGAGAAACTGGCACTTTAAACAAGGATAGGCACCATTTAAACTGTCCTCCCAAGTCACTTGAGAACCACCTAGAAGTCCCGGCATTGTACAAAGGTAAGAACATTTGAAAAGGCCAGTCTGAAAGGTCAGTGTTGGAACAGATGCAAGTGTGTGTGCCCTGTGTGGATGTCATTGTCATGGACACTGCCTACCTTTTTTTTGTTTGTTTGTTTTGTTTTTCAGACAAGGTCTCACCTGCCCAAAGTTTACCAATTGGGCTAGGCTACCTAGCTGGAAAGTGCAGGAATCCTCCTGTCTCTGCCTCCCCAGAATTGGGATTACAAGAATGTGCCACCATGCCCAGGATTTATGGGATTGAATTTGGGTCCTTGTGTTCGAAGACTAAGCCCTTTACCAAGTGAACCACTGCCCTAGCTCTGGTCTCTGTTGGCTTTGGCAGCTAAGTGGGAGGTGGCAAGCAACATAGCAAATGTTTCAGGCACATGGAAGGGCATTTACCCAGCCAACAACACTGAAACCTGCTCAGTGATTTCTTGTCTGCTGGTAGGGTTTACCAACCTCATACAGCTCTAGGGTTTCATGTTTCTGTGCACCTAAACTTGGAGAAGCTGATACATATTGGCATGACAAAATGGTTTGGTTCTATCTTGAGCCTGTACCACCTCAGGTCAAGTAAGTTAGGCAGAACCCACAGAGATGGTCAACAGGACCTCAAAGAACCATTAAGTCTTAGAGAGAAGAGCGACAGGGGCAGATAGGTGAGATGACTGTCCCCCAGCCCTCTGCCACTCAGAGCAGAGGGCCCAATCCCTACCAGGGCACATTCTTTGGGTCACTGTGGAAACAGTCCCTGTGCACTGATTAGCACTGGGGCATCTCCCACACCTCTACTAGACTCCAGAAGCTGGGAAGGATGGTCTCTAGCCTGTCAAGTAGGACCCATAGCACTCTCATCGTGAGGGATTGGAGGCTTCTTGTAAAACAGATCACTGAAAGTGGAAAGATGAAAAGGAAGTGAGATGGAACCTGGGTAGTCCAAGGCTTGATGGATTTGTGATGGAGAAAGAGGGACAGTCAGGGGAGTGAGCCCTGTGAGGCCCAGGGAAGAGAGTGTATTCAACAAGAGGTCCTGTGATGGACACTCTACCATGAGCTATTGGCAGCCACGGTGTAGCCTAAAGAAGGCCACTGATTGATGCTACCTGCACATTGTGTGTGGAAAGGGGTGGTAGAAAAGCAGGACTAGGGTTTTTCACTGAATGGAATAACTGAAGGAGAGTGATACCACAACCAGGTGCATTCTGGGGATGCAAAGCTGATGAGGGCCAGGTTTAGCAAGGCCTTGGCTATGCCGCAGAGCTCAGCACAGATGTCAGGGAAAGCTGGTATGTATTTCATTATCAACTCTGTTTTCAAGTTAAAACACAAGTGAGGTAGGTCATCAGTGGACAGTTTGATGGGAGATGAGAAATCCACTTGTGGGACAGATTTAGGTGGTTATCAGAACACTCAGAAGGGAAGCAGCAGTTGGGGTGGCATCTGGTTTGTGTCCTGGCTGTGCAGAAAGTGTTATGCTAGGTTTGGGCTGGGCACCAGCCAAACGAAGCCAGCAAAGCAGGAGAGGGCTACAGAGTGAAGAGGCATAAATGCGCAGGAGCATAGCTGACCATGGAAAGAAAGCTGGGGCTCCTGGGGGCCATGGAAGAAAACATGGAGGGAGCAAAGACCACAGGGCTAGACAGGTAGCTATCACGGGCAGGATGCCCACAGTGCGGTTAGAGTCTAGGCTCTCTCATCATATCCCAGAGTGCAACAAGGTCAGGGGACAGAAAGCAAGGCTCCTGGGATATTAAAATCACAGAGAACAGGGGCGTGAAGAGAGGCTGGCGTGTCCAGAATGACATGGTACAGAGTGGGAGGCAGCCTTGAGCAAGAGGACTGAACCCAGTCCCCACGATAGTGTGGGCAGGGCATCTTCATGAGGGGCCACCTGGCGACTTCTGGAGACATTGGTAATTGTCACAGTGCTGGGTAGATGGGCCTGCTAAACACCCTATATGTACAGCCTAGCCCAGCCCTTCCTGACACGGCAGTGTGCCTAGGGTGAGAACCTGAGGTAGAAGGTTCAAAAAAGAAGATAGGAAGTGAGGGATGTCCTCCCTGCAGTAGTTGTCCACCCTGCAATGAAGGATAGGATTCAAGAGATGGAATCTTCCTCAACCTCCTCCACACAGAAGGGGGTGGGACATGTGGGTTAAAGAATAGGAGGTGAGTTTCTCAGAGGCCATGCCCTGGTCGCTCTATGCCTGCTTCAGCGCTAGACAAATAAAAATGTGCAGTGAGTCACAAAGGCGGGAGAGAGTTGAGGGGGTTTTGGGGTACAGGGATATGGAAGAGTGGAGGTGCAGGGCAGGCACTTTAGGCAGGCAAGGCAGGCTTCCCCCCCCCCCCCGCTACCCCCTCCTCAGCTCCTCACCTGAGCTTGCTTTTGAGGGCATTCACTTCTCGGCCCATGGCCTCATTACTCTCAGTGGCCTCATCCAGCTCCCGCTGCAGCTTCCTGCGGTTGGCATTGATGCGCTGGGACTCCTCCTCGGCCTCTTCCAGCTGCCTCTTCAGCTGCTTGACCTTGGCGTTTCCTTTCTCTGCCTGCCAAGGAGAGGACAGTGGGTCAGCAAGGCTGTATGCGTGGGGCCCCAAAGCGCCGGGTGAGGCCAGAACAGTGAGGAAGGGCCGCAGCAGTGGCTACCTGCTCCTTGTACTGTTCTGCCATCTTGCGTTCATCTTCCACCTGCAGCAGGACCTCCTTCAGCTTCTTGTCCTTTTGCTTCAGTGACTTGGTAGCAGCTTGTTTCTCTCTGTGGTGGGGAGGAAAGGAGGTATCCTTGTGGCTGGTATGTTAACTAAAACATGGCATCCTGTCAGGAGCCATGTGGCCTAGTTTTGGACCAATGGATCTCCAGATGAGGTAAGAGACCACAGGGATGGTCTCACTCAGCAAGGACCATTGGACTTCGGGACAGCACAGAGCATGGCTGGGACCTCAAAGCCTATGTCTCTTTTTTTCTCTCATTACACTCATGATTCTCTTGGTAGTTTTAGTGTCACTTTGTCAGTCATGCCTGGGACAGATGTAGTCATTCCTGGAAACCCCATTTTTTTCTCAAATATTTTCCCTTGAAATTCTTTGGGAGCTGATGCTTCTCAGGCTTCTTGCCTGGAGATACCAGCTGTCACTTCAGACCCTGGAAGGTGTTCTAATTCAGTGCTGACAGGATCAGATCACCCCTATTTCTGTAAATATTCTTTGAATAAGATTGTTGTTCTTGAAAATGTGTGCCTCTGTCAATCACCTTTTAGTTTTGTGCAGATAGGATGTACCTGGCTCAGTATTTGGCTAAGCTAGCAAAATGATGTGTTGTCTTTGGTTTAAAGATGTTTTGATGTAAAAGTTGGGGGAAAAAAACATACTTGATGCATTTGCTTTTGCCAGAGGTTAACATTGGAGGATGGAAAAAACCTGTTTGTTAGTATGGAAAAACATGCTTTTTATGTATAAATAAAAGTGGCTGGAGCTATTTGGGGAGGGCCACTCGTATGAAACTCATCTATTGGTCAGACAATTAATTTCTTTGCACTGAGACCCCCCTTGCCCATCCCAGTATCTGAACCCGGGCTGAGGCTGGACCCCAGCAGCATCCCAGCTTCCAGGAGCCTCAAAAGAATAAAGAAAGGTGAGGTATCTAGACATGGTACAGCACAAATGACCTAAAAACCTCTGGTGAAGAAATGAGCCATCTACAAAGGTTCCCATTTAAACCTTTGTGAGACACCCCTATAGGAAAATGTTTGATCCCCAGCAGGACCAGCTGTTTGGCAAGGTTGTGGAACGCTGAGTTGTGGATCACATGGGTCAACAGAGGCAGGACTCAAAGGTGATAGATATTTGCTTCTGGTTCATCCCCAACTCTCTGATGCCTGATCCATCATCTGCAGGCGAGCTGACCCCAAACCAAGCTGCTCCATAATGACTTTCCCGCATGATGAACCACAACAAGCCCTTCAGTTTGTCACAACAATGAGAAAAGGAACCAATATATTCAGCATAAGCTGTTTCAAAGTGGATGGTTAAAGTTGGGGATGATGGAGAAGGAAGGACAAAGAGTGTTTTTGTTGTAGTTGGGGGTTTTTGTTTCTTTGAGGTGATGCAAATATTCTAAAACTGTGATCGTTCTACACATCTGCAAGTAAACTAAAACCCATGAAAGTGTGTGAATCATTCAGAAAGTGGGTGTAAGCAGCTCAGAATCTTTAAAACATTAGGTTCCTATGGTTAAGCAGGGAAGCCTACTTGTGTATGTGGGCTGGTAGCTAGACCTTTTAGGAACCTGGTGGCAGGCAGGCAGGTACCCACCAAGGCTGGCTCATGTGTGGAGGACCATCACCATCCTAACACAACTAGCATTTGAAGGGTTTGCTCTTGGCTAGAGGGAGGTCTAGTATTTCGTGTCTCCATATTGTCCTTAGCACATCCTTGCACTGTGACCACCCGTGAACTCCATTGTCACACACCAGAAATGAGGCTCTTAGGGTAAATGATTCCCCTGGTGTTCCTGTCCAGTCTCCAGAAAGCTGGGACTGCAGCTCCAGGGCCGCATACCTGGCCTCCTGCTCCACCTGCTCCTCCAGTTGCGCAATCTTAGCCTCCAGTGCCGCCACAGTAGACTTGAGCTTGGCTTTGACAGCACCCTCTACCTCCTGCAGCTTGCTACGGAGTTCCTTGTTCTGGCGCTCCAGCTGCTGCCTTGCACTCTCATTCTTCTGAGCTGCACTGCGCTCTGTGGCCAGCTCATTGCTCAGTTGCTCAGCCTGAGGAAGAGGAGTGGCCATGAGGCAGGAAGCTAGGGTGGATATCAGAATAAGTCTACTGCCATGGGTCCCTGAGGCTCTCTCCAACAACTGCATTCCTTGTCACCCTAAGACTCATCTCAGAAGCCTCCTGTGTTACCTACACTGAGCCAGGGACCTTCTGTTCAGTTCTTCCCATGCTCCCTAGACACTGACAGGCTACTGGTTGGTCCCTGGCACCTACCACAGAGGAATGCTCAGGACATTTCCACTCCACAGAGGCACCAAGGACCCTTGGGACTGGGCAAAGAGTGGTGAGGGGAAACACCAGAGCAGTTCACCATGGCCATGTGATAGAGGGAGCCAGATAAGAACCTGCAGGTCTGCCCATAGTTTTCTGAAGGTAGCAGACAGGTATAGGCATGGCACTAGTGATTAGGAGTGTACTTGCTGGTTCTCTGTGTCAACTTGACTCAAGCTAGAGTCATCAGAGGAACGAGCCTCAGCTGAGACAATGCCTCCTTGAGATCCAACTGTAAGACATTTTCTCATTTAGTCATCAATGGGGGAGGACCCAGACCATGGTGGGTGTTGCCATGCCTGCACTGTTGGTCCTGGGTTCTATAAGAAGGTGAGCTAAGCAAGCCAGAGGAAGCAAGCCAGTAAGCAGCTCCCTTCCATGGCCTCTGCATCAGCTCCTGGCTCTAGGATCCTGCCCTGTTTTGAGTTCCTCTCCTGACTTCCTTCAGTAGTGAACAGCAATGTTGAAGTGTAATGTAAGCTAAATAAACTCTTTCCTCCCCACCTTGCTTTTCGGTCATGGTGTTTTGTCCCAGAAATAGAAACCATAACTAAGACAAGGAGGAAGGACCCTGTGCCTTGTTTTCAGGTTTCCTTTCTCTCCCCCATCCCTGGAGCTGACACAAAGTAGGCCTATGGTGCATGTTACTTAGCCACTCCAGGGCTTCACCTAGACCCAGTCTCAGGAAATCCAAGGCACTTTGTTCCTTTGTGGGGAACATGGCCAAGTAGTTTTGCCTCACTGTAGCCCCCAGATGATCTGCTATTTTGAGTCTAATGGCTGAGTGCCCAGTACAGGCTGTCCTGTGTAGAGCAGAAGCAGCCACCCTGAACTAAATGGGTAGGGCAACCAGACAGGGGTAGGTTGCTTACTGAGCCCACTGTGCTAATTTAAATGACCCAAGGAGGTGTTCCCTCCTTTTCCCCTCACCCTGACCTCAGTATCTCCTACCTGCAGGGTAGCCTTGCGGACCCTGTCACTCATGGCCTCCATGTTGCCCTGCTCTTCCTCCAGCTCCTCCTCCAGCTGGGCGATCCTTGTCTCAAGGCGGCGCTTCTCATCCTGCAGCGTATTCCTGAGGGGAATGCAGAGCTGCCTTGGTACCCATGGGCCTTCCCCAGTCATAGGACACTCTCCCTGGAAAGCTGCTGTCTCAGGTGGCCTTCACTCTCTAACTCTAGAAGCAAGCTCAGGGGAGACTAAAGTCACCCAAGATCACCTTGTGTCATGGTTTGAATGTGACATGTCCCTCTTGAACTCATGTACTAGGGGCTTGGTTACCAACTGGTGGCCTCTGATAAGTGACTAGATTCTGAGGCTCTGACTTAATAAATAGGTTAGTTCCTTGATGGATTCAGAAAGTGATGAATTCCTGGATGATGAGAAGCAGGACACAGAGGCTAGTTGGAAGAAGTGGGTTGCAGAGGGGTAGGGTAAGTGTGTGTCCTTGGGGACTCTACTCTTCTTAAATCCACACAGACATTTTCCTGTCTGCCATGAGGTGACAGCCTCTTCATTATGCTCCTGCCACCGTGATGTTCTGTACTAGCCTGAATCCAGGATCAGCTGAAGATCTTGGGGTGAATCCTCTGAAATCACGAATCAAAACAAGCCCTTTCTCCTTTAAATGGCCTCTTGAGCCATATCAGAGCAAAATTATATTGAACCAGCTAGGAAGTGCTGAGCTGGGACTCACATACAGACCAGCATCAGCAATGGGACAGGAAGGATGTCTGCCTTTGTCCCTGCCACCACTCACTCAGAATGAATGAAATAGCACATTTCCAAATCAGTAGGTGGGAAGACCACAGGGTAGACCCTTTCCCCAGCCCGGGGTCTGTCCTGTCAGGGCTCTGGTGAGTGTCGGGTTTACTGTCGTTGAAGTGAGGGTTCCAGGGCGCACTCATGCTGGTTGTTCTCTCACGCCAAGTCCAGCGGCCTCCCCTGCAGCCTCACCTTCCTGACAGGCTGCTAGCCAGCTCCTCAGCCAGCTCCTCCTTCTCCAGGTCAGCTTGCTTGCGAGCTCTCTCAGCTGCTGCTAGGTCCTGAAGCAGGAGAGAGAGGCTCTAGCTATCTTGCTTCTGTCATCTGCCCTGCACAGCTGAAATGCAGTTCCCCTTCTGAGCTCAGGGAGGTTCTCTTTGCTCTTTGTGGAGGGAGGTCCACTCATTCAGAAAGAAGCCAAGCAGAGGGAAGGAAATCTGTGTGCCTAGGCCTGGGGGAGCAGTGTGGGTCCCACCACAGCTCCATGTGAGGCTGTCACCAGCAGGGGGAGCCTCTACCTCCTGGAGCTGCATGAGGTCTGCCTCCAGGCTCTTGGCTTTCTTCTCATTCTCCTTTGAGGTGGCGAAGATCTCATCTCTGGAGGCACGGGCATCATCTAGCTCTCTCTGGAAGTCCTTCATCTGAGCCTGCATGAGTCAAGAGGACAAGCGAGGTCCACTTCACTCACCTGGTTCTGCACAGGGTTACCTCTGCATGCCAACCCCTTGGAATTTCCAGTTTATCATGCTTGGGTGGGCCCCAGGCCTCCAGTGACAGAATTCTCCATGTGAACAGAGGGGAGTGAATGTCAGGGCCCATAAAGATGGCTCTGCTTCATCTTGGCTCGAGGTCAGAGAGTTCAAAACTGTCCTAAGTAAGACTTAAAGGTCTAAGGCATGGCTACAGTAGGATGTTTGATCTTGGCCTTGGGTATCTTATCTAAATAACAACAGACTTAGTCTGAGGTGTGATTACTCTTGACCCTCAAGACCAGATAATGGGAAATTAAGTCTAAGGTGTGGTTACCAAATGCTTGGAGGATTAAGGAAGAAAGTCTGTTTGTTCCGTGTATATGATACCGTGTCCCCCTTTTTGGTTAAGGTATTTAAGAATGCTGAAGAATAAACTTGACACATTCAGTATTCACTGGATTGCCCTCCTGACTCTATCCTGTGTCTCTGTCTTTTTCTTTTTCTTAGCGTCTTTATTTGCCCTTTCTCAATCCACACTCCCCCTCTCAGATCCAGTTGGCTGGATCCAACTGAAGCCCCACAAAGACGGAATTTGACAAGTGAACAAGAGCCCAGCAATGGTGCTTCACTCAGAAAACACCACCCATGGCTAAATAGTGACGCAGAGTCAGCCACTGGCCTACACCTGATAGGCAGGCTGCTTCCTGAGGTCTCCACATGGATGTCCCTGGCCTGGGGAGCCATGTCTTCCTCCACCTACACTCCCTACTGAACACAGCATTACCCACCTGCAGTTTTCGAAGCTGCTTGATGGCTTCCTCCCTCCCTTTGATGGCTGAGTCAGCCTGGAGCTCCAGGTCTTTCAGGTCCCCTTCCAGCTTCTTCTTGGCTGCTGCTGCCAGAGCCCTCTGCTTCCGCTCGTCTTCCAGCTCTGTTTCATACTCATGCAGCTGAGCCAGGACCAAAGGTACAGGTTACCGGATGCCCTCAGAGCCCTGGCTCACTTGGCTGCTCCCTGAGCTCCCAGGCACTCAGAACAATCCAGTGTACGTTGCTGGGGGTGGGGGTGTCCACTACTTCCACCATGTGTGTTTTAGGGGCTGAATTCAGGTCATGAATCCTGGCAGAAAGTGGCAGTGGAGGATGGGATGTCCCCAGTCCCCAGATGAGAACTGGCTCACCTGCCGCTGTAACTGCCTCCGCTTCTCCTCATTCTGCTCATCTCGAGCCTGGAGATCTCGTTCAAACTGGCCCTTGAGGGCCTGCATGTTGACCTCCAGCCGCAACTTGGCATCCTCAGTGGCCTGCAGCTCATCCTCCAGCTCCTCCAGCTGGGTTTTCATCTCTTCCATCTGGGTCTCCAAGGCGCGCTTGGACTTCTCTAGCTCATGCACCTGGTAGGCAGAATGGGCAGGGCCTTTGCTCAAGTAAGGCTTCGCCCTCACGGGATGGAGGCTTCATGAGGCTAGAGCGGTGGCCTCGGCCGCTAGGGCCTGACATGACTCCTGATGGCTCAGCCCCAGCCGCTGTTCCCTGGCCTCCTGTGCCCACACCAGACTGACGCACATCACTGAGACTCAGTACCACTTACATTCTTGCCCACGTCATCCTTGGAGCTGACCAGGTCTTCCATCTCAGCTTTGAGCATCTTGTTGGTCCTCTCCAGCTCCTCTTTGGCTTCCAGGGCCTCCTCAAGGGCCCGGGCTAGGGACAAAGCCTTTGTTTCCTTTTCCCTGGCCTCTGCTTCAGCTCGGTCCCTCTCATCCGCATACTTGGAAGAAATGTTCTTCTCCTCGGCCAACAACTGAAAGAACACAAGGCTCAGAGGCATCCCCAGCATCCCTGAAGCTCATTAAACCCCAGATAATGCAGAAGCTCCCATCACATTGAATGTACCCAGTGCAAGTGCAAGCAATTTAGATACACATGGAAGTCAGTTAAGATAATCTTACTTTCTCACTGCTAGAACAAACTGCCCATTGGGTGAGAACATCCTCCTACTGATGACAAAGTGACACTGAATAATGTTTTTGTTGCATGACCACAAGCACTTTTCTTTTTTTTTTCACAAATATCTTTCTTACAAAGTTAGGTTATGTACCATCCTGGGGTCTACGGTTATGCACATGCTTGGAGAAAAGTCAAAGATGACTCTGTTCCAACTTAGCTCTCATTTGATGGAGGAGAGAGCAGCGTGTTACAGACCTAAACCCACACTTGCAGAACTCAGTAGAGACAGATGGACAGCAAGGACCTCCTAACAGCCCAGGTGACATCGAAAACAACAGAGTATCGACAGGAAGGCAGTGAAAACAACTTCTGGCCCTCTAGTGAATAATGAGATCGTGGGCACAAATGACAGTCCAGAGCAGAATGGCTGCTGGGGAAGGAAGGAACTGGCTCAGCATGATGAGGCCAGTCAGGGGGAGCAGTGGCCCCTGAACCCCTAGCATTTGGACTCACAGCACAATCTGTAAACTGAGTTTTAGAATAACACTATATCACATATAAAATCATGTTTAGTAAGTGTGGATAACATATATTGGAGCTAGTATTTAGGAGTTTGGGTCATAACAAACTCATTTATCAGAACAGTATGACTGCACACTTAAAGGATGTATTCATTGAAGCATATGTAAATTTATAGATATAAAGATATTAAATAAAAATTAATTAATATTAGTGTTTTGAGATAGTCTTGCTATGTAGCCTAGCCCAGGCTAACCTTAAATCTATAACCCTCCTGTTTCATCTTCCTGAGAGTCAGAATTTCAGGCCCATGCCATCATGTCTGACTGCAAATTATTATTTTGTTTTGTTTTGTTTTTTTGGTTTTTTGAGACAGGATTTCCCTGTGTGGCTTTGGAGCCTATCCTGGCACTCGCTGGGGATATCAAGCTGGCCTAGAACTCACAGAGATCCGCCTGCCTCTGCCTCCAGAGTGCTGGGATTAAAGGCGTGCGCCACCAATGCCCGGCTCCAAATTATTTTTAAGTCTTTTTTTTAACGTTTGTTTATTTCTCCCTCTCCCCCTGCCCCCCTGTATGTACATGTGTGTGCCACAGGATGACCAGAGGACAATTTGTAGAAGCTGGTCTCTCCTTCCACCAAGTAGATTTGGTTTTAGAGACTGAATTTAGGTCATGAATCTTGGCAGCAAATGCTTTATAAGTTGAGCCATCTCATCAGCCCAAGTATCCTTTAATACACAATGAGACATGCTAATGGAGAAGCTCACAGATGCCTGTGATTTGCTTTGAAATGCACCCAAAAGATTAAATATGCTGGGTTTTGTGGTTCATCTTTACTATAAATAACTAGGTTATGTCTAGGCATAGTGGCTCACACCTTTAATATCAGCACCCGGGAGGCAGAAACAGGCAGATCTCTGTGAGTCTGAGGACAGCCTGGTCTACATTGTGAATTCCAGGCCAGCCAGGGCTACATAGTAAAATCCTCTTCCCTCACCCAACCTCCAAAAGTAGGGCAAAAGGCATGTAGCACACTGTTAATGAATGGTTCTGGGAATGACTACACAATTGCTTTAAATTTCACATAATGAAGCATTTGGGGAAAGTGGCATTAACTAGTATACACTTCAAGGGAAGGGGCTGTGCCTCAGTTGATAGAATTCTTGCCTACCACTCAGGAAGCCCTGGGTTCAATCCCCAGTACTGCATAAAACTGAGTATGGCACACCAGTGACCCCAGTGCTCCAAAAGTAGAGGCAGGAGGATTACAAATTCAGAAATTCCAAGTCATTATAGCTACATATTGAGTTCAAGGCCAACCTGGTCAACAGGAGACCATCTCAAAAAAAAAAGTGGAAAACAAATGATATGATCTGAAGAATAGATGCTTGGAATTACTTATTAACACCCAGCAGTGCTTCTGAGTATTTGCTGAGTAGATGGGATAAATGACCCTCATTTTATTAGGGCTTGTGATAGCCTAAGGCTATGTCTATGGGCAGTTTTCACAGTGTTTGTGCCTAGAAAACTCCCAATGGTAAGCATTCTAATCTGTTCACGCCCTGACCTAGTGGCCCTTATATGTCATGGTCACCTAAGATGAGACAAGACAGTCTTCCACTGCTTCCAGCAGAGTCCAGGTGAGATTCAGACTCACGGTGCCACCTCAGTACCGTACAGAACTGACCTCACCCCACGTTCAAGGACAGGGCAATGAGTTCTCAGCGCTACCTGATCAAATTTCCTCTGCTTCTTTTCCAGGTTGGATACCAGTTGTCGCTGGTTGTCCAAGTCCACGACCAAGTCATCCAGCTCCTGCTGAAGCCTGTTCTTCGTCTTCTCCAGTTTGTCATAGGCGGCAGCCTTTTCCTCATACTGCTGGCTGAGGCCCTCCATCTCCTTCTGCAACCTCTTCTTCCCCTCCTCCATTGCCTCCAGGGTGCTGGTAAAGTCCTGCAGCTTCTTCTTAGAGTCTGAGAGCTGGAATGGCCAAGAGTTGGGCCCTGAGAAGTGAACCCTCATCCTCCTCACTGAGGAAATCCAACAGCAGAGGGAACTAGTGAGTAAACAAACCACCCAGGCCCAGAGGAGTGGAGAGAAGCAGTGGGGACCCCAGGGAAGAGGGATCATAGTAGACCCTGGAGGTAAGGAGAGGACCCATGGTGGGCCCCAGAAAGAGATGAGGATGTACGGTGGGCAGTAGCATGCTGTCCACACCTGAATGTTTAGCGTGGAGATGTGGCGCTCCAGGTTTTGCTTGGCCTCCATCTCCTCATCTAGCTGGTCCTGCAGGCTGTTCCTCTCATCTTCCAATTGACGTAGTTTGGTGGACACATTGAGTTTCTGCCGGGTTTCTTCTTGAAGTAGCTCCTACAACAGAATGTATGCATGGGGGTCCCAGGGACACCCCCCAAGGAAACAGGCTCTCCAGGTCTCCCAGATAGTGTAGTAGGATACTCACTTGAGTGTCCTGAAGCTGGGACCCAAGGGATGACACATCCTTGGCCAGTTTGATGGCCTTGCCCTCTGCCTCATTGAGCATGCTTGTGACACTCTCTACTTCATTCTGAGGGGGGTGAGAGACAGGTGAGTTGAAACTCATATCACAGGTCAACAAGAAAAGCCCTTTTTACTGAAAGTACATCATGCACCTGTGTGGAGGGGTAGGTAATATTCTTTTGTATATATGTTTTTCTTACTGTTTGGCCAATGAGGCAAGATGATAGGTGGGATGAGGAGGTGAGAAGAATTTTGGGAAAGGTAGGCAGAGGAAAATCACAAAAGAGTCGCTATGTAAGGACTGGGAAGAAAGGATGTACCAGGAGTTCTCCAGTAAGATAAGACCATGTGGAAATACTTAGATTAATAGAAATGGATTAATAATTAAGACGGAGCTAGCCAATAAGAAGCCCTAGCCATCTGCCAAGAGTTTAATAATTAATATAAGTCTTTGTGTGTTCATTTGGAGCTGGAAGCAGTGGGACCTGGCTGGAAAGAAATTGCCAGCAACAGGTAGGTAACCTGTGGTGCCCAGTGACAGAAAATACCCAGGAGGGTACCCAGAAAATACCCTCTAAGAGCCTCATTATGTTGACTGGGCCCAGTTAGGATCCACCAAATTGGAGTCCAATTCCCCACCAAGGCTGGCAGAGATGAGCTGCAGATCTGAGAGTCCCAGTGTTGAAAGTCACTCCTGACTTGTTCACTCCTTACTGCCAGGGAGGAGACTGTAGGTAGGTCCTGCTCTCACCCCCTACTCAATACTCTTTCATGACCTTTATGGCCATCACCAAAGAGGTGGATGCTAAAGGCATGGAGCAGAGCCCCTCCCTGCATCTCTGTTCCACACCAGTCCTGATGGCTCTGCACAGGTGTGTCTGGAACGTACATCTACAGCCCCCACCTCACTTCTCCCATTTATAATGAAGCCGTGGGAGTGTCCCTGTGTATTGGAGTAGCAAACCCCAGTGGTGTTTCCCTGCTCCCTAGCCTGAGCTTGTGATCACAATACACATCAAACTTGAGGCCATTCTTTGGAAATTCAAACAGTCCAAATGTGTCTCTGGAGGTAAAACCAAAGGTAAACAGGCGCTGTCATTCATCAGCTTCAGTTGCCTCTGTTACTTGGAGTAAACACCAACATACATCTAATTGGGGCCTCAGGGGCCTTTTCTATCTAGTTACTACTTCCTTTTCTGGTCCCATTCTGTACCATTTCTTCTCCCAACTTGTCAGCACTGTGGCCTTTGACCCCTTCTACTTTTCACATTTACCACTGGGTCTTTGTATATATTACCACCTCTGCTTGAAAACATATGCATCTGAGTTAGTCCTCCCAAGGGCAGCCTTTGCTGACCCAGGCTACCCTAGTATTTGCCCTTGCAAGTAATATGTGTGTCTTCCAGATATTCTCTCTGTGTTCATGGCCATCTCTCCCACCCCACTGGGCTGGAGTTCAGATGGCACAGAGACATATCTGTCTTCTTCCTCTTTTATCTCAGGATTAAGCACAGTGCCTGCACTAGGTGCTCAAGAAATGTTCATTAAGTGTATAAATGAGATTTTGAAAGTAAGAATTCACACAAGGAAATGCAAGAATGTATCTCGAGGAAGCCAACTTGCTGGCAACCAAAGGATGGTCTGAGAGGCTGAGCAGAGGTCTCTTGCAGTAGAGCAGCAACCTGGGGATGCTGTCCTCACCTGTAGCTTGTGAACCTTGTCATTGAGCTCAGCCCGGGCACGTTCCCCGTCACTGCACTTGGACAGCACCTCCTGCAACTGCACCTCCAGCTTCTTCTTTTTGTGTTCCACCTCCTGCTTTGCCTGGCCCAGGACACGCAGCTCCCCGGCCAGGTCTGCATTCTCCTTCTCCAGCGTCTGCTTGCTTTTGTCCAGGTTTGCCTTGGCCTGCCAAGGGAAGCAGAGGGAGGTGGGCTTGTCTCTTCCTCTCCCTGCACCTCCCCCTAGTCCATCTCATCCAAGGGAAGGGACAAAGGGAGCTTAGAACTTCCGTAGAACTCCTTGGATGCCAGTTTCTTAACTCAGGAATCAAATCAAATCATACCTGGAAGCCCCATCAACCTGCTTCCATGTCCCCGAGGTCTGCTCTATATGGGATACCAAATTTTAGGACATATCCCACAAAAATAAGGATTCCCATATCTTTTTTAACAACTTCGTGTTCTGTCTTGTGTCTGTGGTGTTCTTTACTCAGATGGCTGCATTTGTCAAAATGCATTGAAAGGTACACTTAAAGTGGGTGAATTTAAGTTGGGTGGTAGTGGCACACACCTTTAATCCTAGTACTTAGGAGGCAGAAGCAGGTGAATCTCCATGAGTTCAAGGCCAGCCTGCTCTATAGACAGAGTTTGAGGACAGTCAGGGCTACGCAAAGAAACACTGTCTTGAAAAAAAAAAAACAACAAAAAAGTGAATTTAGCCAGGTATGCTGCACACAACTGTAATCCCAGCACTCCAGCTGAAGCAGTAGATTATCATGAGTTCCAAGATAGCCTGGGCTATAGAATAAGACCCTATCTAAAAGTAAGAAAAGTGTGTGTGGGGGGGGGTCTGTTTGCATGTTTCAATAATTCTGACTCACAAAAAACAAACTAAAGACCTGGCCTTATCTTCTCTCAAGGCAAAACCTAGCCCATCTAGGCAGCGGCTGCTCTGTTAGTGGGACAGAACCACTCCATTTGGCTCTGATTGCCACCATTCCCTATTATCTTTCACATTTATTGTCTAATTTCCCTGCTATCTCTGTGATCAAGTTGTTTTACCTAACTGCATGTTGGGTCACCTAAGGATAAAAACATGTCTGGGTTAAAACAGGAGGGGAACTTCAGCTGGTGAGGAGGACAGAAGACGAGCAGCTCCTGGAGTCCGGGCAAACCACTCAGCTTCCAGACACCTCACAACACATCTGGGCTACACAATCTCTCAAAATCTGAGAGTCACGAATCTCATAGCTTTTTGGGTTGTAGGATATTTGTATCTGCACATAAAGAAACACCTTGGGGAATGAACTCAGGCTGAACACGATTTGCCTCCTTTTCATAGACAATATCCCTACATCCTGAAGATCGTTTTACTATGGTATACCTGCATTCTGACTATGACCCATCTCACCAGGTCTGGGGTAGGATTTTTCACTTGCAAGGCACAGAAAGTTCTGGATTTTAGAAGCATTTCAAGTGCCAAAGTTGTAGACAAAAGTGGGTGAAGTCTGCCGCCATGACATGGTGTCCGGGTGTTTCCAGAGCACACACCCTTTTGAACTGCTCCAGCTGCTCCGTGAGCTCCTCCACTGCCTGTGTGTGCTTCTGCCTCATCTCCTGGACCTGGGCCTCATGGGACCGTGTCTCCTCATCCAAGGCCTTCTTCAGCACTGTCACCTCCTGTTCCCTCTTGGCTCTAGGGGAAAAGAACACAGTGGATGACACTCAGGTCAGAGACCAGAGACAGGTTTGCCTGTGATCGTACTGTGCAGGGACACAGGTTCTCCTGGTACCCAGAGCAGTGTGAGCCAGAGTGACTTGCCTACCTCTCTAAACCTGCAGTCTTGTATCAGGTGTGAAACAGGGAGCATATTGCTCCCAGAACCTCTCAAGGCTGGCAAACTAGCATAGAAACTATAAGTAAGATTGTGTCTGTGGTCTGCAGATGTCCCTTAAATATTAACACTGCTTGGATTTATCCAGTACTTACTATGTTCCTACCATATGCCAGGCCCTGAGCTAAGTTTTTCTTTTCTTGAAACAGGATTTTACTCACTACATAACCCAGAGTGGTCTCAAATTCACAATCCTCCTGACTCTGCTTCTGAGTGCTAAGATTATAAGCATGAGCCACCAAGCCCAGCTGGGCCTGGTTTCCATACATAGCATCTGATCCTCAGAGCAACCTACAAAGCAGTGATGTCATTTGCAGGTTAAGGGGAGAATCAGCTTAGGCATGGGGTCCCAACCACCCTGTGACAGAGCCACAACACCAAGGCAGCCTGATTTGGAGCTTTTTTAGCCACTGTTCTGCGGTTTTTGTTTTTTTTTTTTTTTGTATCTCCAGTGGGGGGAGGGCAAAAAAGTGGAACTAACCTTTAGTACATGTATAAAACCCAAAGAGTGGGGAATGCTGAGTCATAGCTAACAGAGTTGCCTACCCATAGGATATGCTCAAAAGGCTTATATGCTCACTAAATGAATAAATGACTTATGTTCACCAGAGACAGCAAATTGTCTGGGATATGATTGTCTCCTCTATTTACTTGTAGTGAATTCTAAGTTGGAGAGCAATCTGATGTTATTTTTAAAATTTATCATAAAAATTTATCATATACACATGTACACATTCAGAGGAAGAAATTACTTACAAACCCTAACTATGGGTGGAACTAGAGGGAATTTTCCTTTTTGACATCTATCATTTTAAAGTTTTACTACTGCTCTCCTGCAGATAAAATTAAACATACTCATGTTCTAGACAGAACCAGGAAGGTCAGTGATTTCAGATCTGCTTGGAGTCAATGGCCCCTGGTGTCCAGCCCCTGTACCTGAGCTCCTGTTGTGTGGCTGTGCTGTCCAGTGTGTCCTCCAGTTCTGTCTTCAGTGCCTCCAGCTCCTCCCCCAGGTCTCGCTTCTGCTTCTCAGCCTTGTTCCTGGCAGCCCGCTCTGAGTCCAGGTCCTCCTGTAGGTCTGAGACATGGCCCTCCAGCTCTCGAATCTTCTTTAAGGCATTGTTTTTCTGGGAGATCTCTTCATCGAGCCTGCCCAGGATGGAGCACCAAGATTAAGACCCTATAAGCCAAAGCTATCCAATGCCACAAAAATCTGTCCAGGGACTGGATCCTGTGTCCCAAAGTGCAGGAGGCTCAGCTTAAAGAAAGCACTGGAGAAACCAGGATTGTCAATCACATGGGCCTGTTTCCTTCAATGGAATGGAATGAACGATGCCTAGTCACCTGGAATGCCACAGCAAAGAATGGTCAACCAACCTGGCGATTCTTTGCTCTTCTTTTAGGAGACAGCCTCCCTTTGAATCCCCCAATATCCTGAGCGTTGTTTAAGCCCTGAACCTGCAGTGAATAGGATAAATTCCCACAAAAGAGTCCTCTTGTACTTTACATCCTCCTGCCTCAGTCTCCTGAGTGCTGGGATTACCATGACATTCAGTTTTGCTATCCAACTTGACTATGAAGAATGAGAAGGCCCAGGATGAGGGACAAGCAGGTGCTCTGATGTTGTGCTTACAGCCCAGTGCCTGCCAGAGAGATCAGAGTCTTTCTGGGTGACCCAGCTACTGTTCCAGCACAGACTGAAGCAACATTTTCCATTAGTTACCCATCTGCCATGCTCTCCAAGTTAGAAAAGAGAGATGAGACAGAAGACTAATCAGAAAGCCCTGGGTTCGGGCCCCAGCTTTGCCTCTTACAAGCAGTGATAGCAGGAACCTCCTCAACTCCCCCAGAGAAGTGAGCTTGAGAGTGGCACAATGGTTGGGTGCCTGAGGGTGCTTCTGGGAATGATCTGAGCACACAACAAACAGGGTGGTAATTGTCGCTTGCTGCTACTGTATCTGCATCTTGAGGCCAGCCAAATGCCAGGTGACTCAGGCTGTGTGACCAGGAGAAGTGTGGCCAGAAGCTAGGGAAGAAGCCCACGTGCACAGAGAGAGTAAGATGGGGAGGAGGAAAGCCACCCAGTCTAGACACGTGGTGGATACTGAGAGAGATGGACTCAGTGGGTGACTGGAAACTCAAAACTGGCATTCAGATGACAAATTCTGGGCACCCCAGATGCTGCAATCCCATTGGAGTAGGGAGGCTGCAGAGAGGATGAGTTTAGAGGGAAGAGAATTCAAATATGAGATTTAGGGGTAAGAGCATAGTTGGGAAGGCTTGCCGGAGACCTGGTCTGAGAAGCAATATCTATCCTAAGGGCCTGTGGCCTCCTCAAAGAGCAGAGGGCCTCACACACACACACACACACACACACACACACACACACACACCACACCTGGCCAGGGCTGCTTGTAGCTCCTCCTCTTTCTTTGCCAGCTGCATCTTGAGCTCCGCAATCTGTGCCTGCAGGTCAGCGATTTGCTCATGGTAATCACTGGCATCACCCTCCAGTTTCCTCTTTAGTTTCTCCAGCTCCTGTCGGTTCTTCTCTTCTTTCTTCAGCCTCACTGCAAAAGAGCCAGGGCTGCCTCAGCAGGGAGACAGGAAGACACCAGGAAGAAGCCTATGCCTTTCTGCCTGGGTTGTGGACACTGGACATTCAGCCCTAGATCCCTCTCTAGTAGAGGGAATACCAACCCTGAGAAAAAGCTCCTTTCCCATCAGGGTGTGCTGCACACACACAGTGCGGAGCCCAGACAGTCTCTTTCCCAGGGTAATCTGCCTTCTAAAGGGTCCTTTCTGATTTTTCTGGTTTATTAGTTTTTAAAAAATATTTATTTTATCTGTGTGTATGTGTATGAGTGTGTGTGCACATGTGTGAGTATCTGGTTGTTTGTGTGTGTGTGTGCACATATGTGGATCCATGTTCATGTGTGCGTGTCTATGTGAGTGTGTATGCACATGTGTGTGGGGCCTTTGGAGGGCAGAAGAGATCTCGTGTAGCTGGAGTAATAGGCATTTGTGAGCCTCCTACTGTGGGTGCTGGGATCCAAACTCTGGTCCTCAGGATTTAGCAGAAAGTGCTCTTAACTGTTAGGCCATCTCTCCAGTCCCTGTGTATTAGTTTTAAAAGTTTTTAAATAATTCTATTATTTTATAGAATAGTGGGGACATTTTCATAAGGCACACATGGTGGGACTTTGCTTGTCTTTGCCTCAATTACTCTCTCTCATCCCTCCTCCCCCTCACCCTGTCCTCTTTCTGTATTCAAAAGTTTCCTCTTTCTGCTTTCATGGTTTTCCTATTTTGAAATCCGATTCCACATGAGAGCAAAGCTATTGTCCTTTTTCGCTCCCTATCTCCCTCTCCTGTCTAGCCACCTGCCCTACCTTAATACCCCTTCCCTTCCATAGGTCCCCTTCAGTTTTCATGTCCTGTGCTCGTGCACCTATTTAAAATCAAGACCCTGTGCTGAGGGTGTAGCTCTGCTGACAGTGCGTGCCTAACATGCACAAGACCCTGGGTTCAATTCTTAGTGCCGAGTAAGTTCACCTGTAATGCTAGCACCTGGGAGGTGTCAGCAGGAGGATCAGGAGCTCACAGCTGCTAGCTTTGGCTACACAGTAAGTTTCAGGCTAGCCTAGGCTACATGAGACCTATCTCTAAAAATAAAGCAAAATAAGTGCAACGGGGTGACTCTGTGGTAAAGGCACTTGCAGCCAAGCTTCACAATCTACATTCAGTCCCCAGAAGCTGCACAGTAGAAGGAAAGAACCAACCCTACAAAATCATCTGTGACTTCCATGTGCATGCTATGACATTCATGACCACACACCTCATACACACACACACCACATCACTTATACAGACACCATACACATACAACCACACACACACACACACACAAACAAACACAAACACACACACACACACACACACACACACACACCACACATACACACCACATACACACGGACACCAACCAAGTAATAAATACATTTTTAAAATGGAAAATAAAATTTTATATAACAAAAATATATAAAACAAAATATTAAAATCTGGATTTGTCTTTGAGCCGAATTCATTTCATTTAACATGGTTTCTGGCTCCACCTATTTCCCTACTCACCCTCCAGTTCTGAGATCATGGACTCATGCTTGCTCTTCAGCTTTGTGAGATTTTTAGCTTTTTCTTCCTCTTCTGCTAGATTGGTTGTCAAGTCACTGACCCTCTCTTCAAGGAGTTTTCGTTCCTTTTGGGGGAAAGGGGAAAACAATCATCGAAGTGGTTTCTGATTTTTCCCTCCATGGTCTATGTTTTATTTCCAGCAGTTTCTATATGAACATTTTAAAGACAACTCCAGATGATAGAAGTTCTTTAGGAACTTCTCAGGTTGCCCACTTCTTGTCTCATGCCGGTGTGTCCTGCACACTCATGTTCAGCTAAGGGCTTCCCCATTCCTGCCACATGACAGCTTGTCTCTGCCTCAGAACCTTTGCAGGGCAGGTCAACGCTCTATTCCTATCTGTTCCTCAATCTGCATTCATGCTATCTCCTCCAGAAAGTCTCCTTGGAGATTTTCCTTCATGCCCTAGTATTCCACTCCTAACAGGGTGAGCATCTTCAGACCCTGGTCACAATGGTAATGGTTACTTCTGTCTCACTAGCGCGTAAGACCCTGTGCAGGACATTGGCTTCCTGCTCCATGAGTGTTCTGATCCACAGAGAGCCCAACCCACAGGGGACACAGCTGATGCCCAGTTTGAATGGAGTCATCTAGCTTGCGATTACTAACTGAAGTTATCACTTATCCCCATTTTCACAGGGTGCTTCTGCCATTAATGCTGGACGTGTGACCCAGACAAGCCTGGCATATCTAACTCACTTTTGAAAGCTTGTTGTTCTGATCGTCCATGACCAAGATGTCATCCTCCAGTTTCTTGATCTTGGCCTCAGCTGTGACCTTCTCAAGCTGTAGTTTCTGTCTTGCAGCCTCCTCTTCCTCCAGCTGCTCTTCCAGGTCCTTGGTTGGGAGAGAGATAAGGATCACAGCCTTGCTGGAACAAAGTCACTAGAGGAGATTTGAAGTTAGCTAGTGTGGAGGCTGGGATGAGGATGCCCCACACACTGCTGTCTCCATCAGAAGGAAGACCAATGCTTTGCTTCATTCAGTATCAGTGATGTGTTTAATGGGGAGTGGGTACCACACTCCAGACATTCTTTGATAGTCATTCCTTCCAGAGGCAGGAAATCAGGCCCCATGAATGTGTGGGGGACTAAGAACTCTCAACACAATTGGAAGGAAGTAATAGGTTGTAAACTCAGAGGCCTGGTGAGAATGGAAGTCATTGCAGCTTTCTCCCTCCTTCTGAGGGCATTCTACAGCCATGACAGGAGGGAGCCCAAGCACCCACATGAAGTGGCTGAGAAACTGACACCACCTGCTAACAGCCATGCAAATAAACTACAAAGAAGCTTATCTTCTAGCCAGTTTGAACCTTCAATTGACTGGCCCTATTTGGGATCTTGATTGCTAACTTCATGAGTGACCGTAAGACAGAATCATTCGACTAAGCCCCTCCCCACGTGCTGACTACTAAGATAAATATGAACTGTTTGAAGCTGCTATGTATGAGCTGTTTTGATACAGTGTAATAGCTGACACAGTTATCCTTTATACTACGTTACTAACAGGAAGTGGGTCAGCACACAGAAGACAAGGCAGGCTCGGGAGTCTTGTGTTCGGTCCCTGCCCTAGCTCTGTGGTGTTGGGCAGATGGCCATTGCTCTTAGTGGCCTTAGTGCCACCATCTTCCAGCATCAGGGCCATGTACCATCAGATGCCTCCACGGAGGGTCCAGTGGATCTATTTCTGCCATAAGCTGCCCCTGCAATGACTTACCAGCATCTGCTGAGCCATCTTCTTCCTCTCAGCCTGTAGTTGCTGGCCCCGGTCCTCCTCTTCCTCCAGGCGTGCCTCCATCTCATGTAGGATCTCTTCCAGTTCCTGCTTCTTGGCTGCCAGCCGGACCCGCATCTCCTCGGCCTCAGCATACAGTTCTGTCTCTGCCTGCAGCTGCTCCTGCAGCAGAGTCTTCTCCTCGGACAGCTACATGCAGGGTTAGGAGGTGGCCATGTCTCACCGTGGGCTGGGCCTTTGCATGTGCTGTCCCCACAGCCCTCTGCACACTTCTTTTTTAATACCTGTGTATGTTTCTGCTCCAGTTCCTTCAGCTCAGCTTCTGCCTTCTGCTGCCGTTCCTTGATCTTCTGCATCTCCTCCTCTTTGGCCTGCATCTCTTCCTCCTGCCGTGTCACCTGGAGCAACGGCTTTACCTGCATATAGATATACATAGCCATCATTAGTGTTTTTTTGGCCGAAGGGAGCCATTTTCATCAAATATGGGATTGCTTCTCGGCTACAGATGATTTTTCCATCACCACACTTGGCGATGTCAGGGACATAATGAGCCGTTGAAACAGGAATCAAGACAGCAGTGGCATCAGCAGCTAGAGGCAAGATATATAGCTTACATTCTAGAACAATTTCTGAGACCCTCTTCCACAAGACAGAATTGCTGAGCCTCAACTATTAGCATGGCAAAGGTGTGGGACCTTTCATTGTTTCTTTTTTGGAGTGCTGGGGATTGAACCCAGGGCTGTGAGCTTTACCACTGAGATACACCCTGAGTCCATGGGCCTCTTATTAGATCAGTTTATTAGAACCAAATGAAAGGAGAAAGAACCAAGGGAGCTGGAGGTGGTTTATGCATCTTTGCAAGGAAAAAAGAAGAAAAAATCCTCCATTGCTGTTTCCCCGCCATAGTCACTTTCAAAATTTTTCTTCTGGTCTGTTTTTTTTTTCCCCTGTGTAAAAAATAGTCTTGAAGGTTGACCATGGTGGCATATACCTCTAATCTCAGCACTGGGGAGGCAGAGGCAGGGGAAATCTCTCTGTGTTCAAGGTTAGCCTGGTTTACATTAAAAAGTTCCAGACCAGCCAGAGAGACCCTGTCTCAAAAAGGAGAACAAAAAGGCAAGTATTGAACTGAATGCTTAGTTGTATATTCTGTTCTCATCATTTAATTCTGTTCCTCTTTTGTATTTTGTTCTCATCACTCATTGTTTCTTAGCTCGTGCTGTCCATCAGTCTGTGCAACCCCAGTTCTGTACAGGCATTGCTTTTACTAGTTGACTTCCCACCACCATCCCCATCAATAGGTGAACCAAACCAATGAGTCTGCTTTGGAAATGTTGTCACTGTCAAAGAGGCTGTGGAAGGTGCCCTGAATCCCTGCTTTTCTTTATGGAAGATGGTCCCCTCAGAACAGTTCCTTGGAATGTGGGTTCATGGGAACATTTTCAGAGAGCAGCTTCCTGTCAGGCTTCTTCTTCAGCTTGCCTGACACCCAGACCCTCTGCCAGTGAACCCCATGGTTGCCTTCACACAGTTAGCAGGATTTGCAATTACCTGTTTCTGGGACCTGCTTGTTATCATCTGCCTCTCCAGTTATCTGGCATATTCATGAAGCCACAGACCATAATACCAACTAATACACACCTGGCATACAACAGGTACTCAGTAAGTACTTTCTTGGGGAAAGAATTTACACACTCGAGGACATGTAAGGGGAATATATAAGTTTACAGTCAGTTAACATGTCTTTGTGCAGCCAGTGATACTGTCAAGGCCAGTGGTTCCCAAAGGCCCTGCAAGCTGCAAGGAATAAAATGATCTACCAATTCAAGCAACAAGTGAGGACTTCCTGCTTCATCATGCTAAGTGAAAGCACCAATCCTACAAGGCACCACACCACAGGACTCCATTTACATCTAAAACAATGGGGTACAGAAACAGAGGGAAGAAGTGGGGCCATTAGGGGCTACACAGAGAGGTGGGTTTGTTACACGAGTGCAATAAGATGGATTCTTGAGGTGACAGAAACACCTTGATTTGCCTTAAGGTCATGTAACCCACAAGCCAAAGGGGAGGACCTTTGCAAGCCTACATCTGAGGTCTGACTTCAGGCCTCTATTTCTACAGCCACTTTGGACCACCTCCCACTCCCACATCTAGAGAAGATCTCAGAAGGGTTTAGGGATGGGGAACTGGAGGTGGTCAGATGACTTCTGGGAAGGTGTAGAGCTAATCACTCACTTTCGTGAAGAGTCTCCACCATTGCCAGTTGCGGAGCTTGAGGTAGGCAGCACAATTCCTCTGGATCACCTTCATGGCTGTCAACTGTTGCTGCCTCTTGGTGAAGGCCCTGGGGAGAGTGGGGCAGGGATTTGTCAGGTGCTTCCCTCATGGTTCATGGCATCATTCTCTGTATAGGACATCCTCCATCCACTCTAGCCAAGTCTTCCTGAGGACCAGAACCAGCGTATTATCTGGTCAAGCTAGTTTGGCTGGCTCCCAGAGCCTTTCTCAGTAAGCAAAGGAAACTCCAGGTTCACAAATACTTCAGAATCAAAGCTAGAAATTATATCTAAGAGAAAGTTCTATGCTGTTGTTTCTATAAGGATCCTTCACACCTCTAGTTGTGCTAGTTGAGTTCTGACAGACTTATTTATTCCTTAGTAGTATTTCCCAATCCTTAATACCAAATCAGCATTATATTTCTTTAGAGCTTCTGGGTTTTGAAAAACTACAGAATGGTGACTACAAGCCCATTCTGCCATGTTAGCTGCCACATTGACTGTGGGTACACTTAAGAATACCAATTATTATTAAGAGTACCAATTATTTTGGGAACAGGAATGATGCCAAGAAAGAATTTAATATAACATTTAAAAAATTAGGACTGTTGTACTAAGGACCCCCCAATATCTGGACTTAGCTATATTGAGTCTCTCTGACTCAATCAGGGCTGTGCAGATGTGGTGTGGACTATATATATACTTGATGATAGCACACACTTCAGGCTTCGCCATCTGTGAGATAGATCTCTCTGGGGTGGTTTGTCTTCCTCCCTCCCTCCCTCCCTCCCTTCCTCCTTCCCTCCCTCATCCCTCTTTTTCTTTCTCCCTTTCTTTTTTTTTGGGGGGGGAGTTGAGAAAGGGTTTCTCTGTGTTGCCCTGACTGTCCTGGAACTAGCTCAACAGACCAGAGATCCTCCTGCCTCTGCTTCCCAAGGGCTGGGATTAAAAGTGTGCACCACCATGCCCAGCAGGGGTGTCTTTCCTTGAGGAACCTGAGTCTTCACCTGGACACCAAGTGGAACAGGTAAAATATTACAACTTCTAAGGTCCCACTTTATGAATCCTATTTGAACATGGGGCTAGAGATACAGGTGAATAATCTTTCCTCTGATACGTGATCAGAGCCTAAGACTTGTGAAATGAAAACCAGCCACACTCTAAGCCCTTCCTGTGGATCACTACATTAACTCCTCTACAACAGTTTCCTGAGGTAGAAATGATCACACTCAGGAGAAAGCTGAGCACATAAACTGAGGAATTGAGAGGAAAAACCCAGGTCTAAAACTCTCCAGTCCATTGGCCGTCATTCTGTCCTTCCTGCATCTAAAACCAGCATATACTTTTCAGTTGGGTGCTTCTTGTTCCTCTCAGATGGAAGCTGTTGATTAAGAACACGTCTTAAAATAGATGGCTTCTTGGAATCAGGGCATCCCAATACAGGGCTGGAAATCCCCTTCTCTGGACTTTTTGTTTCCACTATGAATTTGGGGGAACTTTTAGGATACAGGAAACTGTGTTTACTTTCTGGCCAGGTAGCCACGACACATTGCCTGGAAGGCCATGATGACATCAGTAATCTTCAGGTCTCGTTCCTCTTCCAGGTGGGCCAGGACTCCCGTACGGAAGAAGATTTTGCTCTGCCCAATCCTATATAGGTTGGGGTCGAGTTCAAGGGCTTTGATCTGAGGAGGAGGGAAGAGGAGAGTTGCCATTTTCAACTGTACCATTTGTTTAGTGGTGACATGTGTTTAAGGACCATCCCACCACCCAGATGGGCAAATAAGACCCAAAGCCAGGAGGTGTCACAATTTGATGTCTGGAAGGGTGCAGGATTAAGCTCACCATGAGAATGCAAGCTTGCTTTCCATCCATGAAGCCTTTGGGGATGGCGTTTGCTGCCAGGATCTCATAGCTTAAAACACAGGACAGAAGTCACTCAACACATCTCCATCTTTCATGCTTTCTTTAGGGCTCTTGCCTCCACTGCCACACCAACCCCAGAAGGATCACTCACCGTTGCCGGAACTCTTGGAAGACAATCCTGTTGGGGAAGCCCTGACGGCAGATGCGGATGCCTTCCAATACACCATTGCACCGCAGCTGCTCTAGCACTAGAAATGCATCCAATTTTCCAGACTGTGGGAGTAGAAGAGGCCACTGAGCACTGGAGCAGCAAGCCCCAGACCTCAGGGCTAGAAAACATACCTGGCAGTCAGTCTATGGGGTCTTCACAGGGTTTAGCTGAGGGGCAATGTCTGCTGTTGCCATCTCTGGGTTTCTAAACTTTTTTGTCACCATTTGTCCCATAGCCCCATTGTGCCTCATGGTGCTAGCACCCCTGGGGCTGTTTCCCCCTCATCATCCCTTCCCTCAGTTCCTGGCTAACACCACCCCTTAGCTCTAACCTTCCAAGTCTCTCCCAGTAAGTTTCTTAAAAAAAAAAAAAAAAGCAGATGTGGTGTACATGTGTATGTATTCATTTTCTTGCATGTGTATGAGAGTACAAACATGTGAACATGTGTGCATATGAATGATATGTGTGTGATGTGTGTGTGTGTGTGTGAGTGATATGTGAGATGTGTGTATGTGCCTGTGTGTGTGTGTGTATGTATGTGAAGTCTGTGTATTCATATGTATGTGTGTACCTTTGGAGGCTCAAAGTTTGTGTCAGAAATCATTCTCAATCACTCTTCTATCATATTCATTGACTCATTCATCCACTCAAACTCAAAGTTCATCAGTCTCTTAGCTGAACTGTTCTGGGGATTCCCTGCTTCTGTCTTCTGAGATTAAAGTTACAAGTGGGCCACCATACCCACCTACTATTTATGTGGGTTTCTGGGGTTCCAAGTCCTATTTGTGGCAAGCACTTTAAGTGGCTGGGCCTGTCTCTTCTACCCAGACAAGCACAGCAGCTTCCAATTTGGTCCTCTCCCCTCAGTCCTGCCTGCCCCTTCTAGCTTCTCATTTGGTCTAAGGCATCATTTTGATCATGACCTACTGCCTAAACTCCATCAGTGGCTTCCTACAGTCAGGGTGTCATCACAAAGGGCTCCATAATCTAGTCCAGTCCTGTCCCTACCTCACACCATCACACAGAAACAAGGGGGCTGGAGGAGGGCTCACTCCATACAGTACCTGCCTTGTAAGTGCAAGACCCTGAGTTCAGGACCCATGTAAAAAGCTGAGCATAATGCCATGTGCCTGTAAGTATAGAACTCTATGAAGGGAGGCAGAGACATGAGGATTCTGAAAAGCTCCTAGACCAGTTGAACTGTCCTACGTGGCGAAGCTTCAGGCCAGTGAGAAAGCTGTCCCACACAGAAGTGGAAGGTGCCTAAGGACTGATACCAGAGCTTGTCTCTTGACCTCTATAGTACACTGTTTATATACACCCTATATCCATAGTAATGAACACACACACACACACACACACACACACACATGTGCACAAGGCAAAACCAATACAAAATGACCTAGCTATAGTTTTCTTATCTAGACCCTCAATTTCTCACCTCCATATATTTTCTTACCCCAAGCCCTTGACCTAAAATGCCTCCAAACATACTCATACCCCACTCTGCATTATCAAACTGATGCCTAACCATTTCTTTTTAAATGATACTTATTTTTTATGGTGTATCTGTGTGTATAGGGGGGTAGGTGTGGGCACAAATGTGCCACAGTGCATACGTTGAGGTTAGAGTGCCCTGAAGAAGTCAGATTTTCCCTTCTACTATGTGGGTCCCAGGTATGCAACTCAGGTCATTATCCTCGACAGCAAGAGCTTTACCATCGAGCCATCTCCCCAGGCCATTTCTCCATTCTTTTTTGATTTTTTGAGACAGAGTTTCTCTGTGGCTTTGGGGACTGTCCTGGGACTCGCTTTATAAACCAGACTGGTCTCAAACTCACAGAGATCCGCCTGCCTCTGCCTCCTGAGTGCTGGGATAAAGGCGTGCACCACCACCACCTGGCTCATTTCCCCTTTCTTAAGGTTCTCGCAGAGGCAGCTAGTCCAGCTTTTTGTTGTTTTCGGTTCTAGCCTGTGTATCAAGGTTCCTGTGGTCTCCCACAACCTCAGCATCAGTGACATTTGGGGTTCACTAATTCTCTGTTGTAGGAACGATGGGGCACAGGATGTGATGTCGAGCAGCCTCCCTGGCCTCTCTCTACTAGATGCTGTAGCAATACCTTCCACTTGTGAGAAGCAAATGTGTCCCCAGTGATTTCTCCAACCCTGTATCCTAAGTGTCAGCCACAAACAGCAGCTCGGCAAGCATTTACTTGAAGAATGGAAGGAGTGATGGCCTCACCGCCCATGACACTACCTAGTTGAACAGTCTCTGCAAAGATTCCCTTCCTTCTTTATTTCCTTCCTTCCTACTTCTTTTTCCTTCCTTCCTTCCCCTTTTCCTTCCTTCCTTGATCTCCATTGCTTTTAGGCATGGGTAGTAGGCCCCAGATCCAGACAACTCTCCACATGTGTAGATACAGGCCTTTCTTGAGGATGCTTAGGGCAGGAAACAAGGTCAGACCTCTCTTTCTGCCCCTCCACCTTGTTTGCCTCGTTGCCTCTCAGGTTCCTCTCTACAGTCCTCCAACACTACCCTATGGGCAGGAGCTCCATGCTGGGGGATACCTCACCCTCTTTTCATGGTTGGGGATGATGCAGCGCACAAAGTTAGGCGTGGTATTACGCAATGTAGTCATCAGCTTCCCCAGCTGTTCCTTGTAGAGCTGGCCCACGGTGCGGAACATGCCCTTCTTGGTCTTAGAGGCGCTGGGCAGTGAGCTCTCAGTCATCTTGGCCATCTGGTCCAGCCCCACAATGCGGTCCACTGTGGGGTACATGGAGGGTGACATTAGCCTCTGACCCCTACAGGGGTCCTGTACCTCTGCCACTAGCCAGAAGACCAAAATGTGATGATGGTGGTCAAGGGACATGTTTTGTGCAGGTGATACTCTATGGGAGACTCCAGACCCCAACTAGGGGCATACCATCCACATCTTTCTCTCTGATGGTAGGGTAAGGGCCTCTAAGTAGTGTCAATTTGGGCATCCTTGAGAGCACCCAAGCAGCAGAATAAACCAATGTTCTCTGTTTGGTCACAGAGACCAAAGGAGACAGTTTCATTCTTGGTACTAACTCACTGAGTAGCCTGGCCCTGGCACTGTATTGTGTTTCAGCTTCCCTTTCTCAACTATGGCAGCAATAGCAGCACCTAACTCCCAAGGATGGAATGTGGCCACAAGGCATAGAAAAGCCTGCAGCTGCACAGTAGCCTTCAGTACTTCCTCTATCCTTGGGGATTTGCTGAGAACTGACCATGTATGGGCCCTAAGCACACACCAAAGGCCCTGCCCACCTCAGTTCATAGGTAACCATCGCTAACAGAAGGAGGTGGACAATGAATTATACTATATCGGGTGGTGAGGTTTACTTAGAAAAATCAAGAATAGATAGTGAGGGAGAGGGTAGGAGTGAGAAGAGGAGAGAAAGGGGAGAGGAGAACAGGATGGGGCAAACAAGAGGGAGAAAAGGGGTGATCTTCCTGAGGCAGGGTGATGTGGAGTATCTGTCTGAGAAACTGATCTTTGAGCAGATACAGAAACAAAGGAGTGGTCACCCAGGTGTCCACCTTTCCACAAATACACAGGTGTCCAATGGATGAACGTTCTTGATCGAAGATACAGCAATTGCTCTGAGGAGGAACTGAGCAGACTGGTAAGCGCTCAACAGAACAAGCAGTGGATAATATTACTACCACAGAGGAACTTTCACTTTGGGCAGGTGCTCTGCCACACAGCCACGGCCTTCCTGTTTCTTCTTCAGAATGGAATGAGAAGTGCCCACAGGCTCAGCAGGTGCTGCCATCATGGCCAGTTGGTGCAGCACTGGATAAAGCCAGAGTTTCCTATGTGTCCAAGCTCCAGCCCCAGCCTGGGCTTTAGTAGGGGGACCCTGGTGCAAGGCTGCACACCACTGGTGAGAATTAACCTCATGCAACTCCTGTGGCAAGCAAGATGAGGTGCTGACCCAGTTTACCAATGAGGACATCCAAGCTTAACTGTTAGGCAACACGTCTAAAGTCACAACTCGTATGTTGCAGAGACAAGACATGAAGTCCTTCTGACTTCATCATGGGGACTGATTCATCATGCCTAAGTTAACCCACTTCCTGGGCCCTGATACGGGACCTTCTTGGTAAATCTAGGAATGGGATAGAGGAGCTCAATGTCCCTCACTTAAGAAGAAGCTATGAACTGAATTTTCCAGGGAAAAGAGACAGATATATAAGTTAAAGATTCTACAAGGCTGACAGATTGGTAATTCCGGGGAGTTGAAAAGTTGCAGACCCAGAACCAAATCATCTTGGGCTATCTTTAGTCCTTAAATGGCCATTTATCATCTATATCCATGCCCGACTTAATATTAATCTGATTATCACAGACAGTTTGAGGCTGTCTTAACAGACTGCCAATTTCCACTGACCCTAAAGCTAAAATGTCTTCAGGTCCCCACCAGAGCCCTTAAAAGATTACCTTGATTTATGACTTCCTTTTGTTATGGAACATTAAAACATCATAAAACCATGTCCACAATAAGACATGTCGTTTGGAGTATCCTGAGCTGGTGTTTTCCAGCCACAGTCACTCACACTTGGCTTAGAATAAACTCTTACTTCCTATAAAGGGAGAATTGTGTGTTGTGTGGACAAAAGTGTTTCAGTGTGATAGCATGTGACAGCTTGATCCTCTCCCAGTCCCCATGTGGGGCCTCCCAGGCTGGGGCAGATGTAGAAACCAGGGCAGTAGGTCTCAGGTGTTCAACCTTCTAGCTCTTAGCTGCCTCCAGGACAGGAAGGGAAAGCCTTACCATCCTTCCACAGGTCAGCCACAAACTTGTCGGATGAGGCATTGAGGAGTGAGGTCACATTGTCATTTAGTGGGTCCATGTTCTTGGTAAGCCAGGCACTTGCATTATAGTCCACCTGCCAAAAGCCACATGACATCAGGCTCACTTCCCCAGAAACCTCACCTCAAAGCCCAATTCCTCCCATATTTCTCACATCTCTAGACATCAGATGGGAAATGCCATTTTTGCTTCCACTGATATAATAGATCTCTACTGACATCAAAGAAGAGATCAATAGGTCAGAATCTTCAGGGACCCTGCACATAGTAGGGCATTCACCAGTGGTAAGCCAGAGCCTGAAAAGCCTCTTGCTCTTCCATACAGCCTCATAGGGGCCACTTTTTGCCATAGCCTCACACTAAGCCCCGGAATTGAATGAGGAAGGTAACAGTGACAAAAGCTGTCCTAGACACCCCATGCTTCCCCCATCGCAGGGCAGCTTGACAGGAATCCTCATTATTAAATTCAGCACAGGGGCTTCTTCCCCACTGTCTGATAAATAGGGCTTATTTTACTGTGCTTCATCACAGTACAGGGAATTGAACCCAGGATGTCAAGCAGGGTAGGCACGCTAGTCTGTTCTCTGTGGCAGTGGTAAGACACCAGGACCAAGAGCAGCCTAGGGAAGGAAAGGGTTTATTTGGCTCAGAATTCCAAGCTAGAGTCCATCACCAAGAACAGTCAGGGCAGGGATTCAAAGTGTCACATCCATAGAGAAGGACACAGTGGAGCAAAGGTACCTATGCTGCCTGTTTCTGCTTTCTCCTGTCACCCAGGAGGTGGTACCACCTGCATTCAGGGCAGGTCTTTGCACCTTAATTAATGGTCAATACAATTATCCCCCAGCCCAACAGGCCCACAGGCCAACCTTACCTAATTCCTCAATTGAGACTCTTCCAGAGTATTCAAGATCTGAGACTAACCTTCATAGCAGGCAAGTGCTTTGCCACTTAGTTACATCCCTAGTCAGTTATCTTGGAAGTCTTGATACATGGATATATAGAAAATGAGTCTTTGGAGGCCACAGCCATTGCCAAAGCACCCTTGCTGTGAACACCCACCAATCCTTGAAGCAGAGCACCCCTCAAGACCAGTACCTTCCCAGCATAGTGGATGATAGAGAACTCGGTTTTGTCCTTTAGCTGCTTGGGCTTCTGAAATTTGGGATGGTTGCCCTGCTCTGAGCACAGCTTCTCCACAAAAGACTTGTCTGTGGCTTTGGGGAACCAGCATTCTTCATCCAGCAGGGCCAGCACACCCGGAGGGTTGTTCTGAGACACAGGAGGGCAGGGTCACCACCAGGCAGGATCACCTCCAGGTAGAGTCACTACCAGGCTCACCAGGAAGGACCAACCATCCAGATGCCACACACACACAGCCAGGTGTGGTGGCACAGGACTGGAATCCTGGCAAAATGTGGATAGTGGAGGCAAGGAGGATCAGGAGTTCAATGATTGCCTTGGCTACAAACAAGTTCAAGGCCAGGCTAAGCTAAATGGGATACTAATTAACTCAAAAAAGTATTTCCCTCTCCAGAAAGAGAGAGGTCACACACAGGAGTGGCACTGCTACTCCATTTTGCTTATATCAAAGGTGAATCCTTGACCTCTTTCCTCTATCCTCAAACCTATCAAACCATTACCATCTAGTTGCTACACAGCTTGAGCGATTGAGAGCAAGAATTAAGAGGACATAAAATGTTTGCTGCTGCTCATGCTGGGTAATATGCATTACAAAGATTGCATTCCCCTCTCCTGCTTTGAGTGGATATGGAACTCAGGGCCTAGAATCTGCTAGGCAATCCCTCCATCACTGAGCTTTATTCCCACTCGTTGTGTTGGTTTGGTTTTGAGACACAGTCTCCTGGGCTTTCAGACACAGTTTGAGACACTATATCCCAGGCTGCCAGAACTCACTATTCAGTCAACACTAGACTCAAATCCTCCTGCAGCAATCCTCCTGCCTCAGCCTCCTGAGTGCTGGGGTTAGGTGTGAGCCACCTACCCAGTTAAGATTACATAAGAATTTCAGAAGAATCTGTTTCTTGGTTTCTTTATAAACTTACTCAGGATTCCTTTCAGCAAAACTTTTCCTGTGTTTGAGAGGGTCTAAATTAAGGTGTTGGTGTGTATCCTTCATCCTGGGGGAGCTATGTCCACGTTGAGTACTCTGACGCATAGAATCATTTCCTGATTGTCTTCCACAGTGTCTTACCAGTAGATTTGGTTTCACCACTAGCTCTTCCAGGAGATGAGGGTCCATGCCCATCTTGTTCATAGTTATAGCCCCATCCCTTAAAGAAGAGGCCCAGCATGCAGTGAGTGTTTTCCTGTGGTGACTTTAGAAGTTTGGGATACATTAATGGACAAAGCACAGACTCTCTGGGAATGAGTGAGAAGGAGAGAAGAAGAGACAGACTGAGGAAATTGCATTATGGTGGTGTCTGTCCTAATCCTACCACAGGAAGGCTGAGACAGGAGGACTGTCGTTATCATATGTCAACCATGAGTGGTGATGCATACCTGAAATTTCAGCACTGGGGAGCTGGAGGCAGGAAGATCAGAGGTTCAAAGTCATCCTCAACTACACAGTGAGTTTGAAGCCAGCTGGGGCTACAATGAGACCCTGTCTCAAACAAAAACCACTTATGTATGCTAATAAAAATATCTTTAAACTTGAAAGTAATAGATCACTTGCCTGGTGGTGGCAAGGTCCTGGTGTGTAACCCCAGAATTGCTAAAATTGTTTTGCTGAGGACCAGCATGATTAATCTCAACACTTAGGGGGCTGAGGCAGGAGGACTCTTAGGACTTGAGGCTAGCTAGCCTGGTCTACATACTGAGTTCCAAGTGAGTTGGCTCAAAAAGAGGGGAGGAGTGGTATAAAAACAAAACAAGTTTGATTGTAAACGTAGAAAGCATGGCTTAGTTCCCCAAAACCCCATTTACAGCCTTCCAGGACTTGCCCAGAGGCACCACCCACATGGAAAGCATGCTCCGACTAGCTGTGTGCAAGTGGGCCAGCGTGCACAGCGCCAGCCCCTCACCGGCCGCTCAATCAGCTCGATGCAGGGCTGCAGGTCCAGGCCGAAGTCGATGAAATTCCACTCGATGCCCTCGCGCTGGTACTCCTCCTGCTCCAGGATGAACATGGTGTGGTTGAAGAGCTGCTGCAGCTTCTCATTGGTGTAGTTGATGCACAGCTGCTCGAAGGAGTTTACCTGTGCGCATGCATGGAGAGGGAGGGCCGTTGAGATCATAGGATGGGGAGTCCCACTTGCAGGAAGCCCCATGGCCCAGACCTGGCTCTCTGAAGAGTCCTTCCTGCCACCTCAGCACCCAGACAGGTTCAAGACTCAAATAAGACTTTGTAAAGCCCCATATGGCTAGCAAAAGTGATCCACACCCATACCACAGGGCACTCACCTTACATGATCTATATATAGACGGACTAACCATATAATGCATGTTCTCGTCATTTCACAGACAGGGAAACTGAGGCTCAAAGATAGGGTGACCCCACAGTAGAGCTCTGTGATACATCTGTCAGCCTCTAGGGCTTTTATTCCTCTGAGAAAATTCCCTCTGATTCATGGGAATGGAACCCAGACACTCTGTGTTCACTATGTGAAATATGGTAACGATTTGAGTTTTGTGCTTGGCTTGGAGGTGACCCATTGGCTCAACTCAAGTGGACAGGAACCACTAAGACTTCTACTTTAAGATTTGGGCTGAAGCTCTTAGACATGAGACACTCTTTTCTTTTTTTATTTTTTTCTCCATTTTTTATTTAAATTAGAAACAAGATTGTTTTACATGTCAATCCCAGTTCCCTCTCCCTCCCCTCCTCCTGAGGAGGGCACGAGGGAGCAGGAAGGTTGAGTCAAGGGAAGAATTGAGAAGAGTAAGATAAGAGATACCATACTAGAGGGATCCATTATAGGTTTACAGAGAAATCAAGCACTAGAGAAATGTCCAGAGATCTACAAGGATGGCACCAACTAACAATCTAAGCAACAGTGGAGAGGCTACTTTAAAGCCTTCCCCTGATAATGAGATTGATGACTACATTATATGCCATCCTAGAGCCTTCATCCAGTAACTGATGGAAGCAGAAGCAGACACCCACAGCTCAACACTGAACTGCACTCCAGTTGCAGAGAGGGAGGATTGATGAGCAAAGGGGTCAAGACCAAGCTGGTAAAACCCACAGAAACAGCTGACCTGAATAAGGGGGATCTCATGGTCCCCCAGACTAATAGGTAGGAAACCAGTATAGGACTGATAAAGACCCCACAAACGTGGGTGTCAGTGAGGAGACCTCAGAAATCTATGGGGCCTCTTGTAGTAGATCAGTACTTATCCCTAGCACATGAATGGACTTTGGGAGCCCATTCCACATAGAGGGATACTCCCTCATCCTAGACATACAGGGAAGAGCCTAGGCCCTATCCCAAAGTATATGACAGACTCTGAAGACCCCCTATGGAAGGCCTTAGCCTCCCATGGGAGCAGAAAGGGTATGGGAGACACTCTTTTCTAAGATTGTTAAGTGGCAATATGGAGCTCTGGCACTATTTTGGCACCATGAAGGGAGAGCTGTTGGAGATGGAGCCAATGTAATAGAAAGCAGAGCAGGTAGGTATTGCCTACTGCTTCCAGTTTTGCTGGATATCCAATTTATACAAGCCAATACATAAATAGTGGATTTATGTCTCTTACACACACTCAAGTATAACCTTAACCAGATAGCTTCCTACCCATAGTGCCTATCTGTATATAGTGCCTTTCTACAAAATAATAATGTCTCAAAGCCCATCCTAGAAGACCAAAACCATGGATTTACCTCAAAGATCTCAAACCCGGCAATATCCAGAATCCCCAGGAATGAAGCTCCCTGACGATGGGTCTTGTCCAAGGCTTTGTTCACACGGCTGAGAATCCACCGGAAAAGGCGCTCATAGGTGGCCTTTGCCAAGGCTTCAATGGCAAAGTCAGCCTGCAGGACAGTGAAGAAAACATGGTATTATCAGGAGGAAAATGGAAGAAAGAGTGGTAAGACTTAATAGCTGGTTAGGTAATGAAATATACCACCCATGAGAAGCCTGTGGGGCCTGTTCCCACCCAGGGTCAATTAGAGCCTGTCAGCCTTGCTTGAAAATATACATAGACATTTCCACAGGTCAGGTCTCTAAGGTCAGTGATGTGTGAGGGAGTCTGCTTTCAGTCGACAGTGTCCTCAAGAGTTGGCATAGTACTGAAAACATTTTAGCATTGGATAGATGAAATAGATGAATAGAGGCACAGATGGACAGGTAGAGGAATGGTAGATGGATCGCTGGTGGATGAGGGGATTGGTAGAAGGGTGGTTAATGGGTAAATGGATGAATGGGTAGGTGAGCTGGTGAGTGGAAGGATAGATGGTTGGGTCAACGTGTGGATGGGCGGGTGGATGATGAGTGGTTGGTGCTGAAAGGATGGTTGTTGGATAGTTGTTAGTCAGATGAATGCTTGGATGAACAGGTAGATGGTGAGTGAGTGGGTGGGTGACGGGTGAGTGGGGAGATAGCCAGGTGGGTGGAGAGATGAGCATGTGGGTAGATAGACGGATGAATGGCGGGTGGATGAGTAGGTAGGTGGCATGTATGTGGAATGACAGGTGATTGGATGTGTAAATGGATGGAAGGTGTGCAGCATAAACAGCCACAGCATCATTACCTGTTCTTTGGTCTGAGCTTTCTGTACCACATCCCGTCCGACTTTGATACGTGGGGTCAGGATGGCTCTGGTGAAATCTGTCACATTAATCCCCACAAGGTGGCAAACTTTCTGAGCAGCTGTGTGAGAAAAAGAAGCATTTTAACCATGCCACCAAAGAGAATAGGTGCCACTGGGGATGCCACTGTCATCTACACTGTTTATTTCCCTTTAAAGGAAGAGAAATGTAAGGTGTGCACCTATCTGGCAGTGCACACCTGTCATCCCAGCACTTGGGAGACAGTGGCAGGAGCATCAGAAGCGCAAGCTCATCTCTGCCCCAATAGTGAGTTTGAGCCCTGTGTATGCTGTGTGAGACCCTGACTCAAAAAATAAAAGGCAAACAAAAATGCCTATAAAAGAAAGAAAAAAGGAAACTATAATGTATCTATAAAGTCTATTCTGGTCATAAGTATGTGACTTGTTATATACTACTGTGTATATCTTTGCATTTAAAAACTTATTTCCAAGACCGCATAGAACCATACCCTCAGCTGCTTCCTACACACAAAAACTTGTCTATCCCATGGTGTGTGTGTGTGCGTGTGCGTGTGCGTGTGCGTGTGCGTGTGCGTGTGCGTGTGCGTGTGCGTGTGCCTGTGCCTGTGCCTGTGCCTGTGCCTGTGCCTGTGCACACATGTCCAGCAGATAGTCATAAACTTTAGGATTTCTCCATTGCTACACGAGCTCTCTATTCATGTCTCTTTCTGTGGACTCTCCTGGGTAACTGGATCCTGTTCATGGACCACATTTGGGGAGAGTATACCACAATATATGGCCAATGGGGTAGCCTCTGTGCGCCTGTAAAGCAATACAATATATAGTCTTTGGTGGTTCCAAAACTGCAAACTTTATGTTCAGCTGCCATCAAGAGTGGTGGGGGCCAGGGGAGTTTCTCAAAAGCACAAAATGTGGAGTATTTTCAAGAAAGATTGCCAGAATCAGTGGGGAAAACCAAATAGGGGAACCCTGGTTCTCAGATAACTATGAATTTCAGATAAATAACACTTTGTAGTAGAACCTCATTTCAAAGGTTTTGCTTTTATTTGTGTATATGTATGTGAGTCCATACACGAGTGTGTGGTGGCTGAAAAGAGGGATGGAAACCCTAGAGCTGAAGTTACAGACAGTTGTGAGACAGTTGACCTGGGTGCTGAGAATCATACTTGGATCTTCTGGAAGAACAGTGAGTGCTCTGAACCTTGAGCCATCTCTCCTACCCTAAGGGACATCCTGTGATGGCTTATCTGAAATCTGGGTTCAACTGTGCCACCTGTTTTATCTGGCACTCCTCATTTGCAGGGAACTTGGGGTCTGTCTCCTCAAAAAGATTGTGCACCATAAGAAGGGCTGAGCTGGCCTTTTCTGCTGTGTCCCAAGGCCTGGCAGAGTGTAACTGCTTAGGCAATAAACCATAGGAGGCAATAAACCATAGAGATGACCAATGAGGGTCTGTCTGGCCTGAAACACTGAACTTCTGACTTTGTGCTGTGGGATATGCAGCCATGAAACACTTGAAGGAAGAGGCAGTGACAGCAGAAAGCCCCCATAGCCATGCAGCACATGTCCAACACCTGAGTGAATGGCTGGGATGGCAGATGGTGCCACCCCTATGCACGCTAGGGCCTTCCTATGCAGACACACTTCTAGATTTTAACTTACACAGGAGGCACCATAGTGAGCTAATAACAGTGATTAATAGTAAGTCAGGCAGCCAGCATGGTGGCACACACCTGCCATCCCAGCACTTGGAGGATCCTACTAACCATAAAGTAACAATGACAGTAGTAGCAAATGACATAATTATTACAGTGTATTATAATAAAAGTCACAGGAAGGTGGCCTTCCTCAAACCCCCTCACTGCGTTGTCTCTTTTAGACCACAGCTGACTGCCATGTGCAGCCATAGATAAGGGGACATCTACATCACCAGGGCCTGAGTGGGAGCTGCCCTCCCATCCCTGAAACTGTCATCACTGGGACAAGTGACAAGTACCTGTATTGTCAGGCATGGATGCCTGGTCTGTGTTTCGTTCCTTCTTGAAGACAATGTTTCCCAGCTGAAGGACGGATGAGACCACCTTCAAGATGGCTGAAGTAGGAAGAGAAGAGTGGATCAGATAGTAACAATCCAAAGTATTCTGTTGGTTGACAATCTAATCACCACTGGACACCCATAGCCAACCAGTGTTATCCCTCTGTAGACCAAGTTCTGAGTTATTGAATCTTGACAAGAGTCAAATTGCCTGGATGTGGGAGCTGAGTATTGCTAGGAAGTTGCCGAAAACCTTGTTTTTGCATGGGGTTTCTCTATGCTGCTGGGATTTTCCAGCTCCAGCCGTGGACCAAATGTAGTTCACTGACTATTATGGATGAATGGATGGAGGAAGGATGGTAGATACATGGAGGAGCGATGGGTGGAGGGAGGGTGGACTTAAGGATGGATAAATGGATAGAAGATGGACACCTGAGTGTCGACGGATGGGATATGGATGGCTAGACAGAGGGATATGTGTGGGAAAAAGAATGACTGGGTGAGCGGAGGGTGTGTCACTGATCAGTGCCAACAGTTGTCCTAATTGAACTGTGCAGTCACCATGTTCCGTGAATAAAGTGTAGAAATTCTGTCTTTCTTTGATCCCCAGGCTAAACCATGGGCTTTAGCTCCTTCATAGCAGCTGGCCTCACACCGGAAGGGCCAGACCCTGTCAGAAGGAGGAAGATCAAGTTGCTAACTGCCAACCTATCCACACACCCACTGCCCGCCACTGCGAAGCTGCTACAGAGAGGGCACTGGTAAGGATGCTCTTTTTCATACCAACACCCACAAAAGAACTTTGCAAACTAGGATGTGCTGCCCTCCTGATTCTCAAAAGTAACAATCTAACCTAGGTATTGCCAAAGTGCCTGCATAGTAAAGGTGAGTCATGTAACCCCAGCTCAGCCTTGCTGAACTCAGGGCAAAAATCCTCAGGCAGAAGGCAGTCCCGTACATCCATGGGATGTTTAGTAGTACCCTGTCACTCCCCAGTAAGATTGCAGCATTGGCCCCTTCTAGAGCTAGGACAACTAAAAAAAATGTCTCCAGACCTTGCTAAGTGTTCCCTGGGGTAAAGAAAGAGTCAAGTCACCCTTCCTTGAGAATCATTGGTCACAGTGATTGTGACAGACTGATGAGCATGGAGGACTCCCAGGGACTATAACTATAACTCCACTTATGGTGGCAATAGATAATCTACCAATCATCTTTTCACCAGGGCAAAGGTGACCACAGTTATCAGAACTGATGTTTCTTAGTATGATAGGAACCAAAATCTAAACGTGAAATCCACCCACATTGGGAGCCAATTTTAAAAACCAAGTTTGGGACCAGACAGGTGACTCAGAAGATCAAGCCTGATAACCTGACGTGTCCTCTAACCTCTATACATGCACCATGGCACAGTCCACCCCAGAAGATAAATGGTTAAAATCTTTTTTGTTTTAGCTTTTCACTGGGTACAGTGGTACACTCACATAATCTCAGCACTGGGGGGACTGAAGCAGGAACAGTGAGAGCTCCAGGCCAGCATGGACAACTGTGCAAGGCACTGTTTTAAAAAATTAAGCTAAAAATACTTTAAAAACATACACTTTCTTGCTAGATAGTCACTCTAATTTATTGAAACCAATATAATCAGGGCATAAAATTGGTACTTTGATACATTGCTGCTTGTGATAAAGCTCACAACAAATATGGCTGTCAAGTTCTCTCCGGCACATTAAAATATTCAGGCCACATTAATAGAGATGAGATGTGGAGTGCCATCAATTCAAAAGTCTGAAGCAGGATCGTGACTCTCTATAGTCCCTGGAAGGATGTACACAGGGATGCTAGAAGCAGCTGTAGGGCTCCCGTTCTGGCCCTGTTCTCAGCAGCTGTGTGACCTCAAATGACGCATCAGTCTCTTGGGGCCTCTATTTTGCCAACTGAAGAGTAACAAAAGCATCTGTCCTGTGGTTGATTGTCACAGGGTTCAACAGCACAGCACCTAATGCAGCCACTGTGAAATAGTTTATTACAGTTTTAAATTTTGTTACATTTCATTTTACTTATTGGGTTGGTTGCTTGCTTGATTTGTTGTTGTTGTTCTTGCTTTTTGAAACAGGATCTTACTATGCAGTTCTGACTGGCCTGCAACTCACAGAGATCCTCCTGGCTCTGCCTCTTTAGTGCTGGGATTAAGGTATACCCCCATGCCTGGGTTTGCTTGTTCATTTTCATAGCTGAAACAGGGTCTCAGTCTATACCCCTGTCTGCTTGAGCTCACTATGTAGCCCAGGATGGCCTCAAACTCATAATGACCCTCCTGCCTCAGCCTCCAAAGTGCTGAGATTACAGGTGTGTGTCACTATGCCTTGCTAGAACATGCCATTAGAATTAAGAGTTCATTTAGCCTGGCTTTCCACCTGGTCCCTGACATGAATTATTCAAGAAGTTTAAGGGTCCAAACTTCTATTCCCATAGGCAAAAGTGGGGTTCTGAGAGTGAACCGCAGCAGCAATTCATTATGCATTCTTGGGCAGACCCTCTTGCTTCTCTGCCTCAGTTTCCCCATCTACAAACAAGCTAATCACAGCTGCCTCATGGGGTGTCTATGACATTAAATAATGGACCTAAAAACCTTGACATCATGTTTGTCTGACACATACAAGACCTAGACTCCATCCCCAAGACTTCAGGGGGCATAGCCGTTGGTAGAGAGCTTGCTTAGCTTGCAGGAAGCCCTGGGCTTGATGCTCAGCACCATGTGCAGCACATGCCTGACATCCCAGCACTCAGGAGGGAAGAGGCAGGAAGATCAGGTATTCGAGGTCACCTTCAGCAACACAGTGAATTCTGGGCTAGCCTGGGCTATTTGAGATCTTGTCTCAGAAAGTTAAAAGTCCTGCTTTGTTCCCTACAAACTTCTCTTACTCTCCTGTGAGCATTTATAACAGAGGTCAATGTTTTTCTAAAACACGATTTAAATGGTCCCATCTGTCCCCCATTTACAGGGCAGACAATAATAACTTTTATCAATCACCACTTCAGTTTATTCCTGCTTTTTTTTCACTGTTTGAATAAAATACACTGAACATCTTAGTGTCTTAAGGGGAAAGCAAGAAGCGCATGGGTGGGGCCCACTCAGTGTGTTTTCCTAATCTCTCTTTGCGAGATTCTTAAAACCGGATTAGGCCCTAAACTGACCCTTGTCCCCAAGAAGGTGCATCAGATGTAGGGAGTTCATGGTCTTGGCTGCTGATGTGGGGCCAACTCTGTCCTCGGACTCTCTTTTTCTGGACTGTAGGTTATCCTCTAGGCACCAGCTCATCCTGTGGGCCTTACTATAGCAACTGGATGTTCTGGGACCCGAGCATGTAGGAAGGGAGGCCAGTTTATCACAGTTCTGTCTTGGTAAACACTGAATGCTAGAGCTCATCAGAACCCGAAGGAAAAGAGTTTCTGGAGTCACAGTACTGAAGCCAGCAGGGGCCTAATGGGCTTCACAGCCAACTATGGAATGATGTTGGTCAACAACAGTCCACTAACAGAGCTGAATTCCCAGGAAGAGCCTGTGTCTCCATCACCTCCTTTGGGTCTGGTGTGTCTATGCTCAGCCCTAAGAGCCTGTTGCTAGGACCTTTACCTCCCTATCCCACGGCCCTAACATCATAGGCAGCTAGGTAATGCACATATGCACCTTGGCCCACCAACCCAAGCTAGTGAGATGCTACTATTTGGGGCTAAAACAGAGAGCCCCTCTACACTTTGGCCACAAACCCAAAGGCTGTAAGAGCTGGGACACAACTGCATTGCTGTCAATAAAACTACAGCCTATATAGGGACCACAGTGCTGAACAATGGAGGACCAGAAAGCAGCTTTTAGAGAAATTGTTGAGTCCCTAGAGCATACTGAACCTGCAGCCAGCATGTCTGAGTTTTTCAATATAGGAGTTATTATGGTTTGATTCTGGATCATCCTCCATGGGATTGTCTTCCCAGCTCTTGGTCCCCAGCTAATGGTGCTAATTTGAAAGCCAAGAGGCAGGGCCTGGCCTGTGGGGTAGGCTGAAGGGGGTTCCTTCCCACCCTGCTTCCTGCCTGCTGTGATTTAAGGAGCTCTGCCACGCATTCCCACTGCCATGATCTGAACAGTTCCACCATGCTTTCCCATTCATGATCAATAGAGACCCTCGGAGACCATGAGCCAAGATAAACCACACTCCCATCTTAAGTTGTCCAGTCAGGTGTCAGCAGTGAAGCTGAAATAACTAACACAGTGAATCACTTTTTTTTTTCCTGCTTAAGTCAGTTTGGGTCAATTGCAACCAAAAAGTGTTACTTCAGCCACTTGTCTAATAAGCCACGTATGGCAGGATTACTCATCTTTTCTTTGTTTTCCTTCACTCCATCTCTCCCTCCTTTCAAGAGGTCAGGAACTCAGAGAGAAGCTATCCCCCCTGACCAGGTGAGGGCCAGTAGGGGAATCCCTCAGCACCACAGACACAAATCCAGTTTCCTAAGTCAGAGCATGAAGCTCACCTAGCTGTTCCTCGTCATTGAAGCCCATGATGGACATGGCCTCCAGCGTCTCCTGGAACATCTCATCATCTTGTGCAGCTGGGATGGGCACAAAGCCATTGGATAAAAATGTATAGCTGTTGAAGCTCTCCAAAAGCAGGTCACCTAAAAGAAAGAGGACAGTGAGTGAGTGAGTGAGTGAGGAGACACACTTCTACCTTTAGTATGACACAGGGTCCCAGCAACACTCTGGGCCATCACCATTTCTCTCCCTTTCTCAAGGTTTGGGCAGTTAAAACCCTTCCTATATGTCATTATGTACGGCCCTCATCAGCCAGTGCTGGTCTCATATGGTGGTGCAGGTCGTGTCCTATGCCAGGGTACCAGACAGCTAAAATCTAGCCTTGTCTCCACTGCTCAACTACAGTCATTAACATGGAGTTGCTTCTACTCAAGGAGGAATGTGTCTAGTTTGAATTTTCATCTCTTCTTACTTACTTGAGTGTGTACATAGAGACACATACAATACATACAGACATAAGCATAAAACATACAATGCATGCATATACACACATGCACACACATACATACAGATGTACACATATGCACACACACATATGCATATATGCACACACATATACACATCTATCCACACATACACACGTAGGTTTTTGTTGTTGTTGTTTTGAAACAGGTTCTTACCCAGGCTGGTATCGACTGCCTTCTCGGTGCTGGGATCATAGACATACACCACCATGCCCACCTCACCCGTGTGTTATGTTTATATCAAATATCACACATGCACATATGTTTTAAAAATAAATTGCTACGCCGGGCGTTGGTGGCACACGCCTTTAATCCCAGCACTCAGGAGGCAGAGGCAGGAGGATCTCTGTGAGTTCGTGGCCAGCCTGGTCTCCAGAGTGAGTGCCAGGATAGGCTCCAAAGCTATACAGAGAAACCCTGTCTCGAAAAACCAAAATAAATAAATAAATTGCTACATAAAGCAATGGAGAGTAAACTAAAACAATAACAGATTTACATACCTTAAATAGTATATTATGTACTGCCCTGCGTATAACAAACTATTTCAGGATACCAAATTTAGGTCTTATCTGTTGAATTCATAAAGCTATGGTACTTAAAGCTTTCGATCCTACACCTCCTCCTCTTTCTTCCAACTATTTCTAGTTGAATCAGTAGACAAGCCTTTTATCAGAGGCTAACTAATCTGGCCTTTTAATAATAAAGTTTTATTGAAACAGAGCTGCCTCCATTTTCTTGTGAGCTCTCCCCCACTGTAATAGTAAGCAGCTATAACTGAAACAGTCTGGTTCTCAAACCTTAGGATGTTTCTTGTCTGGCTCTTTGGTGAACCTATTTGCCAATCCCTTATTTATATTATTACATCTAATAAAACTTGTTTGTGTCAGGTTTACTGGTACATACCTGTCTGTACAAGCCTATAGGCCCAGTGTTCTGAAGGCCAAGGCAACTAATCTCAAGTTTAGGGCCAGTCTGGTCTACTGAGAATGAGACTGTTGGGAGTGAACATCCTCTGAGCCATTTTGTAGTACATAGAGCAGGGAAGACTAAGAGAGAGGAGCTCATAGCCTGCTGGTGAAGGCTTTCTAGGGGTGGCCTGTGAGGGGAGCACCCACACCCCTGTATGTGATCCTTTACCTTCATTTAGGAGGTAAGGTTCCCCAGAGTGAACTTGGTGGAATTGTGCTTCTGTTTGGAACTAGGTTAGGAGAAGGGATAGATGTTGCTGTGTGTCCCTGGGAAGGAAGTTTAGCAACAGTGTCTCAAGAAAAGAAAGGCTGTTCTATGAAAAGGCTCTCCTGCTCTCACTCTGTCTCTCTCTCTCTCTCTCCCCTCTCTCTCTCTCTCTCTCTCTCTCTCTCTCTCTCTCTCTCTCTCTCTGTGTGTATACAGACACACATGTGCTCTTATGTGTGCAGTGGTGTGTGTGAGTGCCTGTGTATGAGCGTGAGTGTGAGAAGCCTGATGTTGACGTCAAGTCTTTTCAATCACCACCCCCACTCCCCACACACACCTTATACTTTGAGGCAGGTTCTCACTGAGGCCAGAGCTCACAAATTCAGCTAGACTAGCTAGTCTGGGGATCCCCTGTCTCCACCCTGAGAGTGCCGGGATTACAGGCAGGAGGCCATGCACTGTCAGCCTTTACACGGGGTTTGGCAGACCTGGAACTTGGGTCTTCATGCATGTACAATGCTTTCCCCCAAGTGCCGTCTCTCCAATCCCGCAGCCATCCTCAGCTGCTTTATCTCCTTTGCTGCTGTTTGCTTTTCATCCTGCCCATTTTTAGCTTTTCCTTTCTGCCCTCATTGTTACCCTTCCAACACATCTGCTCCATGCCAAGACAATTAGAGATACGTGGAGTAATATCAAGGAGACACTTTCTTTTTAAGCCAAGGTCTTTCATGGGTCAGGGTACCTTGAAGCCACTTGATGAATCCAAAGTTGAATGTACCCAAGGCCAAGGTAACTGAAGTTTCTGCGTTCAGAGAAACATGGGACTAGTCACGAGGACTTGGGTCTTTGCCAACACCATTATCCATGGCTTGGAAAGATTCACAGGCATTTCAATCTCTCAAACTTTCCTTCCTCCCAGCTCTGTCCTCAAGAATACAAATAAGGCTGGGTATGGCAGTGCATGCCTATAATCTCAGTACTTCAGAGGCCAAGCAGGGGGATTGCTATGAATTTCAGAGTAGCCTGAGATACTTAGTGACATCCCAACTCAAAGAAAGCAAAACAAAGCAACAAAAATGCAATTGGTCCTAGACTCTCTCCTGTTCCCTGCCCCAGCTGCCCCTGCCCCAGCTGCCCCTGCCCCAGATGCCCCTGCTGTGGGAAAGCTTAGTGTAGAGCATGAAGCAAAATGCAGCTGGAAATCCAGAGGGAAGAAGGGTGGGTAAACAGTTTCAGCAAGCTACCCCTTTGGGGGGGCTCCCACTGTGAACTGCTGTCTCATCTATTTTCTGGTAGTATCCACCCAGTACCCCTGATTCACCTCATGCTCCGTGTTCCAGAAGGCCAAGGTTCAAGAACATTGAAATGAGGGGTAACAACCCCTAGTGCAGGGCTGTGAAAAATGCCCCATTGTGGCTGGGCTGTCCTCTTCCCTTTTGTAGCTTCCTTTCCTTTCTCCTTTTATTTTCTTTTCCCTCCATCTATCTTCCTTTCCTTCTTTTCCCAAGCTGACCATTGACCCAGCGATCCTGCCTCCCCTGAAATGGCAGGGGTCCCACACACACCAGTCCTTTTGCTAATCTTAATCAAAATAATTTAAGGGCAAACAACTGATGGAAACCAAGTTCGTGTTGTTGCCATCAGTTTTCTGACTTAATCCTAACCCTAATCATAGAATGTGGATTCTGCTATCCACCCAGATTCACCAGTGTGTCTCTTTCCTGGCTGTAATTTTGATGTTCCTTTAAGAATTTGATTCCTCAACTCCGAGGCTTCTGTGACAAACCCCTCCCACCCCCTTCAAAAAAGGAAAGAAACAGTCCAGACAGAAAGAAAACTGTGACAGGATTTCTGAAGTGTTACTCTTCACAGTTGATGGCTTTCGCTGGGCGTGGGGGAAGGGCTAAGATTTTGGCCACTGGGGGTTTGACCATGCTTCAGTGAGTATATGGACAACATAAATTGAACTTGATGTCTCTTTTCTTTTCTTTTTTTTTTTGGGGGGGGGAGGGTACATAGATGGAGAGGCAGATCTGGGATGACTGAGAAGAGAGTGTGACTGGGGTACATTGTGTGAAATTCCCAAATAATCAATAAAAATATGCTAGAAATTTTTTTTGATTCCTGCATAGCCAAAGCTGCTTATTTCTTACCAGAAATACATGAAAAAATTAATTTACAGTAGAAATTGGCAAATATAAGTATGCTTCCTGTTCTTATAAATATAAAGTTTTATTGAAACATCCACTCTGCTGGTTTCTGCATTGTTGTGGCTGTTTCTATATAATGGGCAGAGTTAAGCAGAATCTTGTGCCCTGCAGGGCAGCAGACAGTGGCTATTTGGCCTTTAAAAAAAAAGTCTGTTTGGCTGGGGTATAGCTCAACTTACAGGACTTCTGGGGTGTGTGTCAAGCCCAGGGCTCCATCCCCAGAATCAAAGGAAAGGACAGAGGGAAGGAGGGAGAGGAGGAGAGGTGTTCATGTACAGAATCACAACACTTGGGAGGCAGGGCAGGAAGATCGGGGTTTCAAGGCCAGCCTTGGCTATAGAGTGGGGTTGAGGCTAGCCTGGGCCACAGGAGACCTTCAAAAGAGAACAACAAGACCTGTATAATAGAAAGCCTTGAATTTATTGCCCTCCAAATTCCTTCTAAACTCAAAATATGAGGTTGGGCTTTGGGCCCATGCCTAGAAGCTCAGCACTTAAGAAGTTGAGGCAGGAGGATTACAAATTCAAACTAAATTGGAATACACAGCAATTTTGGAGCTACCACCCAGACTACAAAGTAGAACTGATCTCAAAACCAAACCAAAGCCAGCAACTAAATATAATTGAAGGGTTTTTTTTGTTTGTTTGTTTGTTTGTTTTTTCTTAGGCAGGGTCTCATTATGAAGCCGTAGTTGGCCTGGAACTCACTATGTAGACAGGACTGACTTCAAACCCATAAAGATCTCCTGACCTCTGTCTCTTGAGTGCTGGGACTAAAGGAATGTGCCACCTTGTTTTCTAAACAGGCATCTAAGTCATTGTCATCTACTTCCTTTAAAGTCACAGATTGTAACTGAACCTGAACAGTTAATGCTCTAATGTGAGCTAATAGCTATCTACTTACTGAATGAAGGCCACACTTGTGTACCAGAAGGGGTGGGAACTGTGTACCTGCCTCCCCAGCATCTGATCTGTCCCAGTCTCTGACCCTGAACCCATCAGGACAGACACTCACTTTTCATCTTTTCCTTGGCTCCAGCGATCAGATAGTAAAAGATGTGGAACGTTCTCTCGTCCCTGGCCTGGCGAATTGCCCGAGATTTTTCCAAAAGATCTAGTTGGAGAGGAGTTAAGGACTCTGGGGCCAGCTCAGGGCTTCAGCTCACAGCTCAGGGAGTCAACTTCCAAAACCTAATTACTAACCCATCCTGCCATGCCAGCTGCTGCAGGTGTCCCCAGGCCTGAGAGGTTCCCTGGAAATTTATAAGGGACCTAAGAGATGGCAGAGTTGGCCACGATTTCTGATGCAAGAGCCTGTGTAGGGCAGCTGATCTCAGATGAACTCTTTAAGGACAAGGGATTTGGCCTTGGGCAAGACTTAGCAAAGAGGTGATGAAGGCCACATGACAGCTGGTGCCAAGCTGGCTCTAGCTTTATCCCAGCACATGCTATAAACATGATGTAAATTAATTCTATTCTCCAGACATCATCTCTGTCTTACCCACAAGGCCCAGAGTGTTGAGTAACCAAGCCCAGGGAGGGAGATATCAGTCAAGAATCCAGCATAGGCCATCTAGTGTTTGTAACCCTACTGCACAGTACCTCCTTTTAAATACAAGAAGGATTGTTCCAGAAGGAACCCAAGGGTCTTCAGAGGGGGAGGAGATTCTGTGTTTTGTCTGGTCCCCCTTCCCCTCATAAGGCCCTAGTTCAGCAAAGGATACATGTCTCGATGTTGGCACCCACGATGTAACCAGTGACATCAAAGTTGATGCGAATGAACTTGCCCTGCAGAGAGGAGAAGCAGCTGATGGGGTGGCCATGCTCAGCACAGACCCCACACCACAGGCAGGTAGGGAGGTATCAGGGGGCAAGTAGGAGCAGGTGAGACTCTCACAAACACTCAGAGCTCCACAGTCCTGCTGGGCCACAGCAAACAGCATGCCCAGGCCTATCAAACCCATGCAGGGAACATGATTTGTTCATGAAACAACTAAATCATTCATGGTTGTTCCAAGGGGGTAGGGAAACTGAGGCTGGCATAGGTTAAGTGGCCTGGCATGACATTGCTCTTCAGAGGTGGCCGTCAGTTACAGGCTTTTCTATACCAAGTGGATTAGGCTGAAATGCTTTTGTGTGTGTGTGTTGGGGGTGGTGGTGGTGTTTGGATGCACATGTCAGGGGACAATGTCAAGTGTTATTTCTCAGGCACTGCCCATCTTGTTGCTGAATCTCTTATTGGCCTGGAATTCTCCAAGCAGGCTAGGCTGGCTGCTCTGCCAACCCTAGGGAGTCTCAGCTTCCCCACTGTTGGGACTATGAGTATCTGCCACCATGCCTTGATTTTTCTTGTGGGTTCAGGTTCTTGTGTTTGCAGGGCAAACACTTTACTAACTGAGCTATCTGAGCTCCGGCTCATGCTGTGAATAGAAGCCCTGGCCTCACAGATGCTAAGTCATAGCCCTCCCTTAATGGCTCACCTAGACTCCACACTTGTGTTATGAAGAGGATCTTGCTAGGTAGCCCAGGTTTGCCTTGAATTGACAATCCTCTTGTCTCAACCTCCCGAGCACTGGGATTGCAGACATGCATAACTATGTCTTGTTCTGTTCTCCTTCCTCCTTCATATAAGAGGGAGGACATTGAGATGGTTTGTGTGAATAGGGCATGTTCTGTAATCACTGCTCTTGGCACTGTGTGAGTAGCTGCAATGGAAACAGGCCTGGGCAGCAAAGTGAGGCCCAGATGGAGCTTCTGGGTGGGCAGGAAATTGTCTCTTTTAATTTTTTTCTTTTTTTTCTTTTCTTTTTCTTTTGTCTCTCTTAATTTTTATGATTAATTTTGTTTTTATTTATGTGTATGTGTTCATGTTCCTATGTCTGAAGTGTATGTGGGTGCCCAGGGAGGCTTGAAAAGGACATTAGATGCCCTAGAGCTAGAGTTACTGGCGGTTGGAGTCCAGTAACGTGGACTCCAGGAACTGAGCGCTGCTCCTCTGTAAGAACACGAAGTGCTCTTAACCACTGAACCTTCTCTACAGCTCCCCTCAGGGGCCTTTCCACGGACCCCTGTCCCAGATAGTCACAGGTCCAAGAGGTACCCTGCAGGAGCAGTTGTCTCTCACTCTGTTTGACAGACATATCCTTCCTTCTGTCCCCCTCACTAAGGAGACTGCCTGATGGAGGCCTCGCTTCCTTGCGCATGAGGACAATTCTGGTGTGTTGTGGCTTCCGCCACGCTTCCTCTGCATCCTTCAACCCATCTTGAGCAAGGAATAAGACAACCTCGGGACCTGGGAAAGTGTACACAGGACAGTCACACCTGCCAAATACTTGTCCCCAAAGCAGATCCCCTTTGTCTGGAGCCACACCAAGATTTTTCACTGTGATTCTTGGTGCCTAGGTCAGTGCCAGGTGTATACCATATGCTTAATAAAAATCAACTTAACAAATGAAAAGGGGGGGTGGTTTATATAAAACTGTCCACCAGAACAATTGTATGCAGTAAGTGTTTAGTCAGTATTTGGTAGAGGACAGATATGTGTGTTATTGAGTAGGTACTCAATCCATGCTTTGTTGAATGAATGAATGAATGAATGAATGAATGAAGAGTATTGCATGTGTCTAATTTGCAGTAGGTGCAAATTAGTGCAGTAGTAAATGTTAGTTAGATAAACCACACATGTTAATGTCTAACTGAGAATGGATGCTCAGTGATTGTTGGTTGAATGAATGAGGACAGGAGTACGGGGAACAAATGTGGTTGCCCTCTATTTACTCTAGTCTTTTAGTCCCAGAGGGCCCTTGTACTCTTACAGTCTGTGTTCTTGGGGGATATGTGACATCAGGGTTGCCCACACCAGTCCCAGAAACGCCCATAGAGCTCTGCTACTTACAAAGCGAGAAGAGTTGTCGTTCTTGACGGTTTTTGCGTTGCCGAAAGCCTCCAGGATTGGGTTCGCCTGTAGAAGCTGCTTTTCCAGCTCCCCCTAAAATTCATTCACATCTAGTTATGGGGGAATACAGCCTAGGGCCTGACACAAAGCTCTGCCCTTTGGCCATGGGCTCTGTCCTGTTCTCAGCCCCTCCTAGGCCCCAAATGTCACATCCAGATGTACAGAACCTGTGCAGAAGAGCTTTCTGCTAGAGAAGACATCTGCTTCCCAGAGACCAATGTTATTATATCATACAGTACTGGGTTGCCTACAACACCATGAATGGCGCCCCATAGGAGTGTGCAGTGTACAACCTGCCCGCTGTCCATGGTGATACCACAGGTCAGTCAGGTTTGCCTTCTTCAATTTAAGCTACCACAACCTTCCCAACTGCTTAAGCGCAACTTTAAAGTTGCAGCATTTCATCTGGCAGGCCTGGACTTCCGACGTTTCCTATGGAAGATACTTTGGGAGGCTCCAAACCCACCAGAAATCCTTTTAAGCAGCTGCAGAATGAAGCCTCGAAGCTGCAAGAGCTCTGTCTAGCAGATTAAATGCAGCTGAGACTGTGTGCAGCCCACCAGGCCCCTCTGCAGGGCTCTGGTGTGTGAATACAGTCATGTGATTAATGGAGGCAAGGAAAGGGCCAACAAAGTAAGCCATGCCAAGAAAGCAAAGAGATGCCAAGGCACAGAAGGCAGTGGTTGCTGCTGCCTGGCCATCCCCCTGCAATGCAGTCTGCAAAATAAGATGCAGATGGCCTTATCTTCATGGAAACCCCAGCACCAAATGGACCTGGCTCAGTGGAGAAATTGACAAGAAGAGTCATCTACTTTCCTTGGTGAGTAGGAAGAGACTTGAAGTAATTGCATCTACCCATGCTGACTCAGGGTTTAAAGGTTTCCCACAAAGCTCCCTCTTGTGTAAAGAGGTTTCTGGCAGGCATATTGAAAGGCCTTCCAAGGAGAGCTTTGAACATAGAGACCTCATCTGATGGATGATGCGACTGTGGCCCAGAGCCATTAAGTGACTTGACAAAGGTTACACAGCCTATGTCAAATAACATCCAACTTCTTGTCTCAGAGAAAGTAGACAGCCATCTACCTACAACAGATTAGTTGGCTTGGCACACCCTGGATGGTCTCTTCTAGGCTGGGACACATGTGCCAGCCCCACAAGCTCTGTCTCAGAGTCCAGTTCACATATGAAGAAGTCCATGCAGGGCTAGGTTTGTGCTACACAGCTGGGACCTTACCGAGCCACCAAAGCTAGTGTATCACAAACCCAAGATGGTTTCAAATATCTTCGGTGAGGCAATTGGCATGCAGGAGAAGAGACACACATGACACACACATGCACAAAGACACACAGGTGCAGGGGACAGAGCTGGGGCAAGAAGGCAGGGAAGGTAGCTTTGCCCTGGCTGGGTTTCCCACTGACCAAGCCAGGGCCACTCTGGAGCCTGATGGTCCTAAGATGCTCAACAGATGGGATGGGTCATTCCAGTGTGTTGGGAAACCAATGGTGGGCACAATGTGGGAAGGGATGAGGTTTATTCTGAACTGGGACAATCCATCCAGTCTGGAGTGCAGCCTGGCAGGAGCCCCTGGGCAGCTAACATGCCCCATTCTGTACTCTGGCATCACCACCACCCACACACTGCATGATATTTTGGTGCCTCTATTTGTCTGGGACCGGGAACTCAGGGGTTTGCCCTTTTCCCACATCCACTAGGGGCCCGTGGGTGCAACAGATGCATGCAGGTCTTAATCCACTCTGTGCCTCCCGTCACACCAGGAAAACTCTGTTACTCACGTAGGCAAAGGATGGGCCTTGCTGCAGTGGGACAGCACAGTATGAAACAGGTGTCAGTGCTTCCGCCTTCATATCCAAGCCCACCCCACATTGGGAGCCCTGGGCTGGGCTCCTACTTGCTGTCATGGCTACTAGCCCCAGCCCATAGTGATCAGCTCCTTCCCTTCTACTATGCTCTAGCTTCTCCTTCCTTCTTTCCTTTCTCTCTCCCTTGCCCCCTTTGTTCCTGTGAGACACTGTATAGCCAGGCTAACTCTGAACTCAGGATTCTCCTGCGTCAGCTCCTGAATGCTGGGATCATAGGCTCACACCATCACAATCGCCAGACATCTCATTTCCTAACTGCTAGAGCATCAGTGGATCTCCTTCCTTCCCTTTCTCTTTTGTGTTTGACAGGGACTCATGTTTCCCAGGCTGGTGTCAAACTTACTAGATAGCTGAAAATGAACTTGAACTTCTGCTTCTCCTGCCTTTACCTCTCAAGTGTTTGGATGATAGTGTGCACTACCACATCTGGTTTATGAGGTGCTGGGGATGAGCCCAAAGCTTTGTACCTGTTGGGCAAGCACTGTACCAACTGAGCCCTAACCCCCACACCGGCCTCTGTTCTGATGGGGGAAGAAATGTGTCTGCATATACAGAGAAGAAGTGTCCAGCCCTCTAAAGCTGGGTCATCCCTCTATGTCTTATTTTCATTACATAGAAAAACGCTAGGTGGGGGAGAAGGGAGATTCTCTGTCACACAAACTCAGGCCAGTGTTCCCTACACATAACCCTAACACACTGATCTATGGTTCTGGGCTTGTTTAAGGGGAAAAGGTTTCCAGGTTATAGCCAGAACCCATCCCCAGTACCTGAAACCTCTAGGCTCACTGGTCACTGTGCCAGTCTGTCACCCCTCAGAACAGGAAGCAAGATAGAGGGTGTAGAAGCCTTTCCTGTCTTCTCCCTGTCCTCAGCATCCATACAGAGGTACTGACAGGTCCCAGGGTCCCATAAGGGACAGATGAGGGATGCAAATGGAAGACAGGAAGAGAAGCAAGGGAAGGTTCTAGAAACTCCTCTACTTTTCCTTGTAAACCCTCTTTCTACTGGGCCACCGTGGGCCTTTGTGGGGTTTTTGTTTGGTTGTTTTTTTATTGTTGTTGTTTGCTTATTTGTTGTTTTTGGTTCTGTCCCTGCAGGACCTCATCCTATGGTGTATGGCTCACAGCAAGAACCTCAGCCAACAGTGAATTAGGGACCCATGCTGAGTGACCCCAGCATCTTTGTCCCCTGAGGGTAGGACATGGGGTAGTTGCAATTTGAGATGAGTCCTACCCCATAGGGACAGTATGTGGGGCATATTTTCTGGCTCCAGATATGCAGAAGCATATAAGGATAAAGGCCAAGGCTCAGGAGCACTGGAGTTTGTAGGACAATCCCCACAGCAGGAAATCTGGTCACAGTTACCAAATTTAGCAGGGTCACTGCTAAGAAGTGTTCCTGGAAGAGCTCAGTGCAGGAGGCTCAGTCCCCATACTGCTGGGACCATACAGGCATTGCAATGGGAGGGGATTCATCAGAGCTAGCCCACTCCACCCAAGGGGATAAACCCTGGGGGCATAGGCTGAGTTCTCACTCTGGTGTTTTGTTTGCTCAAGTCATCTATGGCCTGGTATGGCCTTGGTGACAAGCAGCTTGTCACTTACCGTGATGCTGCTATCTTTCTTGCCCTTATGTGAGGACGCCACCACAGCCAGGTACTGGATTACTTTCTTCGTGTTCTCTGTCTTCCCAGCTCCAGACTCACCTCTGAAAGACATGAGTATGATGACCTTACAAGCCATGGAGGGCCCTCAGCGTCATCACTGCCAATCCCAGAGTGGGAAAACTGAGGCTCCTCCTGGAAGGGGCATTAAATGGCTGTTTTTGTATGCAGGCGCACATATGTTTGGATGAACATTTGTGCATATATGTATTGAGGCCAGAGGTCAACCTCAGTAGCCATGTACCTTTAAAACAACAAAACAAGGCCAGTTATTGGTAGTGCACGCCTTTAATCCCAGCACTCGGGAGGCAGAGGCAGGCGGATCTCTGTGAGTTCGAGGCCAGCCTGGTCTCCAGAGCAAGTGCTAGGATAGGCGCCAAAGCTACACAGAGAAACCCTGTCTCAAAAAAACAAAAACAAAAACAAAATGGCAAAAAACAGGTCTCTCTGGCTGGAACTGACTAATTGGGCTAGGCTGGCTGGGCAGTGAACCCCAAGTTTCTGCCTATCTGTGTCTCCCCATTTTGAGGTTACAAGCTCATTACTCTGCCTAACTATTAAAAAAAAAATTGAATCCTGGAGATCAGAACTCAGGTCCTCAAACTTGCATAGAAAACACTTTACCCACTGAGCTCTCTCCAGGCTTGAGCCTGGGATTTTCAGCTGAGCAAATGAACCCAAGTAGACCAGGCCCACAAGCCAGGGTAGTCCTCTAGAAATACTGCAAGAAAGAGCCCAGAAGAGGGAAGAAGAACCTGAGCTCTGCTACAAAAGATCAAACCCCAGTCTGTTCAGCACTGTCTGCTAAGAGGCATTGTCAGCAAACTGGGACCCAGAAGTGCTGGACAAGAAATAGGCTTCCATGGAAGAAAAAGGGTATCTTCCAGACCAGCAGACACTCGAGAACAAAGAATGCTTTATCCCATGAGTCACTGAGCAGAAGCAAGGCCCTCTACCCTCATCAGAATCCCTTGAATACCAGGAAGCCAGATGATAATCTCAGGTGAGTACCAGAGGGTTCCTTTGGTTGGAGTAATTTACACTAATGTGCTCTGAGCTGATAGCTTCCCATGGGTGGAACACTGTTAGTCTAATGAGTCAACTCTTTCTAGAGAACGAGGAGCTGCTACCTTGATCCATCAGAGATCACTGCAGAGTGACTTCTCCACCCATGAGCTCAAGCACCATGTCTGGCTCCCTGTCTGCTGAGAAGGAAGGACAGACAGGGTTTCTGCTCACTTTCCTTCCACATCATCTTCTGCCCAGATTTTTTTTGTTTGGTTTTCCTTCCTTTGCTCAAATGCTCTTATTTTCTGAGCTTACTTCATATCTCATGATATAAGAGAGACTTGTTTTTAAGTTTTTAAGTCTGCATAGGTCAGCCTGGGGTTCTCTGGGCTGAGCCAATGGCCTGACTGAGCATAGCTCTGTTCTTCTCCCTAAATAGAACAAAAGAAATTAACTTTCTCTGCCAAGGGTGCCTCGATGACTTCGCTCAGGCTGGAGAAAAGAGAGAACCACCACAGAGTCCTCTCTCCAGAAACTATGTCTCACACCAGCTTCCTGTTGCCCCCTGAACGGGGCACAGTTTGAACGAGAACTGTTCTGCACAGGCAGTGTGTCTGAACACAGTCCCTAGCAGGCGGTGCTGCATGGGGAAGCATGGCCTGGAGAGGCAGGTTACTGGAGGCTGGCCTTCGAGGGTCATACCCCAGCAGCTCAAGCTCTCTACTCCCTGTGGGTGCCAGGTGGGAAATGACTGCTGCATGTTCTCACTGCCACGGACTGACCCATTGCAGCTGCTGTGATGGACTGCACGGTCACGGTGGTGTGAAGTCCCTGCCATCCCCTCCTTTCCCAAAGGACACGACTACTGATTTTTCTAAACTTTGGAAAACAGAGTTGACATTGTGTATGTGTGTGTGGTGGTACTAATTATTTTGCATGCCCAATCTCCTTTATCTTCCTCTCAGCACCACCACCTCCATTTATGGAGGCATCTGTGGTACTGCGGAAAAGAAGTCTGGCCATGAACAAGTAAGCAACTTGTTCTAAATCACGCAGCAGGGCAAGGGCACATTGAGTTCTCCCTGGTTCCAGTGCCACCCACACTCTCACTGTTCTACCACACAGGCTCTGTTCTCTAGTAATATGGATTGTTGACAGGGTCTAAAGTCACCTAGGACGCAAACACCTGGACAGGAAGTGAGGGAGTTTTCAGACTGAGCTGACTAAGGTGGGAGGAAGACCCATACCGATTATGGGCGGCCCCACCCCATGGGCTGGGGGCCTGGATGGCATTGAAAGGACAAAGTGTTTACCTCTCTGCTTCCTGATCTTTGGTGGATTGTGAGCAACAGGGGCCATGGCAAACCCTTGCTTCAGGGAGTTGCTTTTTATCAGCTGTTTGTCACAGGAAGGACAGAAGGAACCAACACTCCAGTACCAGACAAGGGGCAGACAGGGCCCTGTGTTTACTAGGTGCCTGCTCTGGGCTCACTTGTAACAGCACTTTGGTACCTTTAATCCTTCATGATTATTCTCATCACCTTCTTGGGGAAACTGAGGCTCAGAGACATTGAAGTAAAGTGCTCTAGTTACAGGTACTCCCATGGACAGAAAACAGAAGAATGAAATTTGGACTCAGGTCTAAAAAACAAGACAACCCGCATCCTCCCACCTCCCACTCTGTAATTTTGATGAACAAGAAAGGGAAAGACAGAGGGACATCCCAGCCTTGGACTCTGAAACTGAAATCAGGGATCAAAGAACTAAGCCACTGGTGTATACCGTTGTATAAATTACTTCATTCGAGCTTATGTCAAAACAGTGGATAAGTTTCCCTTTCAACTAAAGGAGAAGCATCCTGGTCAGGGCAGGGAGGGAAAATTCTGAAATTTGAACACAGACCTCACAACTGTCACATCAGTGTCCTGCCCAGGCCCACTTCCTACCACCCCGTACTTTCCCATCAGGCCTTCAGTCTCTGCCCCTGACATCAGCAGCACAACTCTGGGAATCCCCCTTCCCTGTGGTCCTCTAGGCTCAACTATTTCCAAGTTTCTCTGATAAAAATAAATCATCTTAGATGGCCTTGCCAAAGAACACACCCACGTCCCAGGCTCCAGGCTCCAGGATCTGAAGCTGACAGGCTCAAGTGGCTCCAGAAACATTGCCTATCTCTGCTTGGTGACCCTGGAACTCTGGGTGACAATGCTGTCCCCATCTTAGCCCCTGCCCTGGTTCTGAGGAACTTGTTCCCAGCTTCCCATTCCTGGAAGCCTCTGGCTTAACCAGATGGAACTGGGTTGTCATGACCTACAGCTATGTTCACTCCCTCCGTGTGTATGACCTGCACAGTCTCATGGGGACCACTCTGAGAAAAATCCTGTGCTTGATGGAAGATTCTAAAATTTCTTAAAGACTTCTCACCATGGAACTGTACATTCTAATTTGCATAATTTTAACTATGGGATAGTCCTGCCTCTCCAAGTTGAACACCATTAAAAGCTTATTACAGACTGTTGTCAGCCTCAACAAGGAGCCAAACTGGCTGTATACTCACAGTTCCTCCTAAATCCCACCCTAATGCAAGCTGACTGTGTCCTCTGGTATTGTTGTTCAACTCCTACAAATCCTGCAAAGCCCAATTAGACAGTACCCATTTTGAATATGATCTGGACTCAAGATATTCATCCCCTATAGCCCTCATTAGATGAATGGCACAGGGGTCAGACAGTCAGACAGCCGGAGTTCAAATATCCGCTCAACCAGTCACCTAAATGGCCCCTGGTAAGTCACTTCAACTCCTGTGCCTTTGCTTCCTTACCTATAAAATGGGTATAAGCTAGGCATTCCATATGGCCACTGGGAGGGTTAAACAAGAGAACACAGCACTCAGAATGATGACTGGCACACAATCATAGCTGCTGTTCCTCCCACAGCCACTCCTTCCCTTGCACTTATGTGCTCTGTCTGTTCCATGATCTCTATCATTGGCCCTTGTGCTAACCCTAAAACCCCACCACATTTCTCTCTGTTTAGGTGTAGAGTGGGCAAGCCGCTTCTGCACAGGCTTGGATAGCAATCGTTTCAGGTTTTGTGGGCATCCTGGTTGGTTTCTGTCAACTCGACACAAACCTAGACATATCTGGGAAGAGGGACTCTTAATTGAGAAAAATGTCTCCTTAATGTTTGCCTTAGTGGTGACTAATGTGGGAAGGCCCAGCCCATTGTGGGTGGTACCATGCTGTGTCCTGGGTTATAAGAAAGTAGGCTGAGCAAGCCATAAGGTGTGATAGTCAATGGTCTCTGCCTGTGTCAGATGTCTTTGCCCTATCTTGGGATCCTGTCCTGACATCTTTCAGTGAATGGACTATGATGTGGACTGTGCTATAAGCTAAAGAGTCCCCACCTCCCCCATGTTAATGTAGTGGGCCTTGGAGCCTCATTGTACCTACTTGGCCACTTCACTGTGGAAGCAGCTGTGTGAAGAAATGGATTGCAGATGTGTTTTGATAAAACTCTATTTACAAAATACAAAATGAATATTGATTTTACAGTGTGAGCATCCAATTTTCTCATCCCTCAGACAGAGGTCCTCAGTCCTGACACTTTCCTCTCTCCTTAGTGTCTCTCTCTCTCTCTCTCTCTCTCTCTCTCTCTCTCTCTCTCTCT